CTTTCAGTCTATGTGTGTCCTTAAATGTGAAGTGAGGGGGCAGGTTACAGTCGAATCTTTTTGTTTTTGTTTTTAATCCATTCAGCTACTCTTCACATTCAAGGTAATTATTGACAGATAAAGACTTACCACTGCCATTTTATTAATTGTTTTCTGGTTATTTTATAGGTCTTTGTTCCTTTCTTCTTTTTTTTTGTTGTATCTCTTTGTGATTAGGTAATTTTCTCTAGTTAAATGCTTTGATTTCCTACTTTTCACCTTTCATTTTTGCTTTGTGGTTACCATACGAATTATATAAAACATCTTATAACATATATATTTTAAACTGATAACTTAACTTTGATTGTAGGCAAAAACTACACTTTTATCAACCCTCCCCAACATTTTGTTTTCAATTTGACAACTTACACCTTTTTTATATCATGTAACAAATTATTGTGGCTATATTTTTAACAATAATACTAAAGATATAAATGATTTATACATCATTATTACAGTATTAGAGACTTCGGACTTTGTGTACTTATTTTTACTAGTGAGTTTTATACTTTCATATGTGTTCATATTACTAACATTTAATTGTGGAATACAACACATAAAGCAAACATAAAAACAGTGTTAAGCCTAATAAATTAACATAAACCACTCATCTGTGTAAATATTACACAGGTCAAGAAACAACATCTCATAAGCTTGTAGCTCTGACTTGGGCAGTGCAAACGCAATATATGTAAACTAAACATTTATAACCTTGTAAAATTTTGAAATAAAAAAAAATAAAGTCCAAAGTCTTATTTAAATATTATCTAAATGAGATATGGGTGAGCTAGACCCAAGGTACAATTAATCCTATGGCAAAATTCTCCAGCTGTGAACATACAAAACCAAATAAGTTATGTGTTTCCAAAATACAATCGTGGGAGACAGGCATAGGAAAGATATTCCCATTCCAAAAGGGAGAAAATAGAAGGAAGAAAGGGTGATGGGTCCCAAACAAGTCCAAAACCTAGGAAGGCAAATTCCACTGGATCTCAAAGCTTGAGAATAATCCTCTCTGGCTCAGTGTCCTGCCTTCGAGGCCCACTGGGGTGGCAGCATCATCCCCACAGCTCTATAGGGTGTCCCTGTCCCTGTCCCTGTGATGTCCTACTGTATCACTCTAGGTAAGGATCCTGCCCCCATGGCTCTGCTAGGCCTGAGTCTACTAGGTGGTCCTGCCTTCAAGGATCTGGGTGGAGATTGTCTGCTGAAACTGAGGTGATGGCCCTGATGGTCTCTGAATCTCTTCTGGGGTCATTTTTCCCTCTTCTTGAAGAATAGCGCACATTTGCAGCTGAATAGCTCTATTGTCCTATCCTGTCAAATTCAAGAAGTTCAATAGCCTTTCCTGATTTCATCCCATCTTTGTCTCCTTCAGTTAAAATTGGCAGTGTTTCTGTTCATATAATCCCATAAACACTATCTGTTCATCACACCCTTTGTGTTTTACCAGAACAAGCTTTCTCGTTTTTTACGACATGAATAGGCTGAGAATTTTCCAAATCTTCAAATTATGGTTTCTTTTTGCTTAACAATTCCTTCCTCAATTTATCTCTTTCCTTTTGCATTTTGTTATAAGCAGTCAGGAGGAACCAAGTTACTCCTTCAATACTTTGCTTAGAAATATCCTCAGGTAAATACCCAATTTTATTGCTTGCAAGTTCTATCTTCCACGAAACAGTAGAACACACTTCAGTCAAATTCTCTGCCACTTTATAACAAGGTTTACCTTCCCTTCAGTTTCTAATAACATATTCCACATGACTAACTGAGACCTTACCAGAATCACCCTTAATGTTCATATGTATAGCATGCACCTCAAAACTCTTCCAGCCTCTACCCATTACCCAGTTCCAAAGCCATTCCCACTTGTTTAGGTGTTTGTTCCAGTAGCACCCCACTCCAGGGGCCAAAATCTGTCTTAGTTAGTTGGGGTTGCCATAATAAATTACCATAGACTGGATGGATTAAACAATAGAAATTCAGTTTTCTCACCATTGTGAAGAAGTCCATAATAGTAAACACAGTTATTTTAAAGTCTATGTCTAATAATTTCAATATTTTAGATCCCTTTAATTCTATTTCTGTCATATGTTGTTTCTGCTGCTGCTTGTTCAAGTCGTCATGTCTCCTCATGTACCTGAATATTCCTGATTGTGTTCTAGGAATTGTATATGAAAATTGCTTCTTGTGAAAATAAAGTGAGGTCTAGAATGACATTAACTTTTCTCTAAGGAGCAATAAGTTTTATTTCTGACAGGTTCTTTGAGGCAATAGGAATGAAAGATTACCTTAATTCAATTTCTGGGATTGAGATTTTTTTTAGATCATTCAGATGATTAGAAGCTAAACTGTAGTACATGCCAGTGATAATTCACTTCCAGTTCACCCTTACTACTAGGGCACACCCTTTAGAGTCCATACCCAAATTGAGGGGGTTTATCAGGGCCTCAAGCTTTTCTCCAGTTTTTTGTCCCCCTAGTTTTGTGAAACTTTTAAAAGCATTGCTCAGCCTTCTGGCCACATTTTCTAGAATTGACATATTCACCCAGGAGAAAAATGACTCCAAATGCCAGACCCAACTCTCTGAATTTTTGTCTTCTCCTAGATTTTGGCCCAGAAATTCTTCACTATTTTATTAGCTCTTTGTGCCTTCAAGCTGATTGAAAATACATATATTTTTAAGTCAGTAGACCATGCCAGCTGCCCCTTTCCCTACACATTATTAAGTAATCTTACATTTGTCCTTCCTTCCTTTCTTCTGCAAGAAGGAAGAGGGAGGACATACTTTGGGGGCAACTAAGCATCACTTTCCAACCATTTAATTTATTGGTTTATCACTTTTGCTGAGTGTCTGCAGTTAGCCTAACAACTGGATTTTTTTTTTGTAACTAGATTTTATAATTATCATATATGCTTTACATAGGTTTCAATGAAATGTACTTTATTTTCACTAAGTATAAAATAGAAGATGATTTTTGTACTCCTCTAGCTTGATTTCACTGGTCACCATGGATAGAGCAGGCATCATAATCAGAAGTAAATGCAGATTTATTCAATTCAAATTGTGTAAATTATTAATCTTATTAAATTTGCATATCAGAAAAATGACTACCCCAACCCTGAGGCTTACTTTTATCATAATAATAAGGCAAAATACTTTGGTCTTTGAATTTATATTTTATAGATAATATATAACATTATAGGTAAATACATGGCTTAAGGCCGGGTATGGAGGCTCATGCCTATAATCTTAACACTTTGGGAGGCCGAAGCAGCACGATCACTTGAGGCCAGGAGTTCAAGACCAGCCTAAGCAACACAGTAAGATCCCGTCTCTACAAGAAAAAAAAAAAAAATTTAGCCAGGTGTGGTGGCCTGTGCCTGTAGTCCCAGCTACTCAGGAGGCTGAGGGAGGAGGATCACTTGAGCCCAGAGGTTTGAGGTTGCTGTGAACTAGGATAACACCACTGCTCTCTTGCCTAAGCAAAAGAGCAAGACACTGTCTCAAAAAATAAAATAAGAAATATATATATACCCATACATGGATTATATATATTAGAAGTTATTATATTTCATTATTAATTAAAGACAAAAGCTTTTCTACTGTAATTTACAGCCACAGCTTGATATTTAAGAATCAATTTGCCAGTTTACTCTCTGCTGTCTTAATTAACTTCCCCCTCACCTTAACCCTCCTTCCATAATCCCCTTTGATTGAGACTTAAGGTGACAATAGATTCCCCTACAGAAGGTCTTTCAGTAACATGTTCATGGACAAACCTCAAGTGAAGGGAAATTAGTTGTATAAGATTATACAGTTAGTAGCAGAGCTGGCTAAGACCCAAACCTCCTGAATGCTAAGCTAAACTTTCTCCCTAGCCTTGATACTTTCCCCTAATCTGAAAGTTAGCACACCCTTGAGGCAAAATAGCAAAAGATGTGCCTCTCCCATGGAAGGGTTAAGGCAGAAGGTACAGGCAAAGTTCACTCCGTTTCCACTTCTCATGAGAATTTTAGTTTCAATGGACTCTCTAGGTTTGTCCTCCTAGTAACCTGATAAGGGAGTGTGTATCAACTATGTTACTAAGCAATTTTAACTACTTAAGGTAAAAATGACCCCTGATTGGTAAACTGCATCCGGTCTGGGAGGATTATAAACTACGATTAATACCTACTAGGAACCCACAGCTTTTTGAGTTTCTGTGACTGTGATGACTTCTGTAACAGGGCAAATCCATTGTGGGGACTCTGGAAGCTATGCCTTGAAATTATTACAAGAGATTCTGGCCCCTGGGGTATGAGGCTTTTAAGCCAGGGCAGCTCCTGTACCCACTCCATGTGAGTATTTTTTCCTTGTACCTGAGCTCTGTAACCTGGGGTCTAAGAAAATAGCTATGTGTTCTGTGTGTATATGGCAAGGGTTCCTACAGGAAGAGAAACTTCTGAGGTTGCCTTGCTGGAAGCTGTGTTTCCTGTCTTATATCTTTCTAAGTAGATTGTGCCAAATGTGGCCTATGTTAGTCTTGTGAGTGTGAATGTTTAGCTGAGCCTAAGACCAAGCCCCGGTGAGCATTACAGAAAGAGTCTGGGCTAGAGTGGGCAGGCTCTGTGTCTCACGCTGTGCTTACGACCAGCACAATGCCTTCTACTTCTATAAGGACAAGGCTTTTTAATGATGCTGACACAGTCTGTAGCTTTATTTATGATGGGGTACAATCCCTGCTAAGAGAACTCATACAAGTAATCTGTAGTTCTATTTTCTGGATCACAAGAATCCAATTGCTATAATTTCAACTCTAATTTTCTTATAATTTTGATAGTAGATGCTACAACCTAGATGAAATGTGCCAATTTTAAATACTTCATTTTCTTAAACAATAAACAATCTTTTTGCATTTTCATGATGCTGTTTTTCCTCCTCTCTCTCTGCATCCTTCCAGATGGAAAATTAAACTCACCTTAGCTGTTTTCCTCATTTTGAGTTTCTTCCTCAGGTAAGATGTCAGCCTCTGAGACCTCATCTTGCTGTTGCTCAGTTACTCTCTTTTGGAGCATGGCTTCCGTGTGCTGGTGGATGATCTGATGGGCTGCAAGAATATGTTTCCGCTGTGCGTTCCTCACTGTGCCAAAGTGACAGAAGAATTTTTATTCTGAAAGTCTGAATGAGACCATCCCCAAATGTTTTTAAAAGAGTACCGATCAGAATGACAATTTTGCAAACTTCATTATTTTCTGACTTAGGGCTGATTGGGTTAAATAAAAATTATCTGTTCTCTTCTTTAGAAGGACACCTCCTAGAGGTAAACCAAACCCAAGTCTTACTTCTTGCTGCTCCCTCTGTTCCCAGTTTTTAGTTTAGCCCATCACACTGCTCCCTACCAGGCTGGCTTCCATCCCCCTCCTCAGCAGCTGCCCGGCCTGCAGTGCCTGCACTCCAATTCCTACCCTTGTGGCAAAGCCCAGATTGAGTTCTAGCTCCTCCAGGAAGCTCCTCCTCTGATTCTGTCAGCCCATGTTTACCACTTACGACACTTGAATTTGTATAAAGCATTCACATGAGTTACATTTTGTTTTCTACCTAGATTGTAAACAAATAAAAAATAAAGGCCTTGTCTCATACTTTCAATATGGAGGGCACTTGATAGATAACAAGTTTCTGAGCTCATGGCTTTAGAACGTGGCCCTAGTTCCAAATTCTAAGAATATTTATTATCAAGGCTTAGTAAAGAAAATACTAAGCATCTAAGCCCTATGGAAAGGAGTAGTGATAATGATGATGATGATGATGATGATGATGATGATGTTGTTAGCAGTTAGCATTTGTCCTTGCTTTGTGCCAGGCACTGTTTTAAACAGTTATGTATAATTATTCATTTAATCCTCCTACAATTCTAAAATAGAATATTATTAATATCTTCATTTTCAGAAGAAGAAACATAGACACAGAGAGTTTGGGTAATTTATCCAAAGCCATACAGCTAGTAAAGGACAGTAAGAGGTACTGGGGTTCTTTGCTATTCAGGTATCTACTAGTTTACACAGGGTAATTCACACAGCACCTGTTGGCACTCTACAGTAGTATGGCTGAAAGAGTGTGGGTTTGGGATATTTTCAAGCCTGCAAGTTGGGTCCAAGCACTAATTTCCTGAATTAAAAATGAGAACACACTTACAGCTGTTGTAAGATATCACGATAATGTACATTTTAAAATGCTTAGTGCACTGACTGGGACTTAGCATGCATTTAAAATTTGGCAGTTATTATTATCATATATCTATAAACAGGCCTTTTTAAGAGCTTGCCAATGATCCATCATCTTCTTAAAAAGTAAGATATCACAAAGTGGTCTGTATATATCTTAATTTGGGGTAAAGAGTATATACAGTACACATGGTTCTCTTAGTTAAAAAAAACAAAAAGCCCCATCCATATGGCTTTTCTGATTTGGCATAAATATAAAGGGAAGAGGCTAAGGACTAGTCCAACTTGCCCACAGACAAGTCCTATTGGATTCCTTCGGCTCCAGTTCCTCCCCAAATCCTTTCCCTGAGCCCCAGGAGAAGTTAGGGGGTGGATATCAAACTAGTGGGATCTTAAACCTGCTGTTTGCCCCTCTCCTTTAATTCCCACGGGTGGAATGGCTCTGACGCAGGTTGACCTCACTTTGGACCTAGGAGAAGTCAAAAGGAGTTGGATATTTTCTGAAGGATCTAGAAAATATAAGACCCCTTTTATAATATAACATGACACAGAAATATGTATTCACTGACATGAAAATTACATTTTATTGTTATAGGCACTGTCATACACTGTTGATACAAGTCAACCATGGTTTTATGGGACAATTTGGCAGTATCTATCAGAATGTAAAATGTGCATGCCTTATAGCCCAGCAAGCATACTGCTGGGAATTTACTCTCATAAGCATGGCCAGGATATGTGTAAAATATATTGACTGCAACACTGCTTGTAATAGGAAAATACACTGGAAACAAATTAAATGCTTATCATTAGAGGTACTGGTTTAACAATCACACCATAACCATGTAATGGTTAGATAAGCTATTTCTTTATTCTCTCGAAGTATGTTAGAACTCCACCATCCCTTTATCCCTGAGTAAGCAGTCTGCAATATTGCACACTTTCCTGCTTAAACCTGTCTAGAATTCCCTTACATAATTCTCAAAGCTTTTGAGCTGCCTGTCATTTAAATATTGGTCTGCATCCGTCCCTCTAAGATCAGGCTTGCCACCAATAGTCTCAGAATTGCAAAAGGGTCATCTTCTTTTTCTTTTTTGGACATTTTTCTCTTCTTCTCTATAAACTAAAAGCATCAATCTTTAAAAACATGCTACTTGTGACAAATTATGAATTGGGGTATTTATACTTGGATGCAGCTCCAGCAAAAATAAGCTATTTGGGGTGTGGGTGGAGCAGCAGGGTAGATTTAGACTCTCCCAGCACCCCCTGCTTTTCCAGCACCCATGGTTCACATTCCCTGCCTCAAAACGGTTGCTACAGTGTGAAAATCCTTCATATGCTCAACATTTGCTTTATGTATACACCTCTTCTGAAAATTTGGGAGCTTCCTTTTAGAGAAGGAAGTCAAGCTTATTAGAACTGCATCCCACACACACTAGAGGTGGTTATGTTCTGGAATGAGGTGGCATGAAGAGAACTTGACAAGCTCTGGAATAAGGAAACTCAGTGATTCCCCTTCAGAAATTTCCCCATACCTCTATTTAGTTTGAAATATCTGGAATACTGAGATCTTTAGATCTTTCAGAAAATACTAAAGTAAAGCATTTATATTGGCTTACCTTTTTCTTTGACAAAGTCTTTTTGCACCTCTGGGATCAGAAAACTATAAACCAACTCAGCAACAATCTCCTCTGACTGAAGATGAGTTCGACTAAAAAATAAAAGATAAACTATTTCCTTTAGTTCCTTACTTGAGCTCCTGACTTATGCTTAGATCTTCCTTGCTGTGTAAGCAACTCCACTGCTCAAATCCCACCATCACTTTTTTCCTTGATTAAGTGATCTGAAACAACATATTCCTGGCAAGCTTGTTAAATGCCAAGGAAAATTTGGATTTGAGTCTATCCTTCATTTAACCTGCCTGCCAGGGAGGGAATGTTAGAAATACAGCTTATACATGGACACCAGAAACCTTGGATGAAATCCAGGTAATGGCACACACACAGATTCACATTGCTTTCATGCTTCCGAGTATTCTTAAAGTAATACGGAAGTAATCCAGACTGCAGAGCATAATGAAAAATACAATTCCCAATGTTCCTACCATACAAAGGTACAGGTGGGTTGACTTCTAAACAGTTATACTAATAAAACAGTGGACACTAAAGCATGAGTTATATATTTGTTTCTCCCTGGTAGTGAAATCTTGAGCTCTTGAGAAAATACATATGAGTACCAGTAAATGGGCTGCCCATTCTACAGTCTACTCTCTGGGTACATACCGGTTTTCTATTTCATAAGCAATGTCATTGATTTCCTCAGCTATCTTCTCAATTTCTGCCCTGGCTTGTTCTTCTGCAGTGTTCTCTTCGGTGTTCAGTATTATGTTTTCCAGGTAGGAGGATACAGTACTTTGGTGAACTTTAATTACCTGAAAAACCCCCAAATACCCAACTTATTCAGAACAGGAATGCTATTGTAAATAAACATTGATTGACTATTTTTTTTTTTTTTTTTTTGCAAATACAGTTCATTCATTACGTCAATAGACCCTTCACTAATCACTCCTTTTCTTTACCGTCTAATCAGTTTGTTTGTTCATCCACCTACCTACTCACTCTGGGCAGCCCCTACCCATTTAGCCCATTCTAGAACTGTGGATCTTACTTGCGAGTGGGCAATACAGCACTGCAAAAAGGTCACAGGCTTCAGAGTCAATAACCCTGGTTCGGATCCTAGCTTTGTTCTTACTATCAGTGTGACTTGGTTAAAAAACCTACCTGTAGCAAAGGCTAGGAAGTATTTCCCAATGTCTTTCTCTCCTTCCCCCTAAATAATAGAACTCCTGGATTTTAGCTAGGCAAACAGGTGCCTAGAAGAATAAAGACTACATTTCCTAGCACCCATAGAATCTGGATATGGCCATATGACCAAGTTACGACTAAGAGAATACATAAAAAAGTTATATGTGCAACTTCCAGAAAGAAAGAATTCTTAAAGGGAAAGACCAGACTTCTTTTCTTTCTCTTTTCATTTCTCATTTCACAGGGACATGCTGGAATGGGAAGATACATGTTAGCGATATTAGGTAGGGGATAGTAAGTTCTGGTTTGCCAATAATTTCTAAATCTCAGTAACTTTTCAAAGAAGTGTGTTAAGATGATAGGAAGCTAGAATATAAATTACAGTCGTGTGCCATTTTGATCAACAACGGACCACATATATGACAGTGGTCCCAGAAGATAATAATGGAGCTAAAAATCCATACCACCTGGTGACATTGTAACCCTAATAACATCTTAGCACAACATATTACTCATGTGTTTGTGGTGATGTTGGTGTAATGATGACTACTACACTGTCAGTCATATCAAAGTGTAGCACATATAATTATGTATATAGTACATAATACCTGATAATGATAATGAATGCCTATGTTGCTGGTTTATGTATTTACTACTGTGTTTCCCCCAAAATAAGACCTACCCATAAAATAAGCCCTAGCAGGATTTCTAAGCATTTGCACAATATAAGTAAGCCCTACCCCAAAAACAAGACCTAGTGATGGGCGTGGCTATGCAGCATATCTGCACATCCCATGCATTTCGTCGCGGAGCAGTAAAGAAGATGAGCAGCCCTTCTCATCTGCCCCATGAGAGCTCTACTGCTCGACATGAGAGATTGGGGCCAATGGTTCTAAAGGAAATAGAGTCGCAAGAAATTCAGGATGGAATTCGGGGTTTGGAGAGTTATGATGATGTTCCAGAAGAAGACTTAACTATATTTGAATAAATGTAGATTGTTATATCATACTTAAAAAAAATAACACATCCCTTGAAAATAAGCCCTAGGGTGTCTTCTTGAGGAAAAATAAATATAAGACCTTGTCTTATTTTTGGGGAAATATGGTATAATATACTTTTTATCATTATTTTAGAATACTATTTATGCTTATATATTTTAAAAAGTTAACTGTAAAACAGCCTCAGGTAAGCCTTTCAGGACTTATTCCAGAAGAAAGCATCATTATCCTAGGAGATGACATAGCAGGTGACAGCTTTGTGTGTGTTATTGCCCCTGAAGACCTTCCAGTGGGACAAGATATGGAGGTGGAAGACAGTGATATTGATGTTCCTAACCCTGTAAAAGCCTATGCTAATGTATGTTTATGTCTTAGTTTTTAACAAAAAGTTTAAAAAGTAAAAAACAAAAGTAAAAATTTTAGAAACAGAAAAAAGCTTATAAGGATATAAAGAAAAAATACTTTTGTATAGCTGTACAGTATGTTTTAAACTATGTTATAAAAGAGTCAAGAAGTTGAAACAAATTAAAAAGTTTATAAAGTAAAAAACTTATAGTAAGCTAAGGTTAATTTATTATTGAAGAAAGAAAAAAATTTTTTTAAATAAATTCAGTGTAGCCTAAGTGTATGTTTATAAAGTCTGCAGTAGTGTACAGTAATGTCCTAGCCCTTCATGTTCACTCACCACTCACTCACCGACTCACCCCGAGCAACTCCCAATCCTGTAAGCTCCATTCATGATAAGTGCCCTATACAGGTGTATCACTTTTTATCTTTTATATTTTATGTTTACTGTACCTTTTCTATGTTTAGATACACACATACTTACCATTGTGTTACAACTGCCTACAATATTTAGTACAGTAACATGCTGTACAGGTTTGTAGCCTACGAGCAATAGTCTATACAATATAGCCTAAGTGTGTAGTGGCTACACCATATCATTTTGTGTAAATAGACCCTATGGTGTTTGCACAGCGACAAATTTGCCTAAGGATGCATTTCTCAGAACATATCTCCATCGTTGAACAAGGCGTTGACTATATTATTATAGGCTGTTACACACTGTAGATAGATGATCTGCTACTGGAATTAAAAACCTGAACTTGACAACATTATAACTCAACTTTAAGCTATATAGAGAAAGCACAATGTTTAGCTTTAATCAAAAAGTGTTTTGATTTAAAAAAAATAGACACCAAATACTGTTCATGGAGTAATACTAATTCCATGAAAACCAGGTAAATCATTAAAATCTCAGACCAAGTAGGAAGACCTCCAAATTGACATACCATATTTTTTTTTTACCTGAAGAGCTCAAAAGTATCCACATATAGATTCAGTCCTCTTAGAAAGGAATTTTTTAAAAGTTTTTGGCTGACTTTTTTCTCTTTCTCACCTTTGGTCCAGGGGACGTGCTCACACAGCCCAGCCTTGACACATTCTGGGCATGCCTGGCCATCCTGAAGTCTCGTCTGTGCCCACTTCCAAAGCAATGAGATAGCACAGCTCTCCTCTCTATTTCCTAGGGGGTCAGGGCCCTACCTGAGAGAATACACGACCCAGTGAAGTTCCCCTCTCTTAACTACAATAAAAGAGACGGTCCCCCACTCCTCACTTCCAGGTGTGTGTGTGGGGCCAACATTAGTCACAGCACAGCTCCCTTTTAGGAAATCTTTTCCACAAATCCCCTCCAATTTCAATACTCGACCTTGAGGAGGGTTAGAGTACTTTGAGATATTACTGGTTCCTAGAATTTCCTCTGAATTTGCATCTCAGTCACTTTGGAATTTCATATCCATTGTGCCTTGGTCAGCATTTTAATTTGCCAATGCGGTACATTAACTCCCAAATTTATTAATGTATTTTCAGCTAAAACCTCTCTTCTAGATCCCCTCTTGTATATCCATCTACCTCCACTTAGATGTCCCAAAGTAAATATAAACTGAATTCCATCCCTGCCCCTAAACCTAGTCCCCTCTCGACTTTCCTACCTCAGAAAATAGTACCATCATCAACAGCTGGAGGAAGCTGGATGTCATACTTGATGTCTCCCTGTCTCTCACTCTGGCCTTAACTATGTCAACAGCTGCTTCCCGGGCTCCTTGTTCCCTCTTTGTCCGCCCTGCAGCCTGTTCTCCACGTAGTAAACAAAGCAACCTGCTTAAAATGGGTCTCTGAGCCTCGTTTCCTTCCCTCATGGAACTCATTACGTTTTCTAACTCTACACTTTTGTGCATGTCACATGTTATTTAAGCTCCAGGAGACGAGGGACCATGTCTGATGTTTTCCCTTCAAAGGATCCCACAAAACCCTGGCACAGTGCTTGGCATGTAGTAGGAGCCCAACGCAGATCTGCTAAATAAAATGAAAAACAAGAACAAATGGCATTTCATGTCAAGAGGTTCCTTTGGTTTGACTCGGCTCCGTCCAGGCAGCTTCCACAAGCCGCCCCACTTGCCTCTTTGAACATCTCGTCCTCTTCCCACAGGCGCCGCTGTTCCACCTGGCGCCGGCCACTCTCCTCGGCCTCCCGCATCCTCCGCTGGCGATCGGCCAGCATGGCGAAGGCATGGATCCTCCTCTCCTCCTGCAATCGCACTAGCTCCTTGGACAGGAAGTCAAACATGTCTGCCAGCGCCCTTCCTTCCAGCCCGGCCAAATGGTTTTTGACCAGTGACTCCTTGAAAAGAATAATATAACTTTAAGGATACAAATTCCACTCTGAATGGTGATTATTAGGAAGGGTGCTGGATCACTCAGAACTCTTGAGTCAATGTACTTTCAGAATGCATTTATTTTTTATTAGAAATATTATCTCTAGATTGGTCTTATCCTGTAGGTTCTTACTAGGAGAACACAGGCATGAGAAAGTGGATTGTTTCGTCAGTCACTGTTGGATCATAGTCTTCAAATTATGAAAAGGATTTAGGAAGACATTTCTGTTAATGACCACACACAATTTTTTTCTCTCAATTTTATCTGAAAGGTAAAGTGTGTCTTCTAAGACATGAAGGGAAATGTCAAGGTTTAATAAGATAGAAGCTCCTAGAAATTCATGCATGATACTTTTAAATTTTTTAATGTCTGTCCTTTCACACAAGTTTGGGGAATTTTAAGATCTTGCATAAGATGAAAGTAGATAACCTTCAAATCTTTTAATAACTTCAAAGCCATTAACAACCATCTTTGAAATAGCCCAGGAAAAAGACTAAATGTCTATGTGATCAATTGAGGTAAAATAGGGACCCATGATGCTCTTGGCCAGGAAAAAGCCACAGTACCTATTCATGGAACCCTGTGCCCTGGCTTTGACATACAAGAAGAAAAGTGTTTAAGATGATTTATCCTTTGAAACTTTATCCCATTCCCTCTCCTATCCCCAGGTATAAGGGGAATGGACTTTTCTTCCAGTCATATGCTACTTTAGCACTCACAGTTCTCCCTCTGGGCTCAGTTCCCCTTCTGATCTATATCTGAAGGGAAGAAATATTCACTGGGGTGACAGACTGTGAAGTGTCATGGTTAACCCCAAAACCCTCATCCTCTTCCTCACCTACCTCCCAGCCCACACATACTTTCTAATCACAAAGCTCAACTTATGTGCCAGGGAGAGATGGAAAGAAAGGGCAAAACTAAGTGCATCTCACTACTTCTCACATTCATAAACAGCAGACATTCAGCCTCAGGTCACAAGTGGATTCTCTCCCTGTCTCCAGGGAGCATAAGCTCCCTCACTTGGGGGTCAGATGCAAGTTTTAAAATCCTGAGATGGCCACATGCTCATGTCTAGCCTCTCTCAGTAAGGAATGTGGGCATGCTCAGGTAGTACAATCTAATTTGAAATTAAGGAAAAATATTTAGGAAGGTGATTCTGGTGTGGTCACATCATGTAATGTATTACATAATTGGAAAGTGCACATTTTCTGCTCTGTTTTCCACAGAAATAAAAGAGAAGGAGAGAGGGAGAGGATCAGCATTGCTGAAGGTATATGTGAGGTGACCACTCCCTTAACCCCTGCATAGCATAGCGTATACAGGTGTGACTGAAGGTAAGCAGGGTGAGTTCTTGGCTAAGTGACAGGTTTTCCCATTAACTCCTCCCTTAGCTCTTAGCTGACGTGATCTCAGCCATGTGTATAGCCACTAAAAGGGATAAATGAGTTGAAAGGCCTGGGCTGGCTTAGCTCATCTGCGAAAGGCCATTATCAGAAACCTCAATAGACCAAGGAGGGCATTTTCCACCCAGAGTCTCAGGACCTAGTGCCTGCAGGGCATTCTGGACATTTCTAGGACCTTAAGGCGTCTAGATTCAAGGACTCATGTCTACATTCTCCTTTTCTCATCCCTCTGTTGGGTCTCACAGCCTGTGGCTCTCTTCCTCCCTCTCCCCACTGCAGCTCCCCCCAGCTCAGCCGCCATCCATGGTGCTGATGCCATGTAAAAAGAATAAAGCTCTGGTCATTTCTCAAGTGCCCAGGGCCCACGCAGCACCAGAGTCGTGTGTATTACTGGAGGTGGGTCATACTAACTTTGCTGTATTACTTTCTTATAACACCAAACTCTTTGCAAATTGGTTCTTTTTCAGATTGGCTCACAGAAAAGTGGGAGACGGAGTAAAAGTATATGTACACTGTGGTCAACAACATTAAAAAGTGTGTGTGTATGTGTGTGTAGACAAACACTGGAAGGGAGCAGGAAAAACATTCACAGCAGTTGGTTTATAGCTGCAATTCATACTTTCTAATGTGTCAAATGTATCTAGGGGAAAAAAACAAAGCAAGCAATTCTCATCGGTGTCAGGTGGCACACAGCCAGGGGGTCATGATGAAAGGCACCAGATATCATGAAGTAGTAACATATTTAATACACAGTTTAACCAGCATGAGCTATATACAGCTCCAAAACTCAGAAATAAGTGTTGAATATTTTAAAATAAATCTCATTTCTTCCTTTTTCCATGTTGCTTTTATTACTTACTCATTCTGCTAATCCCTCACTAACTGACATATAGTAGAGTTACCAAATATTTAAGAAAAAATGGGATGGAGAAAATCTTATAGTTTAAAAACTGCATTTTTTGTGTGTATTTTTTGTTGTTGTTGGTGGTGGTGGTGGTATTTCTGTTTTTGGTTTTTGTTTTTGTTTTTTCCCCACAAATGAAGAAAATAACACCATCTTCAATTCAGTAAGTGTACAGTCCTAATTATGGCCTGCAGCAGCACTGTTTAAGAATGCTGATGGTGTGATGGGATTGGGGAGGTTTTTATCATTTTATTTATTGTTTTTATAATGTTGCTTGTGCAATGATAAAAATCAAGGGGGAAATGTAACAAGAAAGTAACAAGAAAAAAAGGAAAAACCTTGTGTTCATGCAAATTCCTCTGCTGCAGGAGGGCCAGGGTCACTTGCTTCTCGGCTTTTTTCACCAGCTTTTCGTCATCTTGTAGTGCGTGGCTGGTGCGCAACTCCTGGATCAACTCCAGTCGCTTTTCTTTCCCTTCAAACATCTGTATCAAATCAAACCAAAGAGAGACCTGCACATTACCATCCATTTGGGACAAGCACTAGGAGTCTCATGCAGCTGCTCGTGAGACCCCTGGGAAGAATGGGTTCTGTCCTGTCCCTTAGGGTCCACAGAGCAGGTGTGTTCCCCAGAGCCAGTGCTCAGCTCAGCCCACTTTTCTGAGCCTTCAGCTGCTCGGGCAGAGAACAGGCTTAGTTTTCAATCCACCTTCCTCGGCCTCCCAGGGTGCTAGGATTACAGGTGTGAGCCACGGTGCCTGGCCTATGTATATATATTTTTAACTAGAGTTTGATATTAATCCATTTTTAAGTAAAGTGTGTCTAGAAACACAAATAATCTAAGGCTTTACAGTCAGGAAGACCAGAATTGAATTTTCTGGTAGTTAACCAAATTTCTCTCAGACTCAGATTACTTGCCTGTAAATGAGATTACAATTAGCAAAAAATGATATGCTGTATGTAGAACAAAGAATATATAATGTGGGCATAAATAGTAAGGGTCCAAAGCTGTACTTTTTAATATGTAGCGATTTCATTTATAATGTAGATTATTGCCAGCTATATGCAAACTCATGACTGTGAAAAATTAGATTAGGGAATCCACTTGGTTTGTGCTTTAATAGTCAAAATTTTTTTTTTTTTTTTTTTTTTTTTTTTTGAGACAGTGTCTCACTTTGTTGCCCAGGCTAGAGTGAGTGCCGTGGCGTCAGCCTAGCTCACAGCAACCTCAATCTCCTGGGCTCAAGCGATCCTGCTGCCTCAGCCTCCCGAGTAGCTGGGACTACAGGCATGCGCCACCATGCCTGGCTGGTTTTTTCTATATATTAGTTGGCCAATTAATTTCTTTCTATTTATAATAGAGACGGGGTCTCGCTCTTGCTCAGGCTGGTTTCGAACTCCTGACCTCGAGCAATCCACCCGCCTCAGCCTCCTAGAGTGCTAGGATTACAGGCGTGAGCCACCACGCCCGGCTCAAATTTTAATAGTCAAAATTTAGGTGCAAAAATTTATGGATTTAGCAATTCTAAGGAAGAAATGAGTTTCACATTGGTTCCTCCTCTCTCCTTCTTTGACACTGTGCCACCCAGCTAAATAAATGAGGGCACTAAAAGGGAATGAGTAGGCAATTTGAGAGTCTAGCTGAACAGGATAGCAGGGTGCAAGAAGGAATTCACCCCAACGAACCAAGCATGTAAGAAATCTAAAGAATTTATTCTCAAAGGAGAAACACAGGGCCAGTGGGTGAACCTACATACCATGTTCTGAACAACTCTGCCCCGGAGTAACTTTTGAAGGTAGATCACAGCCATTTCTATGTCTTCTTCTTCCTAAAAGAACAAAGGGAGAACCAGGCAGCCTGAGAATTGCAGAAGTACAAGCATCAAATATTCTTTTGAAGACTTATTTCAAGCAAAAGAGATTGTCGGAGATGCCAAAAGGATTTAAAGAGAAATAAAACATGGTCCCTGCCCATTGAACATATAGTATTTTTAATGTTACTTACTGTATCATTAAAATCCATCATTTTTTCTTCATAAATACATCATTAACAAATCATATTAAAAGAAAAAAAATTTACTCACTGCCATGCTATCATCCCTACAAATAAAGCCATTTTCATTTTTTATATTCCTTTTTAGCAAAATCTTTCTTGCAGCATCAAGCATTGCTTGTAACATCCTTTTTTCAATAGTATTTTCATGTTTGATCATAAGTAGACAAAGAAAACAGCTAGTCTATGTCACAGTGAGTTGCTTCTCACAACAAGTCAGCTACACTGGTAAAATCAGAATACAATGAATAAGACTAGCCATTTACAAAAATCACCTTAAATAACTATGTGTCCAAAGCAGAAAGAGCAAGGTTTATAAATCTAATTAAGGTGCATCTGAATGCATAAAAAAGCAACAGTCCAACTGATGGCACTGACACATATGAAAGACAATGTGTTGTTAACCAAAGGCTCGCACCAAGTCTAGAAAAGGGGATGTCACCCAGGAGCACATCCTGGCCAGTTAGTGGGAGGATGCCAGGCCCTCTGAGGGGCCACCCATCAGAAGTGGTGACAGGTATAGTGAAATTTCCCATCAACACCTGCCCCCTGCCAGAAACGCACCAACCTTCTGAATACAATTTGGCTTTTTTGTGAGGATTGCCCTGTACTGGGAGATAACGTGCTGACCCGCCAAGAGGCCCATCCCAATCTACCAGGCAGTCATATTTTTATCCGTAAAGCAATACATTTGCATTGTGGCATTTCTAGTAGTTTTTTTGTGGGTTTGCTTAGTCCTCTAAATCCTAGCCAACTCTGGTACTTTGCCCAAATTGAGTCTGATAAGATGCGGCCCTGGTCAGAGTGACCTCTTTGAGTCATTCGTACCCCAGAAGCCAGCCTGTCTTGATGACACCTCTGGCATTTCATTCCTCTTCAACTCCAACAGGTCATCAGCCACCTCCCCATGGGGGAAGATCGTTATGGTAACTGGTTATCATTCAGTCTTCTTGTTCTATTTGATATGCATGACGATCACCTTCCAATGCTGATTTTTCATGGGAATATTACTTATTCTTTGTGTTTTTATTCTTGAAAAGGATTGGGTTTAGATTTCATTTCATTTTGCTTATTTATGTGTGTGTGTGTAATGTTTGATACATAAAAGAATAAAGACAAATTTGAGTCAGAGCTAGGGAAAGTAACACCATTGAATCAGATTTGTTTTCACTCTGAACTCTGCTAAGACTAAACTGACAATATTGAATTTAGCATTTCAAATACAAAAGCTTCAAACTTACATTGGAACTCAATTGCAAGGTTGGAGTGGGAAGCCGAGGTGCAGGTATTGGGTTTCTTTGAAGGAAACGCGGGGGCTTCTTTGCCTCATGAACTTTATTCTTCTTATCCAACAGTGCCTGAAATAACACCAACTAACATCATCTCTTATCTTTGTATTTCCCTCTACTATCAGATCTAGGCCTCAGATCTGAATATCAATCAGAACCAATATTCTCTATGGCTTTGCTAGGTCAGTTTGAGAAAGTCCTAACAGGGGTGTGTAACTCCCAAGGGATGCTATGATACTCCTAAGGATACATTAGCCACTGACTAAACATTGTGCATATTCTTGATATATCCATTTTAATCAAAGATTTTGGGGATTTTAACATTTTTTGTTTTGAGTTGCTAAAAGGTTCTGTCTTTTATGTATACAAGCAAAACTCCCAACCCCTATTTCTTCCACAGGAGATAATTTGCTGAATGCCTGGGCAATACAAAATTTTCCTGTGCAATAAATGATTGAAATAGTTGGTATGCCTTGTTATGGGGAAACCATGGAGCATTAAATGGTAATTGTCTCAAACTGGATGCAGAACTTTACTTCAGTCTTGAAGGCCTGCATATCCAAATTTTCAAAAATGAACTTGTCTCCTAGTGAAACAGTATATGTGTTTATAGTTTAACATACTCTTTTTCTTTTTTTACTTTTGATCACCAAAAGTCCTGCCAAAATTATACATGATATAAGATTTTGTTCATTGGTTCTATTTTCAGCCATAGGGGAATACTTTTAATTTAAAAGAACCAAAATTCTGACTTTGTGAATTTAAAATCATACTTTAGTTAACTTTTCATCATATAATAAATTTTATATTATATTTTCAATAAAAAAATAGATGACTGATTTTTTAAAAACCATGCACTAGGTCAAAACTTGAAACTAGTAAAACTATGCAAATTATGAAATTTAGAACCACCTAAAATTATTGTGGTTGCAATAGAGCCTCTGAGTTTCTTCAAAATAAAACTGATATCAAATATAAGACAGCTCTGTGGAAACCACAACTGGTGAATCAACAGAAAGCAGCAGCAGTCAAAAGTAATTAATAATTCTAAACTTAGGTATCTCTTGAGGGAAGAGCTCTGAATAATACCTCATGAAACCATTTCAAAGCCAATCATTCATAACAAATTATGTTGATAAGGATGTGGGAAAACAGGTACTCTCACACATTACTGAAATTGGTACATCATATACTTAATAAAATTTGGCAACAATATCCATCAAAATTATGAAAGCACATACATTGTGGTCCAGCATTTTCACATCTAGAAATTTATCTTCTAGATATGTTTACACATGTACCAAATTACATACAAATGAAGTTACTCATTGCAGCATCGTTTTTAACACTAAAAAGTTATAAATAATCTAAATATCCATCAAAAGGGGACTGATTAAATACATTATGGTACATTTATACAATTATACAACATGAAAATGTAAAAAATAAGAAGAAAGCTTTTCAAGTAATACTGGTATGGACAGATTTCCAAGATATATAAAATTTAAAAAAAAAGCAAGGGCAGAACAGTGCATATTTTATACTAACATTCATGTAAAAAAGAGTTTAAAAAGATACTTATATGTATTTGTACATATTTGTATATACATATGCATAAATACACAATACACAAACACATACACACTGTATATGTGCATGTATATATTTACATAGCCACACACACATATACATACACATGTATTTCTTTATAGAAAATATTTCTGGAAGGATAGATATGAAACTAAAAGCTCTTGTTGCCTCCAGAGAAAAAACTGCATGGCTGGGACATGGGGATGGAAGGAAAACAGTCTAGTTAATTCTCCTGTATAACTCATGAAATTTGAACTCTGTAGGTATACTTCCTAGTTAATAAATAAATACATACTAAATACAAAAAAAACAAAGAAAAAATTCAAATTGTGAAGGAAAAATCAGCATCTTTTCACAATTAAAAGAAAAATGTTTGGTCAAGAAGACCCGTGAAAAGCATAATCAATCCAACAAACAAAATTGAGATTTTCTTCCAAATCAGCCTCACAATTGCCTGGAAAGGTAAAGCTCACCACAAGAGAGGGAAAGAGAGAGAGAGAAGATATGAATGAATGAGAATATTAAGGAAAGTGCTCTATCAAATAATATATTTTAATATGCTGAAAAGACAAATAACTGTATTTGATCCATGGATTTCAAAAACAGAAGAAAAGACTAATTGGTAGATTCTTTTAGTCCACTTTATAACATAAGTGATTTGACAAAGCATCAAAAACATATTTCAAGCTAAATTTCTACCAAGAATGGCTTGAAAATATTGTACTGTGGAAATTCTTTTATGCTATTCTGGGTATTTCTCCTCTATGACTACTATGACACAGATCATAAAGCATTTAAAAAACAACAACAACAACTTTAAACCTCCTGTACCTTCATATTTGTATGATTCTGTATTCTCAAAATAATGTAAGCTTAAGACTAAGAAGATAGACTGCCTGGACATAAGCCTGATATTTGGTGACTCTCCTCAATCCAATTTTCCAAACTGATAGATTGGCATTTCACTCCAAATCCAAAAGGGGAGATAAAAACAGGACACTAATATAATGTAGAGCCTCTGATACCTACAACTACAACAAACACTAGATACATCCCAACTTCCAGCCAGATTAACATAAATCGCACCCTATGGCCTATTTATCTCATTGCTCACTACTTGAGACCAGATAACAGGTTATCAATAAAAAAATTAAAAGACATGCTTAAAATAAAAAAAAACAGTCTGAAGAGATAAACTAACCAGACTCAGATATGACACAGATGTTGGAATTATCAGAGAACTTAACGTTATCATCATTATTAATAATATGTTAAGGGAACTAATGGAAAAGGTAGACAACACACAATAGTACATGAGTAATGGAAACAGAGAGGTGAAAACTTTTTTAAAAATCTCAAGGAAAGGCTAGGAATCAAAACACGATAACAAAAATGAAAAATCCCTTCAATGGGCTCATTAATAGACTTGATATGGGCAAGGAAAGAATCAGGGAACTTGAAGATAGGTCAATGAAAACTTCCCAAACTGAAATGGAGTGAGAAAAAAGAATGGGGGTGAGGGGTGGGGGAAGCAACAGAACAGAACATCCCAGAACTGTGAGACAATATCAAAAGGTATAATATACATGTAATTGGAATAACAGATGGAGAAGAAAAAGAGAGAACGGAGCAGAAGAAACATTTAAAGTAATGATTGAAAGCTTTCCAAAATTAATAACAGACACCAAACCACAGATCCAGAAAGTTTAGAGAACATCAAATAAAATTAATACTATACGTTAAAAAAATGCAGGCATATAATATTTAAATTAAAGAAAAACCAAAAACAAAAAGAAAATCTTGAAAGAAGCCAGAGAGAAAAAACACCTTACCTACAGGGGAATAAAGGTAAGAATTACAGTGGACTTCTAGTCTGAATCCATGCAAGCAAGAAGACAGTGGAGTGAAATCTCTGATGTGTTAAAAGAAAAAAAACATCAACCTAGAAAAATCTATTCTTCAAAAGTGAAAAGATCAAAATGAAAAACTTTTGTGTTTCAAAGGATACTATCAATAAAGTGAAAAGAACCCACAGAATGAGAGAAAAATTGCAAATCATATATTTTATAAGGGTCTAGCCTCCAGAATATATAAAGAACTCTTACAACTCAACAACAAAAAGACAAACCCAATTTTAAAAATAGGCAAAGGTTCTAAATAGACATTTTTCCAAAAAAGATACACAAATGACCAATAGGCTACATGAAAAGATGCTCAACATGCTTAATCATTAGGAAAATGCAAATCAAAGCCACAATAAGATACCACTTCACTCATAGACACTAGGATAACCATAATAAAAAGATGAAAAATAGCAAGCCACAGCAAGAATGTGAAGAGATTGAAACCCTCATACATTGCTGGTGGGAATGTAAAATAGTGCAGCCATCTTGAAAAGAGTCTGGCAGTTCCTCTAAAAGAAAAACATGGAATTACTACAGGCTATACTTTGGATATTTGACCCTCCAAACCTCCATGTTGAAATGTGATCCCCAATGTTAGAGGTAGGGTCTAATGGAAAGTGTTTGGGTCATGGAGGCAGATCCCTCATGAATGGCTTGGTGCTGTCCTGGCTGTAATGAGTGAGGTCTCTCTCTATCAGTTCCTGTGACAGTTCCCCAGAGAGCTGCTTGTTTAGAAGAGCCTGGTACCTTCCTTCCCCCTCCCTTGTTTCTTCTCTTTGCCCATGTTATGTCTGCATGTGCCTACTCTCCGTCCCCTTCTGCCATGAGTGGAAGCAGTCTGAGGCCCTCACCAGATGCTGATGCTGGTACCATGCTTCTTGTACAGCCTGTAGAACCATGAGATAAATAAACCTCTTTTCCTTATAAATTACCCAGCCTCCAATATTCCTTTATAGCAACACAAATGGACTAAAGCACTATGTAACCCAGCAATTCTACGAGATATACCCAAGAGAAGTAAAAACATATATCCACACAAAAACTTGTACACAAATGCACACAACACATTAATTATAATAATCAATAGTATAAACAACTCAAATGTCCATCAACTAATGAACAGATAAATAAAATGCAGTACAATCCATATAATGGAATATTATGCAGTCATAAAAAAGAATGAAGTATTGAAATGTACTCGAATCTGGATGAACCTTAAAAACATTATGCTAAGTGGAAGAAGCCAGATATAGAAAGGCCATATATTGCATTATTCCATTTATATGAAATGTGAAAAATAGGCAAATCCATGAAAACAAAGTAGGATAGTGGTTGCCAGGGGCTGAGGGGAAGGGGAAATTGGAAGTGACCGTTAATGGGTATGGAGTTTGTTTTGGGGATGATGAGAATTTTCTGTAATTTTTAATAGTGATGATGGTTGCACAACTTTGTATGAATATGCTAAAAATCACTGAATTGTATATTTTATTGTATGTGAATTACATTCCACCAAAAAAGTAAAGGAGACAAACAAAAACGGAAGAAGTTCATTGCCAGCTTAACTTCCCTGCAAGAAATGATAAAACTAGTTCTGCAGGCAGGAGAGAGGAGGGAGGAATCGGCAATAATCTGCTCTAAGGTACCTGCCTTACACATGAGGTCGCATAATATTATTTGAAGGTGGACTGTGATTATTTTATATGTGTGATCATATACTAGCCCACAAAGCAAGCCTCACTAAAGTTCAAAGAATAGGTATTGCACAAACAATGATCTCTGATTACAGTGCAATTGAGTTAGAAGTTATTAATCATTAGAAAATGAGTTAAAATTCCTATATATTTAGAAATTTAGAAACACACTGTTAAATTCACATAGGTTCAAAAATCATAATGGATATTTTCTGATATTAGAAATGAAGAATAATGACAAATACTACATATCAAAACTAATGGAATGAAACAAAAATCAGTGTTTAGGAAGAAATATTTAGCCTAAAATACTTATATAAATACTTATCAGTGCCTAAAATTGATGAGCTGCATGTCCAATTTAAGTTAGGAAGTACTACAAAACAAACACAGAGAAAGCAGAAATATATAATAAATATAGGAGTGGAAATTAATGCAATTGAAAAAACATATGTGATAGAGAAAATCAACAAATTTAAAAATTCATTGTTTGGAAAAACAATACTAAGAAAAAAAGCAAGACTCCACTAAAACTGATTAAGGAAAAAGAGTTAGGGCATATATAAATAATATTGTGGATGAAAAAAATAGATATGAATAAGATAAAACATTTAAAAGATTATAAAACAATACTATCAAAAATCACATGCCAAAACTGAAATGTTAGGTGAAATGGAATTTCTAAAAAATATATCATTTATTAAAAATAATACATAAAAGTTCCGTAAGTTGTAAAGAAATTGAAGTAGTGGTTAAAAATTTTCTCATGAAGAAAACATGAGTCCCAGATGATTATGTATGTATATTCTATCAAACTGAAGGAACAGATCATCCCAATCTTACTTAAACTCTTCTGAAAAAAGAAAAAGAGAAGGACTACTTCTCAGCTCACTTCTGGAGACCTGAATAATTTTAATACCAACCCCATATACAGGCAAAATGAGAAAGAAAAATAAGATCATTTCACACATGAATATAGAAGCAAAATCTTAATCAACATATTAATAAATCAAATCTAATAATGTATTAAAAATAAGCTAATTTACTTTGACCAAGGCAGGTTCATCCCATGTGTGGGAGAATAGATTAATATATGTAAAAAACTATAAATGTTACTATAGTAAGTGTAAAAGATAAAAGTGTATATAATTACCCCACAAGATGCAGATTAAACATTTGATAAAATTCAACATGAACACTTGAATAAAAGCTTTAGTAAATTAGGGGCTGGGCGTGGTGGCTCACGCCTGTAATTCCAGCACTCTGGAAGGCCGAGGCGGGAGGATAGTCAAGGTCAGGAGTTCGAAACCAGCCTGAGCAAGAGCAAGACCCCATCTCTATTAAAAAATAGAAAGAAATTAATTGGCCAATTAAAAATACATATAGAAAAAAATTAGCCAGGCATGGTGGCACATGCCTGTAGTCCCAACTACTCAGGAGGCTGAGGCAGAAGGATGGCTTGAGCCCAGGAGTTTGAGGTTGCTGTGAGCTAGGCTGACACCACGGCACACCAGGCCGGGCAACGGAGTGAGACTCTGTCTCAAAAAACAAAAACAAACAAACAAAAAAAACTTTAGTAAATTAGGAATATAAGGGAACTACCATAACCTAATAAAAAGAACATGGAAAAAAATCTTACAGAAAGCAAGAGAATGATGAACATAGCATTCGGGATGCGTAGAGGATGTCAGGGGTTGGGGAATGATATGGAAAAGGACCACATAGATATATGGAAATGATTGTCAAGGTCCTAATTTTTAAGTTGAATGTAGGCTCCCACTGATTCTTATTATATTAGTAAAATCAACTTAACAAACAAACACACATGGGTCAGCAGGGAGAGTATGTCATACACCATTGGGTCTCAAAGTGTGGTTCCTGGATCAGCAGCATCAGCATCACCTGGAAATTTGTAAAAAATGCAAATGCTCCAGCCCTACCCAGACCTATGAATCAGAAACTTTGGGGGTGAGGCCCAGCCACACGTGTTTTAACAAGCTCTCCAAGTGATTCTGATGCACAGGAAAGATTAAGCACCGCTATCATAAACCACAGATTCTAAGCACCCAAGTCTATTTACCTACAGCTCAATTAGCCAAAAAAAAAGCCCAGCAGGCAGATACTGTGTAGCTGGTTCATGGAATGGCTAGCAAACTCTCTCCTCTAGTTGAATTTTAAACTAGATGAGAAAGAAGTTGAACATGACTATCTTTATGATGCCCAGATAACAAATATAAAAGAGAAAAAAATCAGACCTATTATTAATACAACTATTAACACCAACAATAATTCTTAATACTAGAAACTTGCTATACCTAGTATAGTGTAAATTTTATTATATTGATCCAAAGTTGGAAACACTTTTAGAAAGTAATATGACTTCTACTAATGAAGACAATAACCTCCAAGAGGTTTTCTTACAATTTGAAATGAGGGAAAAAAACCACACTGATTCAACACAGCATGGGCAACCTCTAGGAAAGAAAAGTCTCAAGAGGGGAAAGAATGTAAGGTTGTATGTTAGACCCACTGGACGCTACGGCCCAAGATAAAGTATAATTTTTTGAGTACAGTATTTCTCTGTAAAAATCACACTAGAAGCATCTTGTCTTCCAGATAACAATTATACCTGATGAATCTCTGCCAACTCACAGTCAAACCTTGCCGTTCTCTTCAGAAAACCAGATTTGGTGGTAATGACTTTTAATTTTGGAGGTTTGATTCGGGGTTGTGTCACAAAATCTGGGAGACTTGACTCAAGTTCGACTAATCCTATGGGAAGGAAGTATATGCTTTTAGTATCCAGTGCTTATGTTTATCATTTTTAAAGTATATTGTTAATTTTTGTAGCTGTTTACCAAATGGTTTCATTGGAGTTGTTGATGGGTATGTTTCATATGACAGAGTGAACTGTCCTTGAAATGTATAGCACATTTCTGTATAATTAACTCATGTTCTCAGTGACTTACACTATAAAATGAGAAGCGCATTCTAAAATGAAAATATTGCCTTACAAAAAAGTAGTAATTCCAGGGCCAGGCGCGGTGACTCACGCCTGTAATCCTAGCACTCTGGGAGGCCAAGGTGGGCAGATCACTTGAGGTCAGGAGTTCGAAACTAGCCTGAGCAAGACCCCATCTCTAACAAAACTAGAAAGAAATTAATTGACCAACTAAAAATATATATAGAAAAAATTAGCCTGGCATGGTGGCACATGCCTGTAGTCCCAGCTACTCGGGAGGCTGAAGCAGGAGGATCACTTGAGCCCAGAAGATTGAGGTTGCTGTGAGCCAGGCTGACACCATGGCACTCACTCTAGCCTGGGCAACAAAGTGAGATTTTGTCTCCAAAAAAAAAAGTAGTAATTCCAAAATAAAAATCAACAGAAAACTAATGATTCTATGATACATGGTGCCATTACTCTAAAGTAGATGTCACCAATGTATTATATTCTGCTCCGATGGCTAGTCAGAGCCTCAAGTTCAATAGTGTAACCATCAACGCATGATCTTGGCCACGTGATGCTTCAACTTGTCAACTACAATTAAATAATTTAAATAAGGCTCTCTTGGCCTTCATAAAAGGTATAGCCCTCTCCACAAACTTGTCCCCTGTTTCTCCATTCCCTTGTACGCTAATTTATTGACATTTCTTTTTAGTAAAGGGCTGATTTCATTATACATTCCTTGTTTGCTTCATAACCTGGTATAAAAGTTTTTGCTATTTCATTTTTGTATAACTTTGATTAGTAGTGACATTAAATATTTTTTAATATGTACTAGCTAACTGAATTTACTCCCTAAATTGGTCTATAGTGTGTCCATTTATTTACTGGGGTCTTAGTAATTTTTATTGCTTTGTATTAACTCTTATTAATAATAATGTTAAACCTGTTCACTGCTGTTTATTGCACATATTTTTATTTAGATTTTAGTCTAAAATTCTTATTTTATATATATTTAATTTCCATTTCTAAGATAACTCCTCTCATACTGGACTTCTAATTATGTAGATTGCTTACCTTCATAGGTGTTGATATAGCGGTTTTTTACTACAAATTCCTCTGAGTTGTTGTCTGGGAAACGACCAAGATGAGACAGAGGTCCGTAGACCTGTGATGCATAATCAGAATAGTCCTTGATGATATTTCTTCGCTCCAGTTTCCCTTCTATATTCTTTCCCTTTCCTACAAGTTTTCTGATTGCTGAAATAAAACATACCTCCATGACAGTTTCCAAAATGTAGCTCTGAATTATCTAAAGGCAGAATAGTAAACCAATTCTAGTGTGATTCACAGGGAAGCTGCTGAAATGAATGAATTTCATGATGACTCACCACAGCCAGAATGTAACACTAAAAACAGAGGTCTGCCATCTGTGCGCCCCAGATTGCCATGAGACAAGCAGCAGTGACACAAGCTAAATTAGCTGGTGTCCTCAATTGGTACTCAACAAAAATCTTTTATAACTGCATTCCAAGCTCTCGGCCAAAAGAGGTATTCATAAAACTTTGTTAAATGAATGAAACTCAAAGTAACTGGGAAATACATGTTTAGTGGAGAACTAGGGGAAGGATTCTCCCCTGCAAGAATAGTAAAAAGAAAATTACAGGTTCATCTTGGCTAACACGAGAAGAAGCCAGAAGATGTCCCAGCTTATAGCTTTCAAAATTGTTTGACAGTTGGAGGGAAAAGGCTCAACTGTGCACATTCAGAGTATACTCATCTAAAGAGTCATGCTTACACCTCCACCTGCTGCTTTTCTTTCAAATCCCATCACAGACCCCACCCTATGTTGACGGCTCTACATCATGCACTCTCAGTGGGTGTAAAATCATATCACAAGAGTGTGAAGTCATACTGCAAGAGGGTACTTGCCTGCCACTGATTCTCATATTTGATCCTCAGTGCTTTTGTTGTGTGACTTGGAGTTTTAGAATTAAGTAGAAATAGTTTATATTTTATTATTAATCTACGAAAGTTAGTCAAATCCATCACTGGTTATGTCAAGTGCTGAAAAAACATGTTGCCAGTATTTAAATGGTGAATACCTAGCAGCTAGTTAATTAAGTTAAAAGCTCTTTTCTCATACCAAGAAAAAGTTAAAAGTTAATTTCACTAAAAATAATTTTTAAGTAACAATATAATAACTGCTGGAGAAATAACAGTTTTGAATGTTTTTTTTAATGTGATTATATTGCTAATAAAAGTATGTATATAAATAGTTAATTTACACATGTAATTGATCTAATTTTTATAAATAAATAAATTATATTAAGTTTCTTGGCAAATAAAGCTATAAAATTTAGTTAAATGTTAATAAATTAAATGTTTTCTGTGTAAGTTTTAATTGAATTTTTTAATTTAATCATTTGTAATCCTACACTGAATAAAAAGAGTAAATCATATGCTTCCTGTGTTTAGGTATAAAGTACAAATATACGTATAGTACATAAACATATATACAATTTATCTGTGGCATTACAATTTCTTGGAGGGGAGTTATTAGGAAAAAGGATGTCTAAAATATCTCCTTTAGGGGACAATAATAAAAAAAGATTGAGTAACAGGGCTCTTTATCCAAGGCACTGGCCCTAGAATATGGGGAACCCAACACCTGCACACACACACACACACACACACACACACACACACACCCCATAATGTCAATAACTTGACTACCTGTTACAACATTGTCACTTGATTTTCTTAGTAAGGGATTCTCCTCCACTCTTTTACCTTTGTGAAATGACTCATCTCTCTCATCTCTCACCTATTTGATACACCTCGGACCAAAACAGAATTATATCATAGTTAAATCAGGTCTGGTCAAATATCCAAAGCAAAGCCCACTTTTCCACCTTCTTCCCTGCTCATACCACACCATTACCTGACATATATGAGCGCTGGATCTGGGCTATTTTTGCCTCTTTTGCTTCCTGCAGTTTAGACCACTGGGCATTCAATTTCTTCATGTTCACTTCATTCTGATTCTCTTCACGCCTCCTCAGCAACTCTTTTAGAATTTCCAGGCGAATATCCTGCAGTCTTCAAGTAAATTACAAAACATCAACAAGTGTATGGTATCTCAAACAGATGGCAAGGGGACAGCTGCCACAGACAGGGTCTTCTCTGTGGGCTGATATCATGTTCATATATTGTTAAAAGGCCACTCCAGCAAAAGTGTGACAAATGAATTGGGGCTGGAGGGGGGAATCACTAGAGACTAGGAATATAGACGGGTGTCATTCTGAAGGATGAAGAAGAGTGTGCCAGGCAGATGGACCAGTAGGAACAAGAGATTTGTTCGCAGTTCCAGGCCAAGTGGTATCCTTGGAGGGTTAAGTAATGAGAGAGTGAGGAGGAAAGAGGTTCTGGCATGCTATCTTAAGGAGTCAATGTGAAAATGCCAGTACCTAGCACATAGCAGGTACTCGGTGAATCTTTGTTTCCTTTCCCCTCACCTTCAATTTATTCTTCTTGGGCTACCTCGCTCACATGCATCCAATCATGCACAGGCGACTTCAAAATCTGTACCTTCAGCCCAGACATTTCTGAACCAGAATTTCTGTCTACTTGAATCTCCAGTTGTCCCTTGATGATCTCAAAAAAACCCACTCATTTTGTTCCCCCAGAAGTCTACCCTTCTCTTACACCTTCTTCCCTCAGCTAACGATCACTCCTCGGAAACACTTCTTGCACACTCCCCAGCTCGTGTTTTTGTCATCTGGCTCCTAACTTGGACTCCTTGCTGCTAGTCTCTCCTCCTTCACATCTTTGTTCCACACAGCTGGCAAGCTTTTCCTTCCTAAAATGGAGATTTGAACATGTATTTCTCTCCTACTTAAAAATGTATACATGAATTTATTCACTCACCCATTTGTCAAATATTTACTAAGTGACCACCAAATGCCAGGCAGGAACAATGATATGCAGGACAGAAGTACGGCTCTAGTGGAACAGGCATGCACAGCAACATTTCCACACAGGGAGATAGATGCCAGGTAAGAAGAGTGAAAAGACTTCTGTGGGCACAGGAGGAAGGGAAGGGGAAGGTGGGAAAGGCTTCCTTAGAGGAGGTGTTAACTCAGCAGAGTCTTGAGGATAAACAGGACTGGGATTTGCCACATTGATAAGGGTGTCTTCAACGCCTCAGCAGAGGCAGCTAAATGTTCAACTTCAAAGGCCTGGAGATAGAGCCAACACGGCACACTAGCAGGGCTTCTCGGGGTGAATACACATGACAGGCAAGGGAGTAGTGACAAGTGAGTGTGGAGAGATGGGTGCCTTTAAAACGAAGCCACACACCTACAGTTACCTTTCTCTCTAGAGTTAGAAAGACCAGGTTTGGTTCTAAACTTCACTACTGACCTCAATTTCTCCAGTTGCAAAGTGGAGAGAATAATAGTATCGTCCTCATAAGATTGTTGTTGCAAGCGTTCAATGAGTTAATGTACACGAAATGCTAGAACAGTAGTTCTCCAACTTAAGCAGGCATCAGAATACTCTGGAGGGCTGGTTCTGACACAGATTGCTGGGCCCCAGCCCCTGATTCATTAGGTCTGGGATGGCTTCTGAGAATTTGCATTTCCAGCAAGTTCCGGGGTAATGCTGATGCTGCTGGTCTGTGAAACTACTGACTTTTATCCAGCACATAGTAAACACGCTGTAAGTGTCCCATGTTCTATAGGTATCTTCATCATCATCCTCACGTTGTCTACCTGATGGCTTTCATACTCATCCTTCATCACCCAGCTAAGAGGCCACCTCCTCTCAGTAGTTTTCCCAAATCACCTGCCTCAAACAGAACGAACTGTTCTCCCAACTGGTTTTCCTAGCGCTTTGTGTGTAGAGCAGCACATCACCTGACAGACGCTGCCCGAGAAGTATTGGTCTGAAATCTTTTCCCCCATCCTCTGCCCACTCCCTGCCCCAGGAGGCCATAGGAGCTCTGTCAGGGCACAGCAGTTTCCTGTTCACCTCTGTTTCCTCAACCCAGAGCACAGAGCTCAGCACATAGAAGGCACTCAAAATATGTTTATTAAAATTGCTCTCAGTTTAACAAATGTATTCACTTTCTCAGGTGATGCCTTCACTCTAGCCAGATGCATTTTCAATATCTTTAATGCCTTCTGGGCCGGGCGCGGTGGCTCACGCCTGTAATCCTAGCACTCTGGGAGGCTGAGGCGGGTGGATTGCTCAAGGTCAGGAGTTCGAAACCAGCCTGAGCAAGAGCGAGACCCCGTCTCTACTATAAATAGAAATAAATTATTGGCCACTAATATATATAGAAAAAATTAGCGGGCATGGTGGCGCATGCCTGTAGTCCCAGCTATCAGGAGGCTGAGACAGAAGGATCGCTTGAGCCAGAGTTTAGGTTGCTGTGAGCTAGGCTGACGCCACGGCACTCACTCTAGCCTGGGCAACAAAGCGAGACTCTGTCTCAAATTTAAAAAATATAAAAAAGAAAAAAAAATGCCTTCTGACAAGACATATACCTCTCCAAAGTACAGCAATACATTTAAATTTCTGCAGACAAAATTGGATATCTGACATCTGCTTTGCCCCAAATGCTATTTTCTATTGCAAGCTTTTGCCAAAACATCCCATAGTCTGGATTTAGGTGTAACAAGAAGGTACTGCAAAATAATAATAATAATGATGACATATTCTGAATTCAGCACCAACCTGAATCCCTAACTCTCTTGGTCCCTCTCGTGTGTACAAGGGGGTCTTGGTAGCATTGCCCTGAGCAATAAAGCGCTTCAGCACAGAACAAAGGACTACCTCACCAAGTACCCCTCCTTTCTTTCTTCCTAGAGAGTTATAATTTTTTGGTTCTCATCATTTCTACCTATTAGCAACAACCTCATTACTGAAAATATATCACTTAAAATGATTAAAAACTCAGCCAGAAGTACCTCAGCATATTGTTATTTATGCATATTGTTATATAAGCACACCTCTTAATGGAAGAATCCCACACTTTGTCTTGTAAATAGGAAATGCCCCACCAGCTCCTGCTAGAACCCAAGGTGTCCTGCCTGTGAATCCAGCATTGAGAGAGTAAGAACTAGGACTAGCTCTGAGCTGTTTGGTGGGATGTGAAGACAGCCCAGGGCTAGGGACAGTAGCACTGGGAAAGAACACAAAGTGATAGACTGATGCTTTGCAGAAATCAATGGGATTCTGTAACAGTCTAGATAGATACTAAAGGGAAAAGGGAAGAGAAGGATCAGAGATATCCTTGATGAATTGTTCAAATCTGGGTTTTACATTAAACTTCTTCACACATAAAGAAGACATGATACATTCTTACTATATTGGAGAGAAAATCATACAGAGCTTCTATACCACATCAGAATTGTGTGATCGCTCCTCAAAGAACCAGAAACCCAATTTCCTATCTCTACAGGTTGAAGAATCCAGGGTTTTGTTTTGTTTTGTTTTTTGAGACAGAGTCTCGCTATGTTGCCCAAACTGGTCACGAACTCCTGGGCTCAAGCGGTCCTCCCCAGTTAGCCTCCCAAGTAGCTGGAACTGTATGTGTGCACCACCACGGCTGGCTGAGGATTGCTTTTAGACCCAAACATTTGGGAAAATGCTCTGCAGATAAAAAGTAATAACATTACTCCCATCAGCACAGGAACAATTGTCCAGGTGACAGACAACCTACCTTTCAATCTCCTGCTCTCTGAAACCCCACTCCTTCCTCTCCATCGCATTCATCATCCTCCTCCTCTTCTCAAACTGGGAGGTGTCGCTCAGAGGGGGAAGACTGGCTTCCCAAGCACGCTTCTCCCGGGCTCGTTCTATCATCTCCACCTCAGCCTGGCCTGCTGGGAGACCTCGACCTGGATGGAGGATGAAAGTAGCACATCTCAGAAACAAACGGGCAAACCCACCTACCTGTCAGTATACAATTTATTCCCTTTCAGTTCTTATCCTCTTTCCAAATCCAAGGGTTATGATAGGATAAAATGATGTTAGGAACACCTACAGATGTGCCTCACAGCTTGTGTAATCTGTGCCCTGCACTGCCTCGTTAGTGATTGAGCCATATGACATTTTAATCCATCTTAGATGTAAGATGCTGGAAAGGATATCAAGCGGCTACTGAACAATCACATCTTGGAATACCCTGTAAGGAACAAGTGTACATTTTGAAATATAAGGAAATATCTAAGTCCTAAGGCGGGAAAATATGATGAGGGGTAAGGAATTTGTAGGACAGAGGTAAAAAAACAGATGCTTTTTAAAAATAGATAATGAAGAAATTAATCATCAGTTGAGAATTCATCATGTTTGCATTTTGTCTCCCACAGTAAATGTGCAATTTGGGGCTGTCCTTCACCCCCAAGTATAAGAGTTCAAAGACACAAGGGCCCCCAGGTCAGGGAGGTGGGTGTGGCCATTGGTTATGTCTCGTGAGCAGCTTGGAGACACTGGCTGAGACTAACCCTATTCAGCCTCCCTGGACCAAGTTCTGGGGACTCAGCCATACTCAGTGCCTAATACCTCTATATGTACCCTTATTCACCGCATCATCTTTCTGGGACCAAACGTGGGCAAAAGAAATGAGGGGTCTAGAACAAGTGTCCTGTTTGATCACTGAACCGCAATAAACCAATCTTTGTTTTATTTTCATTTTAAAATATAATTGTACGGACAAATACAAAGAAGTAAATAACAAGGTCATATTTCTACCACATCCAATAAGCTACTTCTAAAATTTTTGCTCTATTAATTTCAGATCTTTTGTAATGTTTACGCTTTTAAAAAGCAAATAAGTAATATATGAGTTCACCGTCTCTTGTTTTTAAAATTAGGACATTATAGAAAAGGCTAAAAGTTCTCCTATACTCTACCTACTCATTCTAATCATTTTCCCAGAGGCAGTCACAAGGATGCATTTAGTGGGCATACTACCAATTCATTTTTTTAACTTTTATATATATGTACAAAGAAATGAGTATCCTCATATACAAAATACCATATATGTGTGTATATCTATATATGTGTATATATTATTTTGTGTATTGTATGTGGGGTTTTCTTTAGTAATTAAAAAACATGAAAATGATACAATACTCAGATTTAATAACTATACACATTTTTGTTATATACACTTTACCTTTCTAATAAAAGAAATTAAAGCATTATAAACGAAGTTAACATTTCTTTTAACCACCACATTGAACCCCATTCCCTTCCCCTCTCTCCCAAAGTAAACTCAAAGGAAGCTAGGGTTCTCCTTCTAGTGAATTTTAACAGTTTATATACAGACTTATGTATCTATGAATTATAAGACTAATATTACTTTTTTTTTTTTTTTTGAGACAGAGTCTCACTTTGTTGCTCAGGCTAGAGTGAGTGTCGGCGTCAGCCTAGCTCACAGCAACCTCAAACTCCTGGGCTTAAGCAATCCTACTGCCTCAGCCTCCCAAGTAGCTGGGACTACAGACATGCACCACCGTGCCCGGCTAATTTTTTTTTTCTGCACATATTAGTTGGCCAATTAATTTCTTTCTATTTATAGTGGAGACGGGGTCTTGCTCTTGCTCAGGCTGGTTTCAAACTTCTGACTTTGAGCAACCAACCGCCTCAGCCTCCCAGAGTGCTAGGATTACAGGCATGAGCCACCACACCCGGCCTAAAGTTAGTATTACTTAAGCACTTACAATATGCCAAACACTGTTCTAATTCATTTAATCCTCAACAAATCCCTAACATACAAATACAATTATCCCTAGTTTAAAAATGAAGAGACTGAAGACCTAAAGGGTTAAGTAACCTGTGCAAGGTTATAGTTGGTAAGTGGCGGAAATCAGGATTTGAACATGGCAGTCTGAGCCTTGGGTTCCTGTGCACTATGGTATATTTCCTCTCTAATAAAAACAAGTATGAGTCAAAAATGGACTATATATGAATAAAATACAGTATTGCTTTTATTTAATATTTATATACATGGTTTTGTACTGCAGGTATCATCCAGCAACTTGCTTTTTTTACTAAACATTGTTTTGAAGACCTAGCCACACTTATACCTAGAAATCTAGTTTCCTTCTTCCACTATGGGGTTTTATTACAATTTAAGCTGTCTTCTCAAATGGACATTTAGATTGCTTCTAATCTTATGATTACTCATAATGCTGTAACAAGCATTCTTGTACTGGTCTCATTGTACCCATATGTGAGTTTCTCTAGGATTCCTAGAAGTGGAAATGCTAGAGTCTAGCAGCTAGATCATAAAATATGATCATTTTTAATTCCGGATATTGCTAAATATTCCCTCTGAAGTATATTTTTGCTCCTGCCTTCTGAGATGCCCTGATGGTTCCTCTCTTCCTCCCACAGTCCATGCTTCCTCACTTCCTCCCACATTGCATCTGCCTAATCTCAGCCACTTTTTGCAGCCCTTACAAATATTTAGTAGTTCACGGATTACATATATTTTTTTTAGTTTCACTGAAAATAGAGTTTGTGGGAGTTTTGTTGTTCATGTTGCTTTTGTATAATTTCTGGGAAGAAAAGAGGAAAGTTGCTAACTTACCCAGACATAGTTATATTGGTGGTAGAGATGTGGATTAGAATTGCTTAAAGGTATAAATTATTTGGAGGAGAAATCATATCTAGTCAAGCATGAGTTTTCTCATTAATAAAGATGATATGTCTCTTTTTTATCGAATCTTTATATGCTTAAGGAACAATTTATAATTTTCACCATAAATGTCTTGCACATGTTTTTATTAAGTGATTTCCTAGGTACTTTGTTATTTGTTGCTATTATGAATGTGATGTTTCCCAATAATTTTTCTAATTGGATATTGCTCTTATATAAGAAAGCTACTGATCTTTGTATGTTGATTTCATAATCAGTTAACTTGTTGAACACTCTTTGTAGTTCTGATAATGTATTTTATTTTCTAAATGAGCACATTATCTGCAAATAAGGATAGTTTTGCTGCTTCTCTCTAATTCTCATGCATCATTTTCTCTCTTACCTTACTGTTCCTCAACCAGGATGCTACTGCCATATCAGACAGACAATTATTTGTTGTATGAAATTGCTCCATGCAATACAGGATGTTTAGTACCCATACCAGCCTATCCTCCGTACCTCATCCCATGTGCTAAATCCCAGAATACTTTTAAATCATGCATTACACACAGAAATGCCACCCATACTTCCAAATGTCTCTGGGTTGGGAGAGATCATAGCCCAGCTTGATAAACTCTGGGACAGGATCATCTCTACGTCACTAAATAGGAGTGTTGATGAGGGTATCACTTTCTTTTCCATAAAGGGTAAAGCTTCTAAAGTTTCACCTTTAGTATTAATTATGTTTATTGAAAGCTGTGGTAGATACTCTATACTAAGTTTCTAAAGTTTCCTTCCACTCCCAGTTTATTTAGAGTTTATATCATGAATGAGCATTGAATGTTATCAAATACTTTTTCTCCACCCAGGGAAACATTCTTCCCATATTTTCTTTTAAAATAGAAATTACATTAGTTGGTTTTCTGATATTGTAACAAATGGGAATTCCTTTGATTAACCCACTTGGTTATGATAAGTCACCCTTTTAAAATATAGCAAGATTTGATTGCTAGTATCTATCTTATTTAGAATTTTTTGCATATTTCTTCATATATGAGATTGGCCTGTAATTTTCCATACTAGTACAGTTGGACCTATGTATCCGTGGGTTCCTCATCTTGTGGAGTCAACCAACCATAGGTTGAAAGTATTTTTTTTAAAAAATTGCATCTGGGCTGGGCACGTTGACTCATGCCTGTAATCTTAGCTCTCTGGGAGGTTGAGGTGGGAGGATTGCTCAAGGTAGACCCATCTCTACTAAAAATAGAAAGAAATTAATTGGCCAACTAACAATTTATAGTAAAAATTAGCCAGGCATGGTGGTGCATGCCTGTAGTCCCAGCTATTCGGGAGGCTGAGGCAGGAGGATCGCTTGAGCCCAGGAGTTTGAGGTTGCTGTGAACTAGGCTGATGCCACAGCACTCTAGTTCAGGCAACAGAGTGGGACTCTTGTCTCAAAAAAAAAAAAAAAAAAAAAAAAATTGCATCTGTACTGAAAATGTACAGACTTATTTTCTTGTCATTATTCCCTAAACAATATAGTATAACAACTATTTACATAGTATTTACATTGTATTAGGTATTACAAATAATGTAGAGATGATTTAAAGTGTATGGGAGGATATGCATAGGTTATATGCAAATACTACATCATTTTATATAAATGACTTAAGCATCTGTGGATTTTGGTATCTGGGGGAGTCCTGGAACCAATCTCCCAAGGATACCTGGAGATGAATGTACTGTCCTTATTCAGTTTTCAAATCAAGGCTATACTAGCCTCCTAAAATGAAGTAATACCTTTTATTCTCTCTGTCTTAGCTGAAAGAATTTGCATAAAACAGAGCTTATCTGTTCCTTGAAGGAGTGGGAAACTTACCTGTAAAACTGTTTAGGCCTGGTGCTCCTAAAAAGATTTTTTTTTCTTTTAACCAAGTCAATCTCTATAGTTATTCTTCCATTCAGGTTTGTTATTTTTTCTTGTAACCAATTTAGTTATCTATGCTTTCTTTAAAGTTATACAATTATAACTTACCTACATTTTTAAATATAGGGCAAAAGATATTTCCAGTATTCTCTTATAATTATTAAATTGTTTACTCTCCAGTTATGTTCCCCTTTCAAGGCCAGTACTCTTTATTTGCATCTTCTGTCTTTTTTCTTGATGCTTCCTAAAAGAGGCTTGGCTATATCATTAATCTTTATCAAAAAATCATGGCCATAATGATGATTTCTTTTGCCTTTTTAAAGATCTATATTATTACTTTCTGATTTTAACTTTATCACTCACAGAACTTGTAAAGGTTGAGTACATTAAAAATGTAAAGAACTTGGAACAGTTCTTGGTACACTGTATGTGCTCATTTTTTTCATTAATGCTTACAGTATCAGCCTTTTTTACAGTATCAGCCAGTCATTATTTTTCACTAATCTTTATGTAAACTTTTTATTAATGTGTAAATACACGGAGAAAGGTACAAAAATGAACATCCCATATAATCAGCACCCAGATCAAAGAATGGACTATTGCCAGGACCCTACCCTAAACTGCCCATCATACTCCCTCCCCAGTCACTGCCTGCCCCCATCCCCATTCCTAATATATTAATTTAGTTTTGATTGCTTTTGAGTTGTATGTAAATAGAATCACAGTGTGGGTACCCTCTTGTATCTGAATTCTTTTGTTCATCATTATATATGTGAGATTCACTCATGTGGTTACATGCAGGTCTATTTCATTCTCATTACTATATGGTATTCCACTGTGTGAATGTATTATATTTTAGTCATCCATTCTATGGTTGAGGGACATTTGGGTTGTTTTCAGGTTAAATTTAGTGTGAACAGTGCTGCTATGAGTATTTGTGTACATGTCTTTCAGTGAACACACATATGCATTTCTGTTAGTATTTAACAGAATTATGTGCTCACATTTTTTGGTATATAGCTAGGAATGATATTACTGGAATATAGGTATAAGTACATTATATAAATTAATTTACTTAATCCTTATAATATCCTATGATATATTTACTTTTATTATGCATAAAATATCTTTATTTTACCTTCATTTTGAATAATAGTTTGACTGGTAAAAGAATTCTAGGTTTGCAATCATTTTCCCGAAGCACCTTTAATATAATACTACAAAATGTCAATCTGGATTTTCTTTTTTCCTTTGTGGGTAACCTGACTTTTCTCTTTAATAGCTTTTATACTTTTTTCTTTTTCTTTTATTAGTAGGTGTGAATTTTTAAAGGTTTATCCTGCTTGGTACTTGATGGAATTTTTCATTGTGAAGGTTCACATCTTTCTTTAGTTCTGGGAAATTCTCAGTCATTACCTTTTCTTGCACTGATTCTCTGACATTCTCCCTAGTCTCAATTTCCTATTCCCCGAGGCTCTTTCTTTTGTTTTATTTTGTTCTACCTCTGTGTGCTGCCTTCTGGAATATGTCTCCATTTAATCTGTTATTTCACTACTTTGCTCTTCAGCTCTGTCTACTCTATTATTGAATTCCTTTTATTTCAAACTTTACAGTTTTCCTTCCCAATGATTCCAACTGGATATTTTTGATGGCTCCCATTCTTGTTTTCAGCATTGCTATTTCTCCCTTATCTCTTTCAGAATATAAAAAGTACTTCCTAAGTCCTTTTCAGATTGCTCCATTTGCTTCATTTACTCTGAAACTTATTCTTCCATTTCCTTTATTTTTGCGGGTTATTCCTGGTGTCCTTGATTCTAGGGTGCTTTAACTGCAGATTTCTCTCATAGACCGTGCCTGTTCAGTAGCTCCCTTTGACAAGGCAAGAGGGGCTCTTTCCTGGCCTCATTCTTTAGGGCCCTGCCCATTATCATAGGGTGAGCAGTCCAGGGGACCATGCCACCTGGAACTACTTCCACGCTTAGAGATCTGAAAATCCTTGTACAAATAGCCCCAAGCCTGCTTCCAGTCTACATGGGCCTCTTCTCAGGATTCAGATTCCTGAGGGCATGCTGCTGTTTGTTCACCCTTAAATCCAAGGTGTGGCCAAATGACAGCTGTTTGCAGGGATGTGTGAACTGGAGTAGATAAAAGAGCTAGCGTGATCATATGCATGCATAATAGGCTCCTTACAATGTAGAACAGAGCCAGGGTGGGAAGAGAGAAGGGCAGTCCACCAGTAGGCTCTTGCCTTGCTGCCATATTCCAGCATGGAATCCCAAGGAGACTAAGTGTTTGAAATTTAAACTTGTCTTTTTAGTTTGTTATAAAGATACACTTGTGAGAAAAAATCACATATTTTACTTAATAGATATTAGCTTGATTTATTTATCTATTTATTTATTTTTTGAGACAGAGTCTCACTCTGTCACCTGGGCTAGAGTGTAGTAATATCATAGCTCACTGCAACCTCAAACTCCTGAGCTCAAGTGATACTCCTGCCTCAGCCTCCCAAGTAGTTGTGACTATAGGCACGCCCCACCACACCTGGCTAATTTTTCTGTTTTTTGTAGAGATGAGGTCTTACTATTGCTCAGGCTGGTCTCAAACTTCTGGTCTCAAGTAATCCTCCTACCTCAGCCTCCCAGAGTGCTAGGATTATAGGCATTAAGCCACCACGCCTGGCCTGATTTATTTAATACAGTTTTAAAATATCTATACGCATGGCATGTGGGCCTCCCTTTGAGCCCCAGGGCCCCACAAATGGCAGAAGTAGGCCTGACTCATAGGTGATTTCACTGACACTTTAACCTCATTTCTGTCTAGGGCAGGGCACCAGATAAAGTTTTTTGCCTAGTGAAGTATTTCTGAGCACAGAGTGAAGCTCTGGTCCTTCTGCCACTTAATGCTAACTACCATACCAAGAGGTAAAGTCCAAGGCCTCAGGTGGGAGTGCCTGACTCAGCTCTGACTATAATCTTAAACTGGCAGTCACCAGGCTTCAGCCCCATCTACGTGCAGGAGAAAGGCTCTGGCCCCTCCAGTTCAGGCAGGTAGGCTGAATCTGGCTCCCTGCAATTCACAAGCCCTGCTCACCACCACATGTTCCCAGCTATTTCTTTCTTTTAGGAACAAGTCTCAATTTCTATATTATGAATATTTTCTTTCTTGGTTTTTAAAGGTAGCTACAAGTTTACTAATGTTTTTCTATATTTTTTATGTACTCAGAGCACTAAGGGGAAATTTTCATATTTTTAATTTGTCACCTAAACCTGAAAGTAGAGCCTCTGTTTGAAAGTGTGGGTATTAAGAATACTTAATCAGGATTCATAAAGTGAGACAGGAAACAGGAATCAAAACTACAGCTCAGATATGAACATCTGCATTGCCTAGGATACAGACTTGATCACGGCTATTCATTACAATGTGGGGGAAAGCAATCTCATTTTAATAAAAATCATTACAGTGTACCAACTATCTTCATGACCTTTTAGGAGTTAGTTAACCTCTATGGTACTCAGTTTTCTCAGCTATAATCAAGTGAGTTAGATAAGCTAATTTCTAATAATTTCCAAAGACACTGTCTCTTATTGATTTTTATAGTTTCATATAATATAAGCCTCTGCCAGATTTTATTGCATTCTAAGAGTGAATTTCTGAGCCTGAAAGATATCTAGAATTTCAGAGATAATATCAAAAGAAATCATTCAAATCATCCAATAAAAATGTAATTGAGATTTGGTAAATTATACAGTATTTTGGCAAACTGAGACAACATTATTATATACATAGGAATGTGCATGCATTCAGTATTATACACTTAAAAATGTTTACGTATAAAGAAGTATGACTGATCAATGAAAAGGAGTTGATTCACTAGGAGTAACAAGTAAGAGGAGAGAGGTGAGCAGTCAGCAAAACAATCATAATATTGAACTGAAATATTAATATTACTTCAGCTTCAGGGACAGAGCACAGTAAATCATTTACAATAAAAAGGGAATATCTCTGTTTGAACATGAGTCTATGAAGTTGTTATACCGAGCAAGACACTTTAAACAGCAACTCCGTAAACCACAGTTGCCTGTCTGTGGGTCACTTCAACAGCATGCACGGTTATCATCGATTCAAGAGAATCGCCAACTCACCCCAGGTAAGAGTAGCCAGTGTCAATAGCTCAGGGATAGAATCCTGACATACTATATATTCTGGAGAGTATGGATCTGTTTGAACGTCGGCTTCCCTGTAATCAGTCTGAGTGCCCACAGTAGACTTTGAAGGGATGGGTAGGAACTTAGCAGAAGTAGGAGGAAAAGTAAATGATTCTGTCCTAAAAAGGGAAAATTCATTTAAAATATTGAAATCTGATATGATCACTTAAAATATTATATAATCAAGTAGAAACAAATCTTTGAGCTTTACTGAGTCCATTTTGAAACCCCTTAAACATTGACAGGCACAAAGTTATGAATCCATTATAACCAGAATTATGCCCCAAAATCTTGAGGGAATTGAATTGTTATTCTCACCTCTGCCAAGAAATTAAGTGGGTATAAGTATCTTGGTCTACTCACAAAAGTGCCTATTTATATCTGTGTGTCACTGGGCAAGGTTGTAGACTAGGGCTATAAAAGGTAGATTCTAGAATGTTGTACAGCACTTCTGGGCCTGTTCAGAATCACTACATTCCTTGATTTCTTTCTTCTCTTTCAGTTCGACACCAATCTCTATCTCACTCCAGAAAGACAGGAGCAGAGAAAAGAAAAGAGATGCTTTCTGTTGAAAGAAAGAAAAAAAGAGAGACAGGGAGAAAGGAAAGGCAGGAAAGAAGGAAAGGAGGGAGGGAAGGTGGAAGACAGGATCTTTCTGGATAGATGATTCAATAATTAATGCTGGGATCACATGGTTCATAAGTGGAAAATGACCTCATCTCTTGCACAAAAATTAATTCAGATTTTTTTTAATGTAATGGAAATATGAGACTATAAAGTTCATAAAACAAAGCCTAAGTAAATATTTATGTCATCTTTGAGTGAAGGTTTTTTTAAGCATAGTACAAAAAGCCAGAAACTATAAAAGGAAGTGATTTTTTTAAAAAATGTAATGGAAATATGAGACTATAAAAGTTCATAAAACGAAGCCTAAGTAAATATTTATGTCATCTTTGAGTGAAGGTTTTTTTAAGCATAGTACAAAAAGCCAGAAACTATAAAAGGAAGTGATCAATAGAACTGAAGGTAAGTTTAAACTTCTATACCTCAAAATATCACAAACAAATTTAAAAAGTGAATGGCAAATCTGGAAACAGGTTTTATAACATGTATGATAAAAAGTTAAACAGTTTCTATATAAAAAGCCCTTGTAAATCAGTAAGACAGTTAAATACCCCATAGATAAATGGGTAAAAGATAGTTCACAAAACGAAAAGTAGAACTTCTAACAAAGATATCTAAAAATAATGAATATAAGTAGTAATAAAAGTAAATTAAAACTGTAAGATACTATTTTATGCTATTTTATCACAAAAGTAAAGATTCATAAGACTAAGAACACCTAGCATTAATGAAGTTGTGAAGAAACAGGCATTCTCATAAACTATTGATGGAAATACAAACAGGTACAACCTAACTGACAAGTAATTTAGCAATGTATATCAAATCCTTAAAATACTCTTCACCGCAGCAATTGTACTCCTATGAATTTACTCTAGGAAATAACTGGACAAGTGTACAAAGATATATATGTAAACATGTCCACAAAGTCTTATTTATAAAAGTAAAAACTTAGAAACTTAAATGATTACCATCAATAGAAGAATTGTTTAAAAAAAATGTGGCACACCCATAAGAATTTATGTACCTATTCAAATAATAATGTAATATATAGTTATGAACATTAAAAAATGTCCATGATTCATTATAAAATAGAAAAAAGGATACCATTAAGTGGTATGTATAGTAAGATTTCATTTTTAAATGCTTTTAAATACTGTGTTTTTATGCAAGAAATATGCCAAGATGGACATACAATAAAATAATAATAATAGTAATAGTAATTATTTCTGAATAGTAGAATTACAGAGAATTTTTTTCATATTTTTAGATTTCTGAATTTTCTAACTTTTAAAAAAATATACACATTTACTTTTAAAAGAAAAAATAGCCACTTTAATTTTAAAAGAAAATTGTTTGTAGTTGCTAGAAGGATTGGTTAAATTCTTTAATTATAGAAATAATATAGAAATTACAGAAATAATACAGACATAATAACTAAAGATAATGGCAAAAACAAAGAGGTATATCCATTTTGAAAAATAAAAGCAGGCCGAGCACAGTGGCTCCTGCCTGTAATCCTAGCACTTCGGAGGCCAAGGCAGGAGGATCACTTGAGGCCAGGAGTTCGAGACCAGCCTGAACAACATAGTGAGAAACCATCTCTACAAAAATAAAAAATTATCCAGGCATGGTGACATGCACATGTGGTCCCAGCTTCTCAGAATGTTGAGGCAGGAAGATTACTTGAAGCCAGGAGTTTGAGGCTGCAGTGGACTGTATTATACCACTGCACTCTAGACTGGGCAGCAGAGTAAGACCTTGTCTCAATAAGAAACAAAAAACAAAAACTAAGGAATGCTGTTTTACTTCATGAATTTGAACAAATAAATAAACAAACCTAGGGAAAAGTGGGACCAAAGTTGGCATTTATCTATGCGGACTATAGACATTTGATAATATATGTCCTATTCATAAGATGATATCTATCATTGGGAATAACTATATTCTTTAAATGCATGCTTAAAAGCCCAGCTGTAAATAAATTTCTATTCAGAAATCTGAAATCTTAAAAAAGGTTTCTCTTCCTGATCATTTCATTAATATATTCGACATTTTTTCTCTTATAGAAATATTAAGTTATATTAACACAGGAAAGAGGATAGCAAAAATTGGATTTTTAAAGGAATACTCTACCTAACCTGCAATCTTGCCCTGAAATTAGAGCCTGGGGAACTACATGTTTGTCCCAGATTCAGCCCTTGGCCCTTCCCTTCCTCTCATCTTGGCACACTCCTTTGTAGGGCACAGAGCATATTTCATTTATCTTTGTACACCACGCTGCCTGTGTAGATTAAATGATTATTAAATTATAAAATTCTAGCATTCAAAAAATATTTCATGACTGATTCGTTTTCTGCATAAAATGCTGAAGAACTGTCAAATAAATGTGTGTTTCAGAGAAGCACAAGAGGACATTTAAAGCACTTTTCAACTTTTTTTTCCCTTTGGCCACAACTGCTATGATTTAAACATGTGTCTCTTCTAGATGTCATGTTGAAACTTAATCCCCACTGTGATGGTATTAAGAGAAGGACATTTGGAAATTTGGGGAAGTGATTAAATCATGAGCTCCACCCTCATGAATGGTTTATCTTATCAAAGGGCTGGAGGGAACTAGCTTAGGCCCTTTTTGCTCTTTCACCTTCCATCCTGTGAGGACAAAATATTTGCTCCTTTTGACATGTGAAAACACAGCAAGAAGGACCTCAGCAGTCACTGAATTGCAGCACTTTGATCTTGGACTTCACAGCCTCTAAAACTCTGAGAAATAAATTTCTATTGTTTATAAATTACCCAATCTGTGACGTTTTTATAGCAGCACAAATAGACTAGGACAATTCATAGTAAGAAATACATTTTATAAGCCGGGCGCGGTGGCTCACGCCTGTAATCCTAGCACTTTGGGAGGCCGAGACGGGCGGATTGCTCAAGGTCAGGAGTTCGAAACCAGCCTGAGCGAGACCCTGTCTCTACCAAAAATAGAAAGAAATTAATTGGCCAACTAAAAATATATATACAAAAAATTAGCCGGGCATGGTGGCGCATGCCTGTAGTCCCAGCTACTCGGGAGGCTGAGGCAGAAGGATCACTTGAGCCCAGGAGTTTGAGGTTGCTGTGAGCCAGGCTGACGCCACGGCACTCACTCTAGCCTGGGCAACAAAGTGAGACTCTGTCTCAAAAAAAAAAAAAAAAAAAGAAATACATTTTATATCATAATTTAATTTATATACATATAAACATATGTATATATTTATCTGAAACAAAAGTTATAAACAAAAACTCCTCAATATCCCTGAAGCTTTGGTTATCTTCTATTCTGTTTCATTTTCTTAAATTCTACCTATAACCCATTAGAAGATTCCATACCTTCCAGTTAGTTGTTTGTGACCTACATTTTGAAAAATATTTATTTAGAGAACTATCTTCTGAAAGCAAATATGGAAGCAAATGATAAACTGAAAAGGAGTTTTTAATTAATGTTTACTTACTTGGTTATTGCATAAACAACATTCAGTGGTATCTGTTGCTGAAATGGAAGGAAAGGCCTGGGAGGAAAAGGAAAAGATAAATGTGTGGGACTTTTCCATTGAGTGAATTCTAAGCTTCCTTACAACTCTAATATTTGTCCCTTAAAATCAATGATCTTGAATATCCCATATATTAGTGTTACTTAAACTTTGGTGTATACAATCTCTGGGGGCTGCCGGATGGAGAAGTTTTTGTTTAAAATGCAAATTCCAGCCTGGCGTTGTGGCTCACGCCTGTAATCCTAGCTCTTGGGAGGCCGAGGCGGGCGGATTGCTCAAGGTCAGGAGTTCAAAACCAGCCTGAGCAAGAGCGAGACCCCGTCTCTACTATAAATAGAAAGAAATTAATTGGCCAACTGATATATATATAAAAAATTAGCCGGGCATGGTGGCGCATGCCTGTAGTCCCAGCTACTCGGGAGGCTGAGGCAGAAGGATCACTCAAGCCCAGGAGTTTGAGGTTGCTGTGAGCTAGGCTGACGCCACGGCACTCACTCTAGCCTGGACAACAAAGCGAGACTCTGTCTCAAAAAAAAAAAAAAAAAAAATGCAAATTCCCAGATCTGACCTATGAGCTTCAATAGATATAGGGCTGAGCCTATGAATCTACATTCTTAATAAGCACTCTAAGATTTTCTGTGCAGATGGTAAACAAGACACACTTTAAGAAACAGTAGCCTATACCTAGGCTTCAGCTGGCCATTAGTTTCCAAATTCTCAAGTTCCCTGAGACATTCTAAAGTTCCTAATGATTCAGTTTTAAGGCTTCTTCCCCACACCCAACAAAGTCTAGAAATTGAGTATACTACAGTTAAAAATTAACACTTCTCTGAAAAAATTAGCATTACTAAATTTACATAAGGAGATTGCTCATAAATAATAATGTGGATTAGAATTTACTTACTCAAGGAAGCTTATGCAGATGTGGTATCAAGACTATTTTTCTAACTCAGGTAAGATCTATAAGGAAATCCACACCTTATTTTAATTTGACCTGAGTTTATGATTACCAGATAACTATTAATCACAAATGAAATAAAATGAATCTCTTGACCATTTTATTTATTTGAATGTTAGTTGTGCCAACATTCAAACAAAGGAGCAAACGCTCATTTGAACACTTTTAACAATCTTCCCTTTGCTATGACTTCATGATATTTCTGCTGTATCTCATTAGCTTCATTCGATGACTTCATTTTTTTTCTGAATACATATTCTTAGTTGCAATCAGTACCTTTAAAGTCAGGCGGGTTTAGCTGGAATCTTGGCTCTTCCACTTGCTAGCTTATATGACCTTGAGCAATCTATTTCTCTTCTCCTGGTCTCGGCTTCATTATTGGTAAAATGTGGATAATATTATAGCCTATCCTACATTTCTGTTGTAAAGATTAGATGATATGCATGTAAAGCACTTAAAATGAAGCCAGCACACCACATGCACTTAAAAATGACAGCTGCTATTATTATTATAAAGAGGTTCTTTAATATCAGGGGCCAAATGTTCATTAAAAATTACTTTCTACCTGTCAAAGTATTTATAGCGATTCTTTCCAGTAACTTCAGGAGCTTCACAAACTTCTTTAAGCATCTTAAATCTGTCAGTTCTAAAATGAAGAAGGAAAACATTATTCAAGTTTAAAATATTTCCACACATAATTTCTATGTAATATTTCTATGTCTATAAATTAGGAGATATATAGAGTATCTCATATTGAGACCAAAGTCTTCTATAACATGCATTTGACTGTCCTACATCTTAGACTAGATATGATTCTTCCCCTAAGCCAGGAAACCAGGACCTAGAAAGAGGAAGAAAGAAAAAAAAGCAGATTTATGAACTCCCACATACAAAAATACCCATTTTTAGTTAAAAGCACGTGAGAATAACAAAGTCTGAAAAGATAATTTTTTATGTCTGGGATGAAAGACATCATTATTTTTTAATTTACTAAATATAAACTTATATTACTTAAAAGAATAAAGAATTCAAGAGACTTATCTTTGAAGGTGCTTTGTCTATAAGTCTCCAAAACATATTTTAGATACTAGCAGAAAAGAACACTTGCAATTTCTAAGATGGATCAAAGGAACAAAAAACTCAGTCGTCCATACTTTGGGCAGCAAGTTGTCATTTAACATACATATTCATGCCAACCTAAGAACAGTTACTAACCAATAAACCTGTAACCACTGTTCCTTAATCAGACATGTTATGGTCAAATGGGTTTAGAGAGAGAATTTGGCCTAGGTATAACATCACAACTGTAATTTTTCAATCATGCAGAGTAAATAAATAAAAATTTTTAAAAAGGAAAACATGTTCATTAAAAACATGAGTATTTTAAGGAGCTGGGGCCACCTAACACTTACACAGCAAACTGCCAGAGGGCATCCTTGGGTTTCTCCTCATGTCCCTTCCATTTCCGACTGATAAACGGTGGGACAGGATCTGACTTGCTCCAATACAGAGAATATCTTGGATAATGGATCAGGTTACTGAACATGGTTCTAAACCTAGGAACTTTTTTCTAATGTTAGGAAAGGGAGTCAGGGAAAAAAAGGATAAAATTATACCATCATATTTTCCAAAGCATTTTAATCATATTGTAAACTTTTTAAAAAAGGTACAAAACAAAGTATATAACATAGGAAGACGGGCTAGTAATATATGCATAGAATATCTCTAAATGGATGCCCAAGAAACTGATGACAATGGCTGTTTATGTGGAGGGGGTTAGGGTTAGAAATTTACTTCATACTGTACTTTTGAACTACTTGAATTCTTTTAACACAGGCATATATTACTTTTCTAATTGAAATAAATTAGTTATGAGTCCTTTATTCATTATTAGTGAATTAATCCTCACAATGAGCCACAAGTATTAGAATGCTGTGCCCCCTAGTAATCATGGCAAAGCAATTTCTGCAGAACCAAAAATCTGGTGAAGATTTGGTGATTAGTCAATATGATCAATGCAGTTAGCCAAACTAGATGTCTCAGGTTCATTAGGTAGCCTCAGTCAATGAATTAGACATACCAGTCTGCTTCGAATCAGAGTGGCTTGGATATTTGCCTGTGTGTGGTCTTTCTCACTTGACACAATAAACAATGGATCTGTAAAACAAACGATAAAGTAACATAAGGAATAGAACATATCTACTCCTAAGCTGAGAAAAATGACAAAGCAATGTAACTGGAAAACAAATTAGTAGCTCATGCTCTGTTGTGCATGTGGCCCTATTACTCTCCCACATCTACCAGCAAGAGTTTGTTGGATGTATTTCTTTTCTGTGTATTTCATGTCAGCTTATGGAATTGGAATGCAGAAAGAAAACCTAGCATATTCTCAAGTACCATACCCTGAACACACTGTCTTCTGTCCTACAATCAAACCTCCTTTTGGGTCTGGATAGCCCAACAAATGTTTCAAAAGGAGAGACCTTGTATGTAAGAACTATGCCCATCTGCAAGTGAAAGAAGCAATAAATTCTGATACTATCTCCCATATTTGGTGCACTGGGAAAATGCAACCAGCATGACACCTCAGAATTGGTGGACATGGTAAGAAAATGTCATTCTCTAATAAGTGATAAATAAGATTGGCTGTCTTCAGAATTCACCCTTCAAGTTTATAATATGATGGGACTAAGTTATTTCTCCAAAATTCTAAAAAATCTTAACCTGCTATTATAAGTGTCTGCTTATCAGGTATATCTTCAAAGTGATAAAGAGTATTCATGATTGATTATACTGTACCATCCCTTAAAACCAACCAATTTGACATTAAACTCACTAGCACTTGTTTCTCAAGTAGACTTATCTCTGGGGAAAAAAATACTCTGACCAGCTACTCTAGATGACTTAGTACCATATATTTCTCCATAAGAATTAATAAATTGGTATTGTGGTTTAGAGATAAGTTGCTTTTAAACATCAGTTTTAACTTACTATTATAAAATTTTATTGGGCCTACAGTAACTTACTCACACTTGGTTAGGTCTCTATATACTTAGAAGGTATACGTGCCCAGGAATGGAAATGTAATTTCCTAGCAATGTGGCTCATTTTAGCTTTTGACTTAGAGATAATGGCATCCATTTGAAATCATTCCTTTCCCCAAAATATGCAGTATAAAAGTATTTACTAAGTTTTATTTATGCAAAGAAACTTTTTTCCCCCACACAAAATGAGGTTTCATGACATTGTCACCTCAGAACTGATTGACAGTTAAATTTTAGGGCCTGAGTCCAAAGACCATCCATAACTCTTTTTTTTTTTTTTTTTTTTGACAGAGTCTCGCTTTGTTTCCCAGGCTAGAGTGAGTGCCGTGGCATCAGCCTAGCTCACAGCAACCTCAAACTCCTGGGCTCAAGCGATCCTTCTGCCTCAGCCTCCCGAATAGCTTGGACTACAGGCATGCGCCACCATGCCCAGCTAATTTTTTCTATATATATTAGTTGGCCAATTAATTTCTTTCTATTTATAGTAGAGACAGGGTCTCACTCTTGCTCAGGCTGGTTTCAAACTCCTGACCTCAAGCAATCCACCTGCCTCGGCCTCCCAGAGTGCTAGGATTACAGGTGTGAGCCACTGTGCCCGGGCCATAACTCTTTCTGAGGTATAATACTCTTTATTTGTCAACTGCAGATTCTTCTGCAGGGTTGCATTTTGAGTTCTTTTGTGTATTTATTTAATTCTAAGGCCCCAGCTTACTACATATATAAAATCTATAAAATACATAAAGGGGCAGGTAAGAGATGAGACAGGGCAGAAATGTGTAAGGGTGGCAACATTCATATACTAGACTTTGATATCAGGATCTATGTTTCACTAAGGAATCTTTGCTTCCTTTTTGCAACAAAAGGCTAAAATTTTTTGAGAGCAATGATTCTTAACAGTTGGTTAGTAGAAAAAATATAAGGAAACACAATAATCTTGTAGAAAACAGCATTTTTAGGCCAGGCATGATGGGTCATGCCTGTAATCCTAGCACTTTGGGAGGCTGAGAATTCAAGACCAGCCTGACCAACATAGCAAGACCCTGTCTCTACAAAAAAATATTTTTAATTAACCAAGCATGGTAGCGCACACCTTCAGTCCCAGCTACTCAGGAGGCTGAGGCAGGAGGATCACTTAAATCTAAGACTTTAAGAAATAAGTTTCTTTTGGATTTGCATAATGTGAGTGAATTCCTAAAACCTAATAATTCCACAGTTACCCAATAAAAATGATTTCTTGAATGCAGACATTTGATATTCCCATCAAGGTTGAAAAGTTGAAGGAGGCTCAGGATCTCTTTACTCCTTCATTCAACAAATGTTTATTGACTGTCTATGACAATCTAGGTGCTTGGAATACATCAACAAAAAGATAAAAATCCCTGACTTCATGGAAGAGAGACAACAGACAACAAATATAATAAATGAGTGAATTATATGTTAGAATTAGAATTAATAAGTGTTATTTTAAAAAAAAAAAAAAAGGAGATCAGGATAAGGGAGATTTGGTTGCAATTTTAACAGGGTGGTCAGGGCAGGCTTCCTTGAGAATGTGACATGTAAGAAGACTTTAAGGGAGGGAGTTAGCTAAAGGAAAAACATTCTAGGCAGAGGAAATGGCTAGAGCAAAGGCTCCAGGATGGGAACATGCCTGATTATGTTTGAATGGTAGCAAAGAAACCAGATGGATGAAGCAGAATGAGGGAGGGAAAGAATAGTAGATGAAAGATCAGAGAAGTTACCAGGGGGCTGGATGACATAGGGCTTCATAGGGAAGGGTAAAAGAGCCAGAAAGATGTCCACATTTGTCCCACTGACTTCCACACCCATGCCACCACAGTTCTTTTTGTCAGTGTGGAAACCTGACGCAAAGCCAGTCAACTTGTTGGCCAGCCAACAACCTTATTTCTACTTAAATTTTCAGCCAAGATACTTGAAGACTCTATGCAATCAGTGGCGAGCTTTAGGGCTAAAAGGTCAGTGTGCCACTCCAGTCTCTGTCATAGTAAGAATATCATACACAAGTGGCTTTCTGTCAAATGGAAGATGAAAGAAGGAGGCATACAAAGTCATGCGTTGCTTAATGACAAGGATACATTCTAAGAAATAAATGGGTCATTAGGTGAGTTCATCATTTGCAAACACCATAGAGCAGGGGTCCTCAAACTTTTTAAATAGGGGGCCAGTTCACTATCCCTTAGACCATTGGAGGGCCGGACTATAGTTTAAAAAAAACTATGAACAAATTCCTATACACACTGCACATATCTTATTTTGAAGTAAAAAAGCAAATGGGCAAAGACACCCACATGTGGCCCGCGGGCCGTAGTTTGAGGACGCCTGCCATAGAGTGTACTTTCACAAATCTACAAAGCACAGCCCACTACACACCTAGGCTCTGTGGTATAGCCTATTGCTCCTAAGCTACAAACCTGGACAGCATGGTGCTGTGATGAATACTGTAGGCAATTATAATACAACATTTGTGTATCTAAACATAGAAAAAGTAATGCATTGTGCTACAATGTTAAGATGGCTACAACTTCACTAGGCCATAGGAATTTTTCAACTCACTCTTATGAGACCACTCACTGTTGTATACACAGTTGGCTGTTGACCAAAACGTCATGGTTTGGGGCTTGACCATGAACACAGATAGTAGGCTACAGTTGTAAGATAGCTTGACCATGTACACACATAGAGGGCTAGAGTTGCAAGATAAAATACAGGATGCTCACTTTAATTTAAATTTCAGATAAGTAATGAATAATTTTTTAATATAAATATGTCCCAAATATTGCATGGGACAAAAAAAATCTATACTAAAATATTATTCATTATTTGTCTCAAATTCAAGTTTAACTGTACATCTTGTATTTTTATTTGCTAAATCTGGCAACTCCAATAGGGTGAAAGATCATAAGGTTCAAAAAAGGGAGCAGGAGAGCATGACAGCTTAGTTCCAATCTTCTCTGTCCAGGCTCTAATCTGTCCTGACTATATTCTGCTTTCTGTCTATAGGAGCTGTGAGACTGCCTGTTTTATTGTAACATCCAAACTTTCATTTGACCTATTCTGGGTGGATTTCTCTTACCTGCAATGAACATGGGAACGTTTAGAAATTCCTTTGCAAAAGAGACACTTAGAGATCAAAGAAACAACTAGCTTAATAAATCCTTTGCTTGTCTTTACTGGAGATTTTTATTCCCATTCCCAAATTACCTTGGAAAAAGTATTGTGATGTGTCTATAGCAGTTTACCAGATTTATTTCATAAAGCCAAGAGTAAATAAAGAAAACCACTGGCCATAATATGTAAGCAATCATTACACAGCCTCTGTCGAGGAAATGGGTATCCTATAGATTCCCTTCCAAAGGAGACTCTGGGATTCCAAGAGACAGCAAGGTTCCAGTGAAGAGCTTGGGAATAAGCACGACAAAATTGTAAAAAAATCATGCTTAGCTGGTTACAATTTTTGTTAACAGTAAATTCAATAAACATTTATGAAGCACCTAGCATATGTATCAGCACTAGTATAGGTGCTGAGAAGGCTATAAAAATGTATAAAACAAGAACTCAAGAAACTTCAAGTCCAGAAGACAGAGAACATAAATGGACGACCAGGGCATTAAAATAAACTGGGGCTTTATTGGCCCAAGAGGAACCAGTGGACCTATTTTATAAACAATGCTTTGATGGATAAGAATAAGTTTGTTTTTTTTTAAAAAAAAAGTGAGATAAACTGGCACTTCTTTACCTAGAATGCCAAATTTGGAGTTGCCCAGAGAATAGAAAAGAAAAGATCGTTTTATTTGGGCATTTTATGCAGTTTGAACGTGGGAACCTTGAGTGAATCTCCAAGTCTGCAAATCACTCCATACTTTTGTGGATACCAAAACGCCCAGAAAAGGTTTCAGGAAGATCGCTCTGAGCTGAGCAAATTATCTGAAAAGCGGAGTAAGGCGGCCCGCACCGCAGGAGTCGCGGAGCGCACCTGCGACTCCTGACGCGCCCCTCACCGCACCGCACCGCACCCCACCCCGAGCGCGCAGCCACCTGGAGGGCTCCGAGCTGCCCTCACCCCAAAAAGGGCAAAAACGGGCCACCGCCAGTCCAGAGGCTCCTCTTTCGTTCGCCACACCCCTGGCCAGGTCCCACCACCGGGAAGCCCACCTGGCGGAGGAGTCCAGCCCCGGAGGGAGGCGAGGGGCGGCCCTTACCGTACAGGAAATCGTACACTCGGCTGGCGCAGGTAGCGGCCTTCGACCTCTTCAAGCAGTGGAGTTGAGACACCTGCGTCTTGGCCCGGGGCTCCTCCATGGTTACTACGCGGCTCATCGTGCCGGCTCTCTCCTGCGGCCGGCGGGGACCAGCTGGGAGGCCTCGCAGTTGTGCGCTCCGTAGCTATGGCAACCCTCGCTGGCGCTGGGCGCGCGGCGCGGGGGGCGGGGCGCGGGGGGCGGGGCGCGGGGGCGGGGCGCGGGGGCGGGGCGCGGGGGCGGGGCGCAAGAGAGGAGGAGCGGGAGTGCTGGCGCGAGGGCAGGGCCGGAGTGGGGGGCGGACGGGTCGCTTCCCACTGCCCCTCCGAGGCCGACCCCGACCTTTCGGCCGCCCACAAACCGTCACGCTGGGGAAACGGCTATTGTGAAGTCATCCAGCAGCGATTTGCCATTTGCACCCTGTATCTCCTTTCGGAAATCCCTGGGATTCTAGAATAGCTAGGTGCTTTTTTTTTTCTTTCTTTTCTTTTTTTTTCCGGAAAACCCCTTTCCACGGGGCTTGTCCTGAGAGCTGAGGAGTCCAAGTTTATAGATGTTGAGCCTTGCGCACTGTGAGCTCTGGCTCCACACGCATCAGAGTTTCGGGTGGGTTAGGTGGATCTGCAAAACGCTGCCCTTTCTGAGGTCTGGTCATTAGATCAACTAAAGATGACCTGAGGCAGGCACTGGATCTGCTTTTAAAAGCGATAGTGGAAAATTTTAAACATAGGCAAAAGTGATTCCATTTTGAAGAGTGAACCCTCAGTACCTGTCTCTCAGAATCAACATTTATCAACATTTTGCCAATCTAGTTTCCCTCCCCCACCTTTGGAAAGAATCCCAGACATATTATTTTACCCTTAAATTAATCTGCATCTAAAAACTGATACAGATTTCAAAAACTTAACCACCATAATCATATCTAACAAAATTAACAATAATTCATATCATCCAATATTTAGTGTATATATTCAAATTTTCCTGGTTGAGTTCAAGATGTCATTTATAGTTGGTTTGTTCCAGTCAAAATCCACCCCCCCCCCAAAAAATCTACATGTTGTATTTTGATGTATATCTTATGTCTTTTATCCTGGAACAGTGAATATTTAATACCTTCAATAATTCTTCATTTGTTACCTGGGAGTTTTCTATAAAAAGAACTTTATAAAACCAACTCAGAGTATTCAGAAATACACATCATCAAGAAAAGATTGTATGAATGCTGGATTTTTTTCTCTCTAATTGTCAAATTTTAGAGAAATGAGTTTGTGCCCTAGCAAACTCCAATGTTAATGGCAAAGTTTTTGTTTGTTCGTTTAGTGTTGGTTTCTTCGTCCTTTTGATGTGATGATCCATAGACAATTCTTGAATAAGTTTCCTGTTTTGCTACTTCTCTTTCTGCACATACTCCTGGTTTTCACTTGTGTCTACTTCTAAACTTCTTGGGGTTTTTGGAAACCAGCCATGTACCTTGTCACTGTAAAACCTTTGCTCAAGTTGATTGCTTTGCCTAAAATGCCTTTTCCTATGTATGCCCCTGACAAAGATTCTTTTCTTGGCCAAACTTTAGTCAGGCTCCTGAACCTTGTCCTAGGCCCATCTGTGTACTTCCTTGTAAAGTCTAGTTATATCAAACAACTCTGCTAAGTCCATTTGGCTAGAATCCCCCACCTTCAATGTCTGATCAGGTTCCTCATCCTCCACTGAACTCCAGGTGATGTCTGATCACCTGGCTTGTCTACAGCAGGACTCCTGTTAGGTTGGTTTAGCCAGAATCCCCCTTAACCTCTATGTTTACTCTTAGTAAGTTTCTCTCCACTGACCCCCATCTTGCTCTTTGCTATTTCTGCTTGCCCATGCCATATTCAGAGTTGAACCTAGTCTCTCCCATTGCAAGAACCTGTTGCAATAATTCCTATACCTATCACAATGGGCTTGAATACAGTCTGCCTTCCGGAGTTTTACCAGGTATCCTTGAATAATTTTTTCTTTACCACCCCCCCACACACACACTAATTTAGATATCCTTCAGGATTCACCACTAACTTTGCCATCTCTATGCGGTTTCCCCAAATCCCCCAAGTAGAGTGAGATGTTGTTCTTTCTTCCAGTGCTACAGTAGCACAAATAACATTGGCCACTTTGTATTGGTAATTTTTTGCAACTCTGCTCCCCACAACTTTGAGTTCATTTGAATTCATTGAGGGTACAGGACTTCACATGGTTATTCCTGTATCTCTAAAGTTCCTGCTACATGAGAGCTTAATAAAATTATTACTAAACCCATCTATTTATTAAACAAATTTACTGAATGTCTACTATATAATAGGTGTTAAAGATTCTGAGATCATTTGTACAGTTCACTGGATGATGGAGAAAGCAGACACAGAAACAAAATATGATGTTATAATGGTATAATACTTTTCTGTCTATTGAATGAAAATATTTGATATTCCGACCAAGTATGTAGATTTGGAACCATGAGGTGCTGGGGTATAACAATATTATTTATGGCATGGAAATCCTAAATAAATCTCCATCCTCAACCATTAGGATTTTTTACTGGGAGGATGGGAGTGTGACCGGGGCTAGTACAGGGAATTATTAGGCCTTGAGATTTCTATTCTTCAATAATGGGCCTTATTCCTTGTAAGACAGTTTGGCTCAAGGGATATTGTTTAATACTAAGCAACTTGGTTTGGTTGGATCAATTTAGATTTTGATCAGGGGTATGCGATGGATTCTGTCAATATCTGTTGATGATATGCCTCATAAAGAGGCAGGTATTTGTGCCAACAGGGAACTCTGGGACTCAGTGGGGAGGTCTTTGGTGCATGGAAGAGCATAACATGAGTGGGACCTTATTGGTAGAGTCCAGTAGGCTATTAGGCTTATCAAATTCCAGCAACATTTTTCCCTTTAGAGAGAAAGAGATGCCAGCATATTTTTCTAATCTCATCCCACTAAATGAGCGGGAACAGATTCTACTAGTCAGAAGGGATGGCTATCTTCTAAAGGCCCAAGATGAAAAGCAATGGGCTGGTCAATAAAATATTCCAGTGGTTTATTAGAAACTCTCACCATATGAATCCTTTTATTACTCCAAGGGAGGGGCTGGTTGAGGTTAGTGGGGTTGAGCACTGATAAGGTTGCTCTTGTGTCTATGAGAACAGTTAGGACCTCATTGCCAATTTGAAGAGAGGTCTCCTCAAGGGCATTAAAGGGAAGAATTGGAAAAAGCCCCTGTATAGCCTTAGAACCCTTCAATAGGAGGGAGGATCCCAAGGGCTAAATGAAAAGACCATTTAGATTGCTTACGTTTATAACAGTTTTTCTTCCAGTGGCCAGGTTGTTCACGATTATGACCAATGCCAGGAAGTGGGTTTCCTGGATTAGAGGAGCAGTGCCATTTAGAGTCCCAGATGTTTTCTCTGGGAGCATTCATCTGCTGTAATTGGAGGTTTAGGATTTTAGTAGTCTTTTTATTGGTATCCTCTAAGGTGCAATCCAATTGATTTGCCAAATTAACAAGGTAAGTGGTTGGCATGGTTTCTTATTCCACACGAGCTCTTTTTACTAACTGAGAAAGTTCTCAGGAAAGAACGTTAACAAGCACAGAGTTATAGATAACTCTAGTAGAGTCAATGTCCATGGGAAGGCCAGAATTCTCCTTGAATACAAGCTGGAGTCTACTATGGTAGTTATGAACCGGTTCATTTGGCTCCTAGGTCCAAGCTTGAATTTATTCCAATCAGTGGCTTTAGGGATGCTTCTCAGATGGCCCTATGAAAACTTTTTGCAAGTTGCTAAGCAAGTTTCTAAGGAGATGGGGATAGGTCTTTCTAAATCCTGTTGGATGTATGTCTAATTGGCCTTTTTCATCCAGTATTGAGCCTGGCTTTCTCCCACAAGCATGTGGACAAGTTAATAAAGATCAGAGAAGCTGGGCTGGAAAGCTTGAACTGTAATGTTAAATTCATTGGCAAAGCAATGAGGGACTTGGGTAACTTTAGAAAATTCCTTGGCCATAGCAGGAGTTTCAGCTTTAGTCCAAGGGACATAGGAAATCTAAGGCACCTCAGGATTATTATTGTATCTAATACTAAAGGGACAAGTTTTTATAGATTAAGGCTGGGGATCAGAAGGAGACAGGGTAGTAGGGGAGGAAGTATGAGCATGGAAAGGGAGCTCAGAAAGGGAAGGGTAGAGAGAAGAGACAGTAGGTGGTGCCAGAGGAACAGGAAGGTTCTCAGTTTCTAAGGCCTTTTATCTTCCTTTACTTTTTATTTATATCAGTTAACTTAGAGATGGTATTTTAGAGTGAGACAAGTTTTGAGTTGGGAATGCTTTTAGATGCTTCAAGATACCAATTACAGTATATGTCCCATTCAGGTTGTTTGATTTTGTAGCTATGGCCTTCTAATTTAGTCCTAAGAAAAACAAGTGCAGAGTATTCAAAAGAACCCTAAGATGGCCATTACAGTTCCAAATGCAATTGGTCCATCAAGGTAAGAAAGACCAGGACAATGGACCATGATGCTTAAGTATATAACCAGCTATAGTCCCTAATGCAGAATATTTTGGTATAGCTTTGAATTCTGGGAGCCCATTTGTAAATAAAATCATCCAAACAAGTCAGTGCAAAGCCAAACATGAAAATACCAACAAAAACAAAAACAAAATAAAACCCGAAACAAAACAAAACAAAAAAACACAAACACATAAAATGAACCAGAAAGTAAAGTACATACTCACCAGGAACAACAAAGCCTTGTTTAACAGGAGGGAAAATACCTCATAAACAGAAGGCCTCATAAACAGGAAGGGAAAAGCCCCTCAAAAACAAATTCCAAATAAAACCAGAGAACTCGAATCAAGAGAAAAAGAAGAGTTCAATCCAAAAGAGACTTATTCAGGGTTGGGGGGGGCAGATGACCAGCAGAAGCAGGGGTTCAAGGGGTCTGAGTGTACGTACGGCGTGCCATAGCTCTAGGGGCCCCCAATTTCTCTGAAGTGAATCTGCTTCACATCCCACTTCTGATACTATCTAATGTCAATAACAAATAAATGTATAGAGACAAACCTCTAAGCAAAAAAGGGTTATTTGGGAATAAACAAAGAAATGGGATTGCAACTTGTGATGAAATGAACAGACCAAAGTGGTTTCTGATATGTCTAAAGAATAAGGAAAAGGTTAGGGTTTTATTGGGAAAGGAGAAAGGTTATGTAAGTTTTTATAAAATAAAGTTCATTGGCTCCTGTGGTGTTTTAGAGGAGCTGGTGAATCCTGGCAAGCTGCAATAGTTATTAGGTAAAACTAGTTTTAAAGTCACGGTGGTCATTTTGTTGTAAAACTAGTCTTAAAATTGTAGCACTGTTTCATTGGATTCGACTTTCAGGACAGTTTCTGGAGCAGGCTTTTAAGACCTGAGTGGTTTTTTTCCCCTGTGGCCCTCTGACTCTAAATTTTAATTGTGTATGACAGAAATGACTCCATTTGATCAATTTTCACACTTTAGATAATCAACCTGTGGTGAACAGACTGTTAGGTGGCCTCCAGGATCCTGGCCTCCTGGTGTTCATGCGCTTATGTGATCCCCTCTCTTTGAGTATTTTGACTTGCTTTTAACCAATTAAATATGCCATACATGATGAGATAGTGGATATAAGACTCTAATGCCTGTATTGCCAGGTTGTTCTCTCTCTCTCTCTCTCTCTCTCTCTCTCTCTCTCTCTCTCTCTCTCTCTCTCTCCCCTTTGCTGGCTTTGAAGAAGCAAGTGACCATGTTGGGGAACCCCAAGTGGCAAGGAACTATAGGAGGCATCTAGGAGCTAAGAGTGACCTCCAATTGACAGCCAGAAAGAAACCAAAGCCCTCAGTCCTAATAGCTGAATTCTGTCAACAACCTGAGTAACATTGGAAGTATAGCCTGCCCCAGTAGAACATTCGATGACACTGTGGTCTTGGCCAAAATCTTGATTGAAGTCTTGCAAGACTGTAATCAGAGGAACCACTTAAGCCATGCCCAGATTCCTGACTTAAAGAAACTGTAAGGTGATAAATGGTATTACCACTAGGTTTGTGTTAACATTGTTACCTAGCTGTCTTAGTCTCCTTGCATTGCTATAACAAAATACTAGAGACTTGTTGGCTTAAATAACAGACATTTATGTCTCACAGTTCTAGAGGTTGGGAAGTCTAAGATCAAGATGTCAGTCAACTTAGTTCCTGGTAAGGGCCCTGGCCTTCTTCCTAGCTTGCAGACAGCTGTCTTCTTGCTGTGGCCTCACATGGCAGAGAGAGATAGGGTTCTAGTTTCTTCCTTTTCTTATAAGGGGGCTTCATTTTCCTCTTCTTATCATGGGGGCACCATTTTCACATCATATAAAACTAATTACTTTCCAAAGGCTCCATCTCCAAATATCATCATATTGGGGGTTAGGACTTCAATATATGAGTTATGGGAGGACACAAACATTCAGTCCATAGTAACAGCAATAAGTGACTAATGCACAAACTTTGTGAAATTAGGTTCTCTGTCATTTTGTTTACTTGAAAAAAAAAACTTTGATATTTGAAAGGGGTATTAGTTAATAAAATTTAATTAAAATGAAATACTCAGCCATGTTGGGAGCCAATTCTCCATGGGTGGTCATATTTCCACATGTCTTACTAGGAAGGAGCGGCACTGGCTGCCTTTGTTCCTTTGTTTGTTTAGGAAATAACCTTGGAAGACAGAGATAGTGTCTACTTTGGGAGCAAAAGGCAGACATTTTTATTGTCCATTATTACAAATTTGTGTTTCCTAGGCTCATTGTTCCTTTCCTGTAATTCAACCCAATGTGCATGCAGATATTTTATGACCTTCATATTATCCTGTAAGAATTGGGACTCAGGAAACTGGCAAAAAACTTGCTGATACTCTGCTGCTGCTATTACTGTAAGTAATAAATTGTCCTTCATCTGTGATTCAGGGGTTTGGTGGCTTATGCCAGCTTCATAAAACTGGCAGGTAAGTGCAGTAAAATTGCAGACTCTAGAGAATACATGAAAAAATATAGAGAATGTCGTACAGCACATATTTGGAAAGAATTTTTTTTTGCAAAGATAGACTTATATTATAAATACTATACAAAAATTGCCTTGACTAGATAGATATACAAAGTCACCTATTAAGTAGGCCAATGAGTATTTAAGCCTTGCAATTTTTCTCTCTCAACATATGGTGTCACTCCTTCTCCACCAACCTTAACTACTCGCCCTTTGTAAAGTCTCTACACACTAGGCCTGAAATATGGCGAAAAATACCATTATCATGGAAGGCTTTTAGAAAGTATGTCCTTAGTTTTGCTTGTTACAATACCAGGGCTGTCATCTCATCCACAGAATTGCTTTTTGGTGTCAATCTCCCTATTTGGTAATGTCCCCATTCAATACCGTGCAATAAACATATTCACTGTACTATAAAAAGTTCACTACAGTCACCATTTTAAGTCTTAATGTCTACTAATTTAGCAGTTATAGTTATAGCAAAAAATCTCAGAGTTTTAAGAGTAAAGCATTGCTAGTTAAAATCAGAATTGAGAAGTGAGAGCTTGATATAAAAGGTACTGACCAAACTAAACTTGGAGTTGCCTTTTTAAAACAGATAGTTGAACCCCATCTTTTATTATTTAGTCTCCATCAGTTACCTACTGTCAATCCAAACCCTAATTGAAGCTCTCTAAAATTATTTTTCTCAGGGGAAATGGATTATTGAGATTTTTCTTGGGGTTGAATAGGAAACAATAAATTTCATATGTCATATACTCTTACTTTTCTTTTAATACCAAAACAGGCCATCCTACAGGTCTAAAGGCATTCAGGTTGGGCAAGAAAAGCATGATAATGTAAAAATCAAAAGTTGATATTGGCTAGGAACAGTGGCATGCACCTGTAATCCCAGCTACTCAGGAGTCTGAGGTGGGAGGATTGCATGATCCCAGGAGTTAGAGATCAGCCTGGGCAACATAGCAAGACCTCGTCTCAAAAAAGAAAAGTTGACCTTGAAGCTTACATGTTCATAAATTAAAAGGTAGTAGAATATGTAATCATGTGTGGGTTAGCTGTACCATTCTGAAACAAGAGGAGAGTTAAGTAGATTGGATATAAATGTAAATATTTCACTTTGGAAAGGAACATCCTGTGGTCCTTTTTTTTTTCCCCAAGGGCAAGAAAATATTCCATCCCAAAGAAGCAGCTGTTGAAAGAGCATAAGGGTTACAGTACTCAGGAAGGAAACCAAGGGTTTGTTACTGTTTTGCACACAACAGGTTAAAGGAAGTACTGGACATGAGAAGGAGCTGTTACCGGTACCTAACTTCTTTGCCCTAGGCCTGCCAATACTAGCTTACCTAGAAGAAGTCACAGAGAGAGTTTTCATAGCCAATACCCTCTTGTCATTCAAGCAGGGAAGGAGAGAGGGCAAAAAAATCTTCTTAATTGCAGAAAAGCTGTTTTAGTCGTTTGGTCTATAATCTATGTCTACAATTTATCTCAATTCTCTTAACTTTCTAAACTCTCTTAGAAATTTTTGTCCCTTTTCTTCCTTGTTCTTTTCCTATACACAAAAATTCAGTTGCACAAGTACAGATCAACGATTAATTTTAAAATAAAAAATATTTACCTTGCATTTAGACAAATTAAGTGGGACAGTAGCTAGGATACAGGGAGAAGACATTGAGACTCAGAACTGCCACTCGCACATGACCTTAAATCATGTACATCTCTGAATCTTATTATTTCCCTCATCTATAAATATAGATAATAATTTCAACTGCTGTGAAGATTAAATGATGGTTCACAAACTCAACAGCCCTACCTATATGGAAGATATTGTGGCTGATAATTATGTTGTATCAGCTGATTATACATTCTAAGTGACTACATTTTTAAAATGTATAAAATGTTTAGATATTTCAAATATTTTCTCTCAATTTTTTGGCTATTTGTTAACTTTGCCTGTAGTGTACTATGTAAAACCCCAAGACTCTATTTTGGTGTATATTAACTTCATCCATGTTTAATTTGTGCTTTTGAAATGTCAAAAAATAAGTCACTCCCCACCTGTCATTATTAAAATTTCCCCCTCTACTATCTTCTGTTAATTTCTTAGCTTAATCTTTCATATGTAGGCCTTTAATGCATCTGGAGCCCTGTCTTCTAATGTAGTAGTTAGTTTTCTCCAGATGGTGAACCTGCTTTCTTTTCCCTATTGATTAGCTGAACCACATTTACTGTATTTTAAGTTTACAAGTGATGCTGATGTTGCTAATCCAAGAAGCATTTTTTGATTAGCAAGAATCTAAACAATGTGAGTGAACACCTAGTTGAAAGAATTTATAACGGATGAGGGTGAAGTTAGAACATTAGGGTAATGTATTATTAAACGTATATATCCAGAATAAAATAAAAATTATGCTTATTAAGTTTTCAGATGACAAAATGGGGATGGTTTTAGTAACTTGGAAAATACACATATAGAAATTACTCTTGAACAGCACCAGTTCACAAATATGCCTATTGATTTCCTGAGCTAAATAACTAAAATATAGAAACAAACTTCGATTATGTGATACTGAAAGTTTGAGTACCCAAAATATCTTTCACCAAGCAGCTATTGAACAATGCCTCCAAGTCCTGCTTTAAAAAATAGGTTCATTCCCTGTTTCCAACAATTCTCTGCAGGAAAAAAAAATTCAATAATTGTTTATTCTGTTGCAGATAACATGGGCGCCAGTTTGTTTATCTAGCTACCTGAACTCAAGAAATGTCAAGGAAAGGTATTTTCCAATTTTATTCATTAGTATGTTAACAAATATCTTTGAACAATTAGTACCGAAATCAAATCAGTTGGAGAGGGATAAACAAAAATTAGCTGAGAATTTAATGTGTGTGTGTGTGGGGGGGAGGTGTATAGGGGTTTACAGGACCGTATTTTCCCACACCACTTGTGGCTTGAATTGTTGGAATGCCATTGCTAATCACTTTTAATTAGGTCAGTGAAAAACAGGTAAGGCCAGCAGTTGGTGGGGGCCAGGCAGATAATACCCTAGCGAGAAAAATGGCTTCGTTATTGAACGGAGCTGGCTTTCACTAGTGGTTTCCCTAACTTAGCTTGAACAAGTCCTTTCGCCTTCCTGGGATTACGTTTCGAATTCGTGGGGTGGGAGGAGGAGGAGTTGGAGAGACTGACTTCTCTCTCAGCCACTCAAGCGTTTTCTTCGGGTCCTCTTCAAGTTGATTATGTGACCTTTTAGCCAGCCTACTGCGCATGCCCATAAGAGGTGCCCTCTGGTTACGGCCCCACTTTCTCCTCATCTGCGCACGCGCCCTTACCCCCCAATCGCTGTTAGAGTGAGGCAGGACTTCCTGTCCTCTTTAGAGCGAATGCCGGACGTGACTGCGGACGAATCGGCGTTTGCTGTGGCTGGAAGAGTTTAACTTGTCTGCACTGTAGCTCTTTTTGGCGCGAAAGATGCCGGGTGTGGCTGCTGCAAGCCCTGCCCCGTCTGAGTCCCAGGAGAAGAAGCCGTTGAAGCCCTGCTGCGCCTGCCCGGAGACCAAGAAGGCGCGCGATGCGTGGTTAGTGCGCAGCAGGGAGGGGGCGGCTCACTGGCCCCGCTCACCGGGCTCTGAGCCTTCCTGTGTCTCTGCCCTCCGCCCTCTGCCCTCTGCCCTCTGCCCTCCGCCCTCCGCCCTCCGCCCTTCCCCCTCCGCCCTCCCCCTTTCGTTTGCTGTGCAGCGCTATTGAGAGCGTTACAGGGCCCTGTAGGTCTCGAGGTCGGTTCTCTGTTGACTTAGCTTGTGGCTTAGTCCAGGGTAACGATGAAGGGAACGGAGAGAGATCAGATCGGCCCGAGGCTAGCTTCATTTACTCATTGCTTCCTACAGATGGTTTTTGAGCATCTGTTATACAGTTATGTGTTTAAGCAGTGCGTAAGGTCCAAAGATGTAGAAATGGATAAAGATGCTACCTGATTTAAAGGAGCTTAAAGTTAATGGAGACAAACCAATGATTGGTATGCCACGTGGTAAGGGCTGTGATCGAAGATTTGGCAAAACCAAAGAGTAAAGGTTTTCTGGCTATTCCCAAGTCTTTCTCACAAAATTTAGAGACAGTGGGACACAGGGTACATTCCTTACAGTTCTGAAGAGTTTCCCTTCAACCCCTTTAAGGCAATGAAAAGTTAAAAGTTAACCAGGCTATCACGTAGGTGACAGTATAGTATTCAGAATATCTCATCATCTATCATCAAGCCACAAAAGGTTTGTTCTTATTTTATCTAGCCTCCTTTGTGGAACAAATCTCATTGGAAGGAGTCCTCAGATAATTAATGTACACCTTTCCCTCCAGCTCCTTGGTCCTCACAAAATGGGGAAATAGTCGATATAAGTAGTAGAGAAATCATAATTGGTATAATGGGATATTAAGAGCATAGGAACTCAGTGCTTTAATTAATAGTAATTAGTACTCTGCAAATAATACAGTGAGGGGAGAATAGAAAGACTGAAGTCTGATACAGAAATTGCTACAAAGTGCTATTGAATGTTCAGATAGTATGGTATCAAGATTAAAAGCCATAGTTAAGGTTTGAATTGTGACCCAAGTTGGTGACCTTGAGTAAATTATTTAATATATCTGCCTCATATGTCTGTGAAATTGGCCTAATAAAAGTATCTGCCTCCAGAATTATCGTAAGGGTCAATATATAAGCCACATCAAGTGCCTAGCACAGTGTGTGTGTGTGTGTATATATATATATATATATAGCATTAAATGAACAAACAGTGATTCTAGCTATTGGCTTCATAAGGAGCTCACTATCCTAGACAGTCTCTCCCATTTGCAGGCAGCCGTAGAGCTATATTGAGGAATGATTAGGATTTCCATGGAAGAAAACGTATTCCCTTCTATAAATTCTTTTTGCATCAGTTGCCTCAGACCACTATGTCTTTTCTCTCCAGATATCTGTAGTCCGGGGTCAATTTTTTTTTGGTAATCAAATTTGGGTTAACTTGATTATTTGCTAAAATTACATTTTCAGGCCCTAGGAACAAAACTATGTGGTCCTAGTCTTTGTGAATTTTATAATTAAAAAGTCCTTTGATCATCATGAAGGGAATTCATCATTGTCTCCTAGCTACCAGATCTTTTTTGATGTTTATGTTGTTGGGTGTCTTGTGAGTAGCAGATTTATTTAGGTGCATTTGAAGGTAGGGCAGAATCAGAAAATTACTTTCTCTGTGATATATCGTACACAAAAATTGAGCTCTTTCTGCTCTTCATTTAACATATTTTATTCAGTCCATTTATTTCATTATAGAGCAGTGTTATTCCTTGGATATGGGCTAGAGGCAATATTTGATATGTGTAATTATTTCTTCTAATCAGATTCCCCCTCAAACTAGTTATCTATGGGACATCTTTGGATGTATGCATAGAGCTACAACAAGGTCAAATAAAAACAAAATTGTTTGATGTAATAGCATGTTTTTTTAATTCTAGCTACATTCCATCATACCCATGTTCTGCCTCACTACCTATCACTGTCATGCATGCTTATTTACTAATGTGCTTAATGCCTGCTTGGATAACAAGTACATTTTGTTTTACAGTATCATTGAGAAAGGAGAAGAGCACTGTGGACATCTAATTGAGGCCCACAAGGAGTGCATGAGAGCCCTTGGATTTAAGATTTGAGATGGTGAGCTTATTGCTTTAGATTTGTGTATGCTTTACAGATTTGGCAGCCATTGTGCAACATTCTATCTGAAAGGTAGTTCTCCTGGTTAATCTAACATACCTAAGTATACTTGATAAATAACAATTTTTCAGTTCCCACTGTACAGAGTAAATAATGCTAATAAATTGAGAGACATTAAGCAGATTTGGGAAGGAAGAATTTATCTTTCAAGAAAAAGTTTGACATAAGCCTTTAGAGTTTTGTTAGAGTTAGGTTTCATGGCTGTAGGAAGTTCAAAGTATTCCATTGTTTGACTTAAAGGAACTAAAAGGAAACATTTTCTATTTTTTCTAATGTTGTGGGTCTTCATTAAATGCTTCTAAGTAGAAGGCAGGTAACCCATGGAAATATTGTTTTCTGCAAAACGAAAATGGAATTGTTGCTGTTTCTTTTATACCAGGCTTTATTCTAATAAATGTAAAACCTCAGGCCATTTTTTGAAGAACTTTGAATCCAAATTTTTAATGCTGAAAAGAACCTTAAGTGATCTATATCCAACAATCCCACAAATAAATTATTTCCTTTTGTATGGAAGCTCTTCATTTATCAATTTACTCACTTCCCCGCTTCATTCAAGTCTCTGTTCAAAAGTCTTATATTAGTGAGGTTTTTCTTCAATGTTCCATGTAAACTAGCATCCCTTTCCTATTACTCTATCCCAGTGCTATCCAAGAGAACTTTCTGTGATGATGGAAATGTTCTGACTCTGCACTCTCCATTTTCGGAGCCATTTGCCATAAGTGGCTATTGAGCACTTGAACTGTGGCTACTGAGACTGAGATACTGAATTTTTAGTTTTTTGAAATTTTAATGGCCACCTGTTAGGCCTAGTTAGCTACTCTATTTTAGTAATGCCATCACCTGCATATTAGGTGTTTTTTAAATCATCTGTGTAGCTTCACTGAAACTAGAATGGAAGTAAGCTCTGACAAAGTGGAATTTTCTATTCACTCACTGTCATATCCCCAGCTCCTGTAACAGTGCCTGGCATATAGTAGGTGCTCAATAGAGGATTGTTAATTAAATGAATGAATAAATGAGGAAATTAAGGCTTATAGTTATGAGATGACTCTGCAGATGAGTTAAGCAGTTTCAGAACTAGAATCTTGGTCTCCAGGCAGACTCCTTCTGCTTTGTGCCCCTCCCCAAACTTCCACACCAGGCTGCCACTGACTGAGAGAGAATGCCAAGGCCACATACCAATATAATAGTAGAGAGCCTGGCTTCTTTCCCTTTCACCTCTTCCTGCCTCTCTGGAATTTCACCTATGGCCAATCTTCCTTATTGAGCTGTTAAAAAAGAGATAAGAAGCCTGTCTGGAGCTGATAAGAAGTATCACTGTATAGTGGAAAACAGTCAAGGCTAAAAGTCCTGGGGCTTTGTTTTGATTCTCCTAATGTTTAGTTTAGCATGTTTTTCACTTCAGCTGCATTTACCTCTCTGGATTTCACTTTTTGTAATTTATATAAAAAAAAAAAAATACCGTAATGTATTTTGTGATTATATGTATAGTATGGCATATGTATTCTACTACTATGTATACCTGATACACTTAAGTGGGTTTTAGACTAGATGGTTATTTAAAGAAATCCTATGATAAATCATTTTGTAAATTAAGTAAATTTGGATAGGAGTCCATTCTTAAAAAGTATACCTATTAATTATTTTTAAAGACATAAAACCTTAACATTTGTACATAGTTTCCTTGTTCATAGTCCAACTCTCTTCCTAGTCAGTTGTGGAAGATTTTGACTAGGGCTGAACCTGCCTTGGTTAAAAAGGTTGATTAAAAAAAAGAAATGCTAATTTTAGGACCATCAAAAGCTTCTCTTGGGCTTCATGTGAACCACAAAAGTGGTATAATTGCTGGTATAAGAAGTATACATTCAAAAGGACCAGAAGATACCATAGTTTTTGTCATTGGGGCAGAGTGCAAGTGATATCTCTATACTTCATTTGTGTACAAAAGAAAATGCAAAAGCTTAGGACTTAGAAAACCTAAAATTTAAATGATTGTGTGTTCTTGGGCAGGTCCTTAACTTGCTGAACCTTCATCTATAGTTTATCTGTAACCTTATCTGATAGTTTCCTTATCTGTAAAATGGAGATAAATAATACATTCCCAAACTACTTCATAGAGTTGTGATGATTAAAAGATATATCTATGTATATACTTTGTAAACTGTAAAATAAAAACCAAAACAGAATAACCCATACCTTGGGAGTTGTGGATAGCAGACATTCAGTTGAAGTCTGTTGAATATATGACCTGATTATGTATTTATGAGTTTGGGTTATAAGAACAATCTGAATCCTTTTGGGACCTTTTTAAGAAATTAAACTGCCATACTTTTCATTTCAGTGTAATCATATGGAGGAGGAATAGGGTGTTTGGATCCCCATTGGTCCCAGATGTCCTATTTCCTCAACCTTCATGGGGAAATGGAGGCACAGTGAAGTCAAAAAACACTCGCTCAGATTAAGAAAGGATAGTGGTAGAATTAAGACTAGAGGGCAGATCTGTTAATATTCTCTAAAATCACAGGCTCCTTGCTTTTAATAGGATTGTCTTGCCAACGTATTCATTTTTAGGGTTGCACATAATCTTGCTCTTCAGTCTTAAAACTTTATTATGAAGGCTAAATAGAAAGACCTATTGCTGAAATACATAGGTGCATATACCTCAATAACCAGGCCATTTCACTTTTTGTAAAGTGAAAGTAAAGTAGGGTAAAATCCAGCACAACTGTCTGCAGTGCTGTAAGATCAACTTAACTAAATTGGTATTTCTTAGACTAAGTAGACCACATTTTTCTGAGAATATTTTCGAAGGAAAAATAGTTTGCATACTTACATCTTCCTAGCAATGATCATGAAAGTTCCTTAATTCAAAAACCTTTGTAGATTTTAATGTTATTCATAAATAAAATAGATCCTAATTGTACCTTGAACATAATAGAGTGGAAATAAATCTATTATACGTCTTTTAAACTTAATATATCTATATAAACCTATATTCACCTAGTGGTTCTTACCCAGAGGTGCACCTCAGAAGCACCTAAGGAATGTTTTTCAAAATTCAGGCCCCAGTCTACACCTTTTGACTCAGAAACTCCTGTGCTTTTCAAGTGCACTCCTCTTTTAACAAACACAGGCCTAAGCCGAAGTAGTAGTAGTAGCAAGCATAACGCTAAATGTAAATTATCTGAAGAGTTAATAGTAGCGAAGCCAGAGACTTGAAAATTACTAAGAAAACATAGGTATGATGGTGGTGATTCTAGACAATTTCTTCTATTTTATGACTACTGCTTTTACTGAAAGAGAAAGTAAACCAACCTAGAATCTAATTAGAAATGTAAGGAGTAAATGGGTAGCTACTATTTTTCTGGCTATAGGAGTCAAATAAGCCTAGAGAACCCAGTTTGGAGGCTACAATTGTTGAAAGAAATTAAAGGACCAGCACTGAGTAGTGGAAATACTCAGTATTTATTAAGTTTAACTGAACTTAATTGTTGAGTGTTTAAAATGTGCTGATTTTACATAGAAACAACTGATTATGTATGAAAATTTTATCCTGAAGTAATCTAGAAAAAGGATCATTTCTGTCACTTTAACATTTATTCATTCAGTATATATTTATTAAGACCCTAGAAAATGCCAAGATGAGAAAGATGGTCCCTCCTGTCAAGGTCTTTCCACCCAGAGATATAACCAAAGAGGTTTACATTCAGGATCTTTCACCAGGTGGCCCCTTCTGTTATGTAGTCAACAGCAAAAGAAATAATGCTAGGGCTGCTATTGTTGAAATGTTGAATGGCTTCATTTTTGATTATCTTTCCTGCCCATACTTTTGCTTAAGTGTATTCTTCCCTTTGAGCCTTTTAGAAAGGAGAGAATTTATCTTTGTATAAAGATATCTTGTATTTATATATATCTTGTATCTTGATGTGGTTTATCTTTTTATCTAAATCAAATTAACAACAGCTAGGTGAGGGAAGTACTTGCATTAGACTTGAAGAGTTAGCCCAATTTAGTTACCTTTTTAGCATTGTTCTGTGTCTTCTGGTGAGACTTCTGGTACTGACTCACTAGATCAGCCACCTTATCTCTGCTAATCTCCCCTTTTGATCTTTTCAAATAGATTTTAAAAGGGTTGCCCTTATTTGGTCCTTGGGATTAAGTAACTTTCTACAGGAAGTGCCTTGTATACTGAGCTGACCTTCTGCCTTTCACTTCGTGAATCATTGCCAAACATACTTTAATTACCAAAGAGGGGTTTGCAAGTCTCTTCTTTTGAATATCTGTAAAAATAAACTGCCTTAGCCTTTTTTGGAAGATATTTTTGAGAAGATGAATAGAGATACAGTATTGACTTCAAAAGCTTCTAAAGATTAAACAGTGTAATAAACAGTTTCAGTGATGTTTTGAGTTAGGCAAAATAAGAATTTAAAAATATGGATCTTTTATGACTGATTTAAAATAACAAACTATAGAAATGATCCCTAAAAGTACAGTTTTCTGATTTAAAATAATTGTGGCAATTAGTTAATTATTGGACTGAAGTATTCCTTTCTAGTGGTCTTAATTCCCTAAATTCAGAGGCCTAGCATGTTTGAAATCTGACCTTCTAAAATGAATGTTGTTTTTCTGTAGGTGCGCTGCTGTATGAATAAGTAATTCCTGAAGAATGAAGATGACTAAATTATTTTGGGAGTTCTTTGATGAACTTTGATAAGTGGAAAAAGTATTTATAATTTATTAAAAAAAAGGAAAATATCCCTGGTCAACGATCTTCAGGTGTGTTTTTTCTGTGTTCCTCACATGCATGGATATATGTCAACAAAACTTGTAACATAAGTTTCTTATGTTCTTGTTACTGTGCCATTCTGGGAACTCTGGATATTTGTTGTTAGGAGAAAGCAGGGACTGATCGCAGCCAATGAAATCTCCAAAATTAGGTACATGAAGTAAGAATAAGTAACCCTTTACCAGTTCAGAGTCAGTGTGGTAACCATATCATCTCATTCAACATTCATTTTTTTAATTTTAAACTTTCTTAAAGGCAAGAACTGTCATTATTCTTTATTAGCTGTCTTTGGAAAAGTTAGTTTAGATTTTGGACCAAATTAGGGTGATTTGGCTTGGAAGGACTCCACTGTTTGGCGTTGTTAATCTGTGCATGGCTAGTTACATTTTAGGATAGGCTAGAATTGTAAGTTTAGTGCCTAGGGGACAGACAGTTGTCTGTTATTAATTAGAAGCTGGCCCAGGCTAGAGGCTGAATTAGTACAAATAAGTCACTAATCAAACAACTCAATACTATGCCATAGTGACACCTGGAATAGAACAGGGAGTATGGTTCACTTAGTATAGTAACCTCGTGGTACTCATGAGTTAGTTATAGGCTAATGAAGCAATTGATCATATTCTACCTTTAAATACATTGAATTTAAAGTCTCAAGAACAAAAGATACTGAGGAACATAACTAAGAGGATATGTAATGTTGATGTGTCATTGTGTGATGGGAAAAATGCCTCTCTATAAAATAAAGGAGCTGAATTAAATGATGCCTCAGAATTCCTTTCTAATTAATTAAGAGCATAGCTTTGAAGTATGACAGACTTAGGTTCAACAGCTGACTATGTGTCTTCATGCATGTCACAGCTTCTTTGGGTCTTTTTCTCAGGTGAAAAAAAAAGAGGAATAGAAGTAATACTTACAAAATTGAGTACTAATTGAAATGGTATATAAAGCATTTAGTATGGTATCTGGCACTGAATGTTATTAGCATTCTCTAGTTCTTTGATTCCATCCTCATTTTTACATTTCATTTGAATATAATAATTTCATTTTAGTAAGCACTTTATGTTTTACAGAGAATTCTTCCAAGACGGGTATGAACTACCTTTCCACCCAGTACATATCCTTGGCAGATTTATGCAGACTCTGCTTGAATATGTCTTGGAACTATAAAAAAGAAAACAAAAATCCATAACCTCATCACCCAATGTTAATTTCTGGCATATGCTATTCCAGACTTTTCCTATGCATTTATACATTTTTTAAAATAAAAAATGAGATTATTTTTCTATACTACATATTTTTAGTGAGATTATAACATTATTGCCTTTTCCCTTTAATGTATTTTAGCATCAGTGATTATAGTTCTACAATATCATTTGTGTTGGCTATGATTAAATCTTACCATAATTTACCCATTCATTCATTAAACAAATAGAATAGAATTATATTTGTTTAATTATATTTGCTTTCCATTGTATACATATACCAAAAAAAAAAAAATAATTATATTTGCTATAGAATACTTGCTATATGTCAGATGCCATTCTAGGAATTGGGTCTTAGTCTGAAACAGGATACATATCAGATACTAAATTCTGCTTTTTATTTTGTTTTGTTTTTTTGTATTTTGGTTGGCTGGTTATATGAAAACACAGAAGGAAGACATCACCTGAAATCCCACCAAGTATAAAATAGAACCATTTTGAATCTTTTCATACATCTCTCTCATCTTTTTTTTCTTTTGACTACTCTGTAATAACACTGCAGTAGAAGTCTCCATAAGAAAGTCTACAAGTGTCCTTTACTAATCACTCTGATAAGGATAGGCTGGAGGCTATGCATGTTTTCAAGGCTTTGGATGGGTACTACCTGATTGATCTCTAGAAAGAAAGTATCCATTTACACCTTAGTATCTGAGCGTACCCACCAGCCTTGGTGGCAGGAGTCTGAGGCAGGAGTATCGCTTGAACTCAGCACTTTAAGACCAGCCTGAGCAAGAGCAAGACCTTGTCTCTATATAAAATATAAATAAAATAAAAACATCTAAAAAGTATCTGAGAGTAACTATTTTCCTAATCTTTTTGCAACACATTAATTTTTTTAACCTTTGCCAGTTTGATATGCTTGCCTGAGTTTTACAAGAACTAAAGTACCTTTCTTGACCTCTGCCACAGTTAAAAGTACATCTTACAAGATCCACTGCTCATCCTTCTGTCTAGTGCTTACGCCTCCCCAAAGATTATGTGCAGCATTTCTGTAATTATGTAAGAGATGTTACCACAGTAATTTGAAAAATGAAGAAGTTGGCCTCCTGGTAGGTGACAGCGATATTCTAATGCATCTCTTTTTTTTTTTCTTTTTTTTTTTTTTTTTGAGACAGAGTTTTTGCTTGTTGCCCAGGCTAGAGTGAGTGCCATGGCGTCAGCACTAGCTCACAGCAGCCTCAAACTCCTGGCTCAAGCAATCCTCCTGCCTCAGCCTCCCAAGTAGCTGGGACTACAGGCATTCGCCACCATGCCCGGCTAATTTTTTGTATATATATTAGTTGGCCAATTAATTTCTTTCTATTTATAGTAGAGACGGGTCTCGCTCTTGCTCAGGCTGGTTTCGAACTCCTGACCTCGAGCAATCCACCCACCTCGGCCTCCCAGAGAGCTATGATTACAGGCGGGAGCCACCGCACCCGGCCTAATGCATCTCTTTGTTAAGCCCCTGCTATTCACAATAATTCCTAAACTCCATACAGATACATTCACACCATTGTCTCTAATTAGTTCCCTTTGTCTTGTCTAACTTTGAAATATTTGACTTGAAGGTAGAGGAAAACAGGACCATGCCCTTAGGCAAGGCCTACTTTAGGATTACTGTGCCTTCACAGGTCTGATAGGGAAACTGTAATCCCCATTTTATAGGTGAGTATAGGTGCTCAGAGAGGTTAAGGAAGTCACCCTGATCAAATAGCTGGTGATCTGGGATGTGAGTCTAGGTCATTAGAGTTCAAATCCAATATTTTTTATTGTATCAGTTGTCTAATATAAATATGTATTCATAGTTCTAAGTTCATTTATTCACTTAATACATATTTAGTGAAGGCCTATTATGTGCAAGGAATGGCCCAAGGTGTTGAGTATTCATATGTGAATCAGATATCCTGTTATCAAGGAGGTGAGAGGCTGATGGAACATTTACTGAGGACAGACTATGTACCCACTATGTGCTAAGTAGCATACAAAGATTAGTAACACATGGACTCTACCCTCAAAGAGCTTATAGTGTAATGATTATATATATGTATATAAACCATAAAAATATAAAGTTGAATGGTTAGTGCTAAGATGGATATTCCAAGATGCTTTCCTGAAAAGTGTATGTGTGACTATACCTAACATTTCTTTATTTAGCTATTAAAAACTGCTAGATGATAGTTCTATCTGTGTCAATTATGGTGCTTTTGACAGTAAGTAGTTAAAATCCTCATCAAAGAAAACTCTTTCACATAAGTGGAAGTCCAGAGTTAAGGTCAACTCTAGATTCAGTGATATCATAGGCTTAACGATACCATCCAAGACCCAAATTATCTTCATCTCAGAGCTCTCTCTTCCAGAACTGATGAAGCCAATCATGTGCTTTCTTGTTTAAGTCTAGCCGAAGAGAGAGAAACCATTCCCTGGACATGGACTTAGTCCATTTTTTAGTCTTCTTGAGCCAAATTAGGTTTATCCTAATTATCCTTCTCATCCCTGGGCATATTGTATCTCATGACTATGGTAACTTCAAGCATTACATTGTCACACAACTGTATTTAAGCCTAGATGAATGATAAGGCCTCTTTACTGTCTATCAGGGCATATACTTTTTCCAAGAAGCTTCCCTACACATTTCTTCTTACGTCTCATTGGTCACATGCCCACTTTTATGCCAGTTGCCACCGAGGGGAATGAGATGTACCTGGCTTTCACCAATCTTAGTTCAGGCCCTGGCAACTGGGGGAGAGGCCCACCTTCCTTAACATATTGCCCAAGCAAAATCAGAATCCTGTAAACTAAAGAAAAGGTGGAAATAGCTAAAGGAAAACCAAAGTATCTGCTTCAGATCAACTTGGCACTATGTATCCAATAATTTCTAAAATCATGCCTCTGCCCTGTTTTTATATCTGTATTAGGAAAGCATTAACCTCAAGCACAGTGTTTCTCAACTACAGATGGTGAAGAACCAACTTTTTCCCCCCCAATTCATCACAGATCACTACTAAGAAAATGAAATTTTAAAAAGACACTATACAAGCCCAAAGTTTTTGTTACTAAATTAAAGGCCATAAGTTTCTCTGCCAATTGCTATGAAAGTGTCTAACCACTTAATTTCTGTGCTTATCTCAGCGTGGACCAGTAACAGTTTGAAGACCAGGCTGGGTTCATGGCCACACTTGAGAGGCACTGTGTAGCCAGCTGACTTCATAATCTGGCTCCAGCCTGCCTGTCCTGACTGGTGTCCTACTACTCGTTTTGATTCACCTACAAGATGTTCTCTGTTACCAGAATATGACATGTACTTTTGCTTTACTTCTGGGCTTGACTTCACATTCTGTTCTCCCTTCATGTAATGCCTTTCCCTAGCTGGAGAATACCTACTCACTTTCATAGTCCAGCTTAAATGTTACCTTCCTTGTGATGTTTTTCTCATGAATTTTATTTTATTTTATTTCATTTTATTTATTTTATTTTTGAGACAGAGTCTCACTCTGTTGCCCTGAGTAGAGTGCCGTGGTGTCAGCCTACCTCACAACAACCTCAAACTCCTGGGCTCAAGAAATCCTGCCTGAGCCTCCTGAGTAGCTGAGACTACAGGTGCATACCACCACGCCCCGCTAATTTTTTCTATTTTTATTAGAGACTGGGTCTCGCTCTTGCTCAAGCTGGTCTCGAACGCCTGAGCTCAAGCAATCCTCCAGCCTCAGCCTCCTAAAGTGCTAGGATTATAGGCTCGAGCCACCGTGCCCAGCCTCTCATGAATTTTAGTTAAGCTAGTTAGGTTGTAGTATAGTACAAGTCCTATGGATTGAATTCTTTGCTTCCCCATCCAGTGTTTTTCCTTTGAACCCTGGCTATACTTATTTCATTGAATTCTTTTCTGGGTCAGTCTTCCCCTCTAGACCAAAAGTTTCTTAAAGGTGATAATTGTCTTATTCATCTTTATATCCCCTGTTCCTGGAATACATATTATAGTTTTTCCTGAATAAATGCTTATTGAATTGAATTGAATTAACTCAACAAATGGTAAGATTTCTGTTTCTTTCCTTTTTCTTTCCAGATATTTTCTGTTGTGCCTCTGACTTCATGTTTGTGGATTTCCTTAAAAGAACATGCCGTTTTGACACACAATAAATTTTTCTTTCTTTTTCCATCAAATCTGGATTTAAAAACCAGATACAGCTTTTCATTGTATTCTGATCTGGGATCCTATCCTATGGGTGTCAGTGTCACTATCCCTGTATGTGCAGGGTTTGTGCATCTATGATTCCCTGACATGTATACCATCCCAGCAGCATACTCAAATCCCCTGCTGCAATAAAGGAGCCTGTATATAGATACATATAAACTCCTCAAAATACCTAGTATGTTGGTATAGCACAGAGAATATACAATTTGGAGTCAAGATGACTGGGCTTTAATCCCTATTCACATTCTAGCTCTGTGACCTTGGGCAAGTTTCTTGACCTCTCTGAGCCTGTTTCTTCTATTTAAAAAAAAAAATTGGGAATGAGGAAACAATAGCTGCTTGATAAGTGTTAGTACCTTCTGCTGAGGTAGCACGTATGTGGATTTACAGGGAAGCAGGCTGAGTTGTCTGCGCAGCAGGGCAAGTGAACAGAGTTAACGGATCTGCCTGTCTCTTTAAAGGGTCAGGGCCAACCCTTTAGGCAGGCTTGCTGGGAAAGATGAGCTGCTTTGAAATTCTATCTTGAGCAGAGCCCCTGTTGTTTCTCTGTTTCTGTGCTTTTGACTTCCCTGCTCTCAGCTGGCGGGGACAGCTACTCTGGAAGCTCAGGGGCAGCATGACTAAGGTGGAAGGATGAGCAGCTGCTGCTTGTTAAAGGAGGTAGGCTGGGTGGAAGGCAGGCAAGTGACATAAAAGCAGCATATGGAAATCCCCAAACTCCCCTGCTCAAATGACATCACAGGTCCAAAGCATTGCCATGAGGGAGGCTCAGAGGCATCTCTTTGCTTTACCACTGTTTGTTTATTTGTTTGTTTTTCTCTTGACTTTAGAAAGGAGAAAATAGGATACACATTTGTTGCTCAGTTGATTTTATTTAAATAAAAAAACTGTTTTCCTTCCACATGCCATAGTTTTTCACACTTCTGTGCCCATACTTCTGCTGGTCTCACCCAAAGAAATGCTGTTCTCCTTTGGCCTATATGGTGAACTCTACCCTCAAACCTCAACTTCATGTGCTAGCTCTTATGTCTTCCCTCCCTGATGCCACCCTTCTTCTAGGCCGCCACCATTTTTAAACTCAATGTGGTTATTATATTTCGCACACTGAATTTCCATTGTTTTTTGAGGTCTCTTTTCCCGAAAAGAGTGAATCTGATTCCCGAGTGCTTGGCTCACAGTAGGCACTCAATAAATATTTATTGAGTTGGAAACTTCTACTCAGCATATTTGACAACTTCTCATTTTTCATGAATTTTAGTTAGGTTATAGCAGTATAGTAAAAGTCCCTATGAATTGAGCACTTGAATAGTTCTAAGAGGTTACTAGGTGCCCCACTTGTACCCCAGGGGGTACAGGAGTAATAGCAGTAAGTGCTAACCCAGCAGCAAGGAAGAGGAATCAAGGCATCATTTAGAAATGAGAGTTATGTTTCTTAGTTTAATGTTTGCATACTCCAGATTTATTTCTTGGCAAGCCAGAGTAGATGCCCAGGTTCAACCAAAAGTTCCTAGAAGTTATCAGGCTTCATAGGAGGAGCGTAGAAATCATGGATCTAGTCCTGTATTTCTATAATACTTACTATGCAGACTAGTTGGAACAGAGTATTAAGTTTGACAGACTTGGGTTCAAATCCAGACTCTGCCACTTTCTACCTGTAGAAACTTGTTACCTCTCCAAGCCTAGTGTCTTCCAGATCTAGAAGAAGGATAACATTTATTTTGAAGGTTGTTGTGATTATTAAGTATGAAATGTCCAATTTCCTGAAGTACTGCTTTTGACAGTTGATATCTCTGACATTTCACTTTGGCACTTCTTGTTTCATCTTATTGTGAAGGTACATCCTCAGCCTTTCAAACACTTGTTTTGGCTTGTGATTATCTTTCAAAATTTTTAGAGCAATTTTTGTGAAACCATGGATAAATCAAAATTTCGTGTTATTTTCAAATATTTCGTCGTGGAACTAATGCAGCAAAGACAGTTCAAAATATCAACGAAGTGTTTGGAAAGGATGTAGCTAATAAACGCACGGTACATCGATGGTTTGAGACGTTACATTCTGGTTGATTTTAATTTGAAAATGAGCCATGTGGGCAACCTGAGACCAAGGTAGATAATGAACTGAAAGCTGTAGTGAAAGCAAATTTATCCCAACATATGTGTGAATTAGCAGCAAGGTTTGATGTTACTATCCCAAAAATATTGGACTGTTTGAAACAAATCAGTGAGGTGAAGAAACTGGATAGATGGGTTCCATATGAATGAAATGAGTGTCAGAAGAGAAGTTGTCTCAAAGCTTGCCTTTCTTTGCAGTCACAACATAAAGGCGAACCATTCTATGCTGTATTACATGTGAGGACAAGTGGATTCTTTTTTGACAATTATAAGTGTTCAGCACAATGGTTGCATAAAGATGAGGTGCCAAAACATGGTCCAAAACCAAATGTTCATCAAAAAAAGCCAATGCTGTGTGTTTGGTGGTCCAGTGCTGGTATTATCCATTACATCTTCGTGAAACCTGGTCAGTTGATGACGATAGATGTGTACTGCAACCAACTGGACGAAATGATGAGGATGCTTGTGATTTAGCAGCCAAGATTGGTCAATAGAGACAGGCCAATCCTCCTGCAAGACAACACTGGACCACATGTCACACAAACAAGGCTGCTCAGATTACAGATGCTGGACTTGGAAGCTCTCTGTCATCAGACCTTGCACCAATAGATTAGCACTTCTTTCAGGCTTTGGACCACTTTTTGCAAGGAAAAATATTCAATTCTCAACAAGCTGTGGAAAATGCCTTTTGCAATTTCATCACCATTCACTTTCCAGGCTTCCTCACTGCTGTCATAAACAAGCTACTGTTAGGATGACAAAACCGTGTTGATAGTTTAGGTGCATACTTTGATTAATTGTACTGTTTCCTGTTTGAGATATAATAAACTATACTTTTGATTCGAAATCTGACATTTCATTTTTAATGACCTAAGATAAGTATGTAAAATTTCTAATCCAGGTCTGGTACTTCATGGGTGTTTAATAGGTAGTAATTATAATTTGGAAATATTGGGGTGGGTGGAGTAATGGTCTGGGCAACGTATTGCCATTTATTAACTATTACTAGATCCAGATATATTCGGGGGGGAAAGTCAGCTTAGAATTCAAAAAGCTGCTCCACATAGCTACTTCTGTTAAATGAGTGTGAAATAAATGCCTGAAGATATTTACAGTGTGACTTAATAAAGGTTTTCAAGGGGTTTTCCATTTTTCACCATTAGGATTTTTCTGCTAATAGTCCCATACTTTGCTACTTTGACATGTCCTCCTATCTCAGGAGCCCACGGGGAGCTCTAGACAGTGTCCTGCCTGAGGTATTGAAGGAAATTCTATGCTTACTTTTCCTTTGTCCCTCCTTGCCTGTCTCTCTTGCCCTTAGGTCTTATCTTGTCCCCTGGTAGGTATGTTAAGTGCCCTGCCAGGCGGCCTGTATGCCTGGCCTGTTTTTTCTCACTGCCAGTACCTCTTAGATTCCAATTCCAAACATGGTATCCGTCTGGGGTCACCCTTTCTTCCGGTGCCAAGAGAGAACACATTCCAAATGGAACACAAGTGTGCCTCCCATGCTGGGCTCTCCTCAGTCTGCTTGGGAACAACAGAGAGCAGGATGTGGCTGCTTCGTCTCACACTGCTGAAGATTTCAGTCCCATAGTCTTACCTTTCCCTTGGGACAATATAGATTTTTCTGCTAAGAACCAAATTTGAAGACTGTCCTAAGAAACCTGGAGCTAACGAAGCTTGCCAGAGCTCTGCAGGGAGAGCCCGAGCCTTGCTGAAGGAAGAGAGAGAGAAAGAGAAAAGTTTTTAAATTCTTCATGAATTGTACTATGTTCTGCCATTCATTCCCAAAGCCACCAGAAGCATTCCTCTTAGGAAAAGCGGAGCTGGAGGTGAGAAGACACCTAGAAGGACGGATTCATTCCTTTTCTGAGTTTCTTATGTGGGGACGGTATTAGAGCCCACCAAGGCTTTGAGACATCCCAAAGATGAGCGCCAACAGCATTAGGGGGCCAGTGTGCATTAGCTGGAAGCAGGATATGGAAGGGGCTTTGTACCACCTAGCCAACTGCATCTTGCTCATGGGCTTCACGGGGGGCAGTGGAGTATATGGATGCTTCTTCCTTTTTGGCTTCTTGGGCACAGGCTACCTGTGCTGTGTGCTGTGGGGCTGGTTCAATGCCTGTGGCCTGGACATTGTCCTTTGGAGCTTCCTGCTGGTAGTGGCCTGCGTGCTCCAGCTGGCACACCTGGTATACCGGCTGCGCGAGGACACCTTCCCCGAGGAGTTCCGCCTCCTCTACAAGACGCTGTGCCTGCCTCTGCAGGTGCCCCTGCATACGTACAAGGAGATTGTTCACTGCTGTGAGGAGCAGGTCTTCACTCTGGCCACTGAGCAGACCTACGCCGTGGAGGGTGAGACACCCATCAACCGTCTGTCCCTGCTGCTCTCTGGCCGGTAAGCTACTCTGTTCATTCCCAGAAGTTCTTTCCCCAGCCCACACTTCTCATTTCCTAGTGTGTCCTCTTCCATTGTATGTCCCTTGCCATTGAGGGAAGGATGTGGCAAGTCAAACAAAATAGATTTTTCTAAGAATGGGTTTGCTTCCTCTGTCTTGTTAATTTCTAAGAGGAAACCAGATAATGAGGCAGCATCTTGGTTGGCAGGAATGATTGTGTGTGCACTTGCTGCTAGGAGATACGGGGTGTTTCTTGCACTCTGGCCTTAAATGATCCCCTGCCTACACACACACACACACACACACACACACACACACACACACACACACACACCAGTGTGTTGTGCCTAAGCTAAAGCAGTATCTCCATGAGCTTTGGAAAACTGAACATTTCAATGAGGTTGATTTGTTCCATAGGCATTTGCTAAGCACCAGCTCTTTCAGGGAACAATGCCTGAAACAGAGGAGGTTTCCCGTAACCCCTGTTCCCTGCCAGGGCATCAAGGAAACAACCCCACTTGTGTTTGGGGTACCTGTATACAGCCAGGTTGGGAGAGGGACTAACCCTTGTTCACTTTTCCATTCCCGGTTGTTGAGATTCTTGCAGACCAAGAAGTTAAGTACAGTACTGTCAATCTGAGGGCCCAATAATGAGAGAAGAATAGTGATGCTCACATGTGTCTCATGGAGAATTTGGTGGAGACACCCACCTCTTTGGAAGAAGACTGACAATCAGACATTGGCAGAAATGGTCTTAGTCAGTATCAGGGTATGCCCAGCTGACCTGGATGTGAGTGTTGCCCATTGACATCTTAGGAGAAAACATCATGGGGCTCTGTACTGCACATTTGGTAGGCAGTTGTGGATTCTTTGAAATATTGCCCAAGTGGCACTTGTGCAACCCTTGTCCAATTCCCCCACCCCAGTGGGCTTTCTTGAGATCAGGAGAATGTGGTAGAAAAGGTAAAATGGTAATGAGAAGGCTCTGATTCAAAGAAAAACAAAATAGAACAAAACAAAACAAGATTGCCAACTGGACAGAAAGAAAAAGTTCAATGATGATGGTACTGCAACTACTGCTAATATGAATAATATACATCTGTGTATTAATTTTCAGAATCTAAAATGTGTCTATATGTTTGATTTTTAGACTCAGAAGTCCTGGGTTGAGTGAGCTATGAGCTATGAGACATTTTGTGAGGAGACATTTCATTTCATTTATGAGTGAACTGAAAGTGTAAACAAATGCAATCATTTGCAAACAAATGTACATGTAAATACAGAAACGTTATGACTATTGCCAAAATATTTGCCACCTACATACAGGTCCATGTTCAGAATAAAGACAATTTGGGAAACTTGCTCATTCATGAGATCCATGACGTTATTTGCCTCTTGTGGCTCCAATGTTGAAAGGAGGGAACTGAGACCAGCAGAAGTGCTCTGCTGTATGGTGCTCATTCCTTGGAGGTATATGACAATTATTGTATGGTGTAGGTATCTAATATGTGATAGATTTACCACGAACTTCATACTTAGCATCAAAAGCCTCAGTCAAAAATTAGATAATTTTGATTTTTTTTTCATGCTTTTCTAGGTCTGGAGTAAGAGTTTTGTTGTTGTTCATGTTCTGTTATCTTTCAAAGTCGTCCTGTCTCAGCTTTGCTAAGTTGGACACAGGGGAAGAAGAGGCTTCTAGTCTATGAATGGGCTCTAGTTTTAAAGGAGAATCACCGTACCATGGGCTGGTTGCAGTGAGGTAACCAAACACCTCAAAGTAGCAGACAAGAACTCTGTGCCAGGAAGTGAGGCCTCCTGTGTAGACCTTCCTGTCTCACCTGCAGACCATTATCTGGAGCCCTTTGTTCAAAGCTCAGAAGGCTTTTTTGTTTTATTTTAGTAAGGGTAGTCCGTCCCTTTCAAGACTCAAAGAGGCAAAGTGATTTCCTCAAAGTCTGTTACCTTGTTAAGCTATGCTTACTTTTGGACAGTTTCTCTCATGTAAAATTCAAAACACAAACTCCCCTGTACAGCTTCCTGAACAGGTAACTAACTGTCTAAGCTATTATGGAGGAAATTACCCATCATCCAGGAGATTAAAAAGGAAGAAGAAACAAATGATAAAGGATGCAGTTTACTGATTTAAATGGCTTCAGTGAGTTGGGCAGGCTCATTAGATGTTAACTTTCAAAGATTTATTTTTTTTATTACCTCATATTATGGGGGTACAATTATTGTTATGGTTACATATCTTGCCCCTGCCCGCCCCTCCCCCACCCCGCTATGCCAGAGCTTCAAGCGTGTCCAGCCTCCGGGTGGAGCGCACCTCACCCACCGTGTAAGTGCATACCCTTCCCCTCCTCCCCCCTTCCACCTGCCCACCTCCCATAACAGATTTTTTTTTTAAGACATTTTGGTTACAGTGTTTGTCTTTGCCTCTCCCTAAAAAGGGATAGAGGTAATCCCTTCCCCCCAACAATGCACACCACATCCTTAAGATGTGGGTCTCCTCCCCCAGATCCCTGTTGAACACTACCATTTTTAGAGCACCATAGTTTTAGTCAGTCAGTGCCAATTTGATGGCGAGTAGATGTGTAGCTCATTTTCTAGATCTTGTGTTGTCTGGCTTGTACTTTGTATTACGGGCTTGAGCTTAATCAAAGATGTTATCACTTCTTGCTGGTTTGCCTGCATAGCCAGATTCCTTGCCTGAGGAGATGATGGGGGAGGATCTGATATATGTTCCAGCAGCTTCATTCTCTCCTCTTGTCTTCCTTTCTTAGAGAAACTTTTCATTGAGGTTTTGATCCCCTTTTATGGTGACACAAATGTTTATTCATTGGTTCATTTATTCCTTCCTTCCTTTTTTTCTTCCTTCCATTTTTCCTTCCTTCTTCCACAAATATGTATTAAGAGTGCTAGGGACTGGGGATCCAGTGCTGAATATGAAAAATATTATCTAGTACCCATAGAGTTTGCAGTCTGTCAAGAAAGTTAATAATTAATGTTTAACATAGTGGTTAATAATAAATTTAGTATTTCCATGGAGAAGTGCAAGGTACAATGAGAGCATGTAACTGGTGGATCTAACTTTTCTGGGGCGGTCAGACAAGACTTCCTGAAGGAAGAAATGTTTAAGCTGAGACCCCAGGAAAAGAGGTCCAGCTAAAGCTAGAATATGTAAAGAACCTGATGTGGGATAAATGGTACTTCATTTTCTCGTGTATCCTTTCTTTACTCATGGAAGGTCTTCCAGGCAATCCATATATATTACCTGGTCTTGTAGGAGCAAGTGTGTTCCTGCCATCAGAAGCTACGGGCCAACTCCATCTTTAGTTTGGTTTGAAACCTACATCTCCTTCTGTCTTCTATCTTTAGGTTGTCAGATAATAGTTAACAGTTTATTAATTGGTGATGGTCTTTGGTAATTTGTATACAAATATGTGTGCATTTATGAAGAGCAAGACTCAGGAGTGCTAATATCCCATGATCCAGAACTTAATCACATGCCCATACCTAGCAGCAAAGGAAATAGGGAAATAAACGTAGACTTTAGCTGTGCAGCCATGTGTCCAGTTAAAACTCTAGTACCATGGAGGAAGAGAAAAAAACAGATATTGGTGAACACATTGCCACACTGGATTTTCCAGATCTTTGCTCTTTCCCATCTATATCTGCTTCTTTTTGTTTGTTTGTTTGTTTTCTTCTTTATACTTCTCTTTTTTTATATATATATATCTGCTTCTTGATATCCTTTTCATCCTTTAAAACTCAGCTCAAATGTCATCTCTGAGAAGTCAGTCACTCAAAGAGAAACAATCTCTCTCCCTCCTCTATGCTTCTGTTCTACAATAGCACTTACCACATTTACTCACATCCAGTTATTTATATGCCTGTGATTTCCACTAAATTGTGAAATTCTCAAAGGCAAGTACCAGTTTGTACCCATCTCTGCATTCCCAGACCTCCAGGAACACAGAAGGTGCTTCATGAATACTTGTTTAGCCAATAAAGTCCAAAAGTAAGGGAAGCATAGTTCTCTCCAAATGGACAAGTTGTATCTTAGAAATCTTTTTTATCTTCCCCGTTTGCCTGATAGAGGCACCCCCTTGCCTGATAGAACTCACTTTAGAAGACAGGTGGAAGATGAAACTGAATTTTCTGGGGAAAAGATAAAGCCCATACTAGATTCTACCCTTTCCCCAGATACAGCATCATGTCTGAAATACACTCACTGCCCCCGGGTGTAATCAGTGACATGCCATCAATTCTAACAAGTTCTCACAGAAGGCAGTCCCCTACCCTGCAGGGGCAAAGCACCAGGCTACGTGCCAGCGACAAGGATGTAAAGACAGTGAGCAGTATTTGGGGCATTTCTAGCCCTGAGCTGTGATCATGGGCAAGTCAAGAGCAGTTATGTAAGCTGTTGGCAGTGTGGAATAAGAATATTCATGAAAATAAAACAAATATATGAATTAGGATTTCTGGCTGCAACCACAGAAACCCACTCTAGCTAGCTGAAAGAGAAAAGGGGGTCTTTATTTTAAAAGATACAAGGATTTCTCACTAAACTCAGGGAAAGCCATGCACTTGAGCTTCAGGTAGGACTAGAAACAAGAACATATTCTACTAGGACATGTTATGATTTCAAATTTCTTTTCTTTATGGCCCTTTGGGTTATATGCTTTTTCAAAGTTTGAGTTATATGATTAAACAAAGTTTTAGTTCCTTAACAGAACAGTGTGTTAGTTTTGTCAATGCCTGATAGTCATCTCTATCCAAGACGTGAGTCACACTCACTCAATTCCAGTTCCAAATTCCCAGGGAAGAAATTTGATTGGATCAGCTTGGGTTAGGTTTTCACCCCAGGACTATCAACTAGACAGGGTGCATGGACTCTCATTGTCTACAGACAGAAGCTGCTATTGTCACCTTATGGTTTGAGAAGGTAGGGAAGGGACAATGCTGATAGGGTGGCAACATGGTATTGTGGTGAGAACATAGAATCTCAGTTCTGCCACTTGATCACCATGTCACCTTAAGCTCACTGCTCAACCTTTCTGAGCTTCAGTTTCCTTAGCTGTCAGATACAGAAAAGAATAATCTACCTTGCAGTATGGTGCGGATTAGATAAAAGAACACTTGTAAAGTGTCTAGCACAGAGTCTGGCATGCAGAAGACTTGCCACTTTCTTCAAAGTCTGAAAAGTGGTTACAATGTAAGCACCTGATGTAGAAAGCATGGCTGCTGTTCGTGCAGCCTACTGGGAAGGAGGAAAGGAGAAGTGACCCAGGCTGAACCTCGAGAGCAGCGCTGTCCAGTAGAACTTTCTGTGATGAAATGATGGAAATGTTCTATGCCTATGTTGTGCAATATGGTAGCCACAGGCCACGTGTGGCAATTAAGCCCATAAAATGTGATTAGTGTAATTGAACTAAATTTTTAATTTTATTTAATTTTAGTTAATGTAAATGTTAACTTAAATAACCACTTGTGGCTAGTGAATAGCAGAGCTCTAGAGCAGTGGTTTCCTTCCTGGCTACACATTTAGAATCACTGGGGAGATTTTAAAACTAATAATATCCACATCCCACCTACAGAGATTCTTGTTTAATTGCTCTGGAATAAGATGTTTCTTTAAAGATCCCCTGGGGCTTCTACTCAACAGCCTGGAATTGAGAACCACGGGTAAGGAGAAAGAGGAGGAAAATGAGGGCTCAGGAAGTCTGGATGGGTTCCCTGTCTAAACTGCTTCCGAGTGGTAATCAGGATACTCTTGCTTTGGGTTTTACTGTGCTCCAGCAAGGTATTTCTGCTGGAAGAATCATGTTAATCAGCAACACATAACTGCAGCAAAGGGGATTCGAGCAGCCATTTCCCTTTTCCCACATGGTCTTTTCTCTCCCTTTGCCAGGGTCCGTGTGAGCCAGGATGGGCAGTTTCTGCACTACATCTTTCCATACCAGTTCATGGACTCTCCCGAATGGGAATCGCTGCAGCCCTCTGAGGAGGGGGTGTTCCAGGTAATAGGGAGCCCCTGGCAGCACTGCCCCACCCCACCCTGCCCCACTGCAAGCCAGTAATGTCCCTACCTCCGCCTTTCCCCTCTCACATCTGTCCTTTGCACCCCTGCCAGTGTGATGCTGGAGCAAGGAGCACTCTTCCTCTGTGGAAAGGGTCCTGGGCCCTGGCGCAGGTGGGGCGGGATAAGGAGGTGCTGACCCCGATAGGTGGGCCGTGCCTAAAACCCTTCCAGAAGACCCTAGTGACCACCAGATAAAAACCCACACTCCTTAGTGGGTAACTTCAACCCTTCAGTGATCTCCAGTTCCCCTCTCTCCCTCCCTCATCTTTTTGCCCATACAAGCCATGCCACACTACTTGTACTTCCTTAAACACACCACACTGTTTTGCAACCCCATGCCTTGGTGCCTACTGTCCCTTCTATCTGAAATGCATTTCCCCTTCTAGATGAGGCCATGGCACCTCATTTCCTCTGTGAAGCCTGCCCAGCTCCACCTCACCAACTTCCACCCCGCTGCTTAGTGCCGCTGCCTGTGTGCCTGTTCTATTCCTCTTAACTTACGCTGACTGGTGCACATACCGCTCTCCATTCTAACGATCTGTTTTCCTTTCTGTCTTCTGCACAGTGAATCTTTGAAGTAAAAATCTGGGCTTTTCCCTCCCTCTATCACTAGGCTCCACAGGACAGTACCTGGAACACAGTAGGTGTTCAGTAAAGGGTTGCTGAACTGGCTTGCCATTGAGCAGAAGGTTCTCAGAGGACTTTATAGTGCATTCACATACACACTCCAAGGTGGGAGCCTGGCTGCTTGGTCCCTCCTCTCTGCCCTGCTAATGCTTTGATGACTTTCTTTGTAGTTCTCATTTATTGAATGGCTAGCATGTGGCAGGCACTACTTATTATATTGCCTCATTGATTCTCACAACAACTCTATAGGTTGGGTATTATTATTACTCCATTTAACAGGTGAAGAAACTAAGGTCTCAAAGCATCAAGTAATTTGCCCAAGGTCTTCAGTTAGAAAGTGGCAAAACCAAGTTGCCTGGATCTAATTTTTCTGTTCTTTATTAAAATGGGAGGGCCACCAAAAGAGTGGAGTTTACACACACATACACACACACTCTCTGTCTCTCTCTCTCACCCACTCACTCTCCTCACTCTTATAGGGACTTCCGTGTCCAGATAGTTTGCTGGAACTGGGTTCTATGTGTCTCCTACTACTTCTGTCAGGAAGTCCCTGAAGCCAGCATATGAGGCAAACCCGGAACAGACACATGCCAGGCAGTGCCACCTGGCTGGGCCTCCTTCCGCCCCCACCCTGACACTTGGCTCTGTGATGATGGAGCCTGACAGGCAGTCCTGATCCCACTTCCAGGGGCACCAGCTGCAGACCCTCTTAGCTCATGTTCCCAACCCCCCACCCCCACGCACACTCTCTAGCTAACCCAGAAATCTCCTTCAGGAACTCCCTCAGGGTCATGAGGACCTCCAGGAAGGCTGAGTCAGGTCCTTAGCCAGCTGGACCAGGGCTCTATTTCTGACACTGACCCGGAGGAACAGGTGGTGGGTAAGCCGGGTGTCCTCCCCCAAGTTATGCTCAAAGGAACGGGCTGTAACCCCAGATGGCCTCTCAGCCTGGAATGTAGGTTCGGTCATATTCCTCTCATTTATATTTTTAGTGTGCACCTCCTTTAGGAGCAGTGAGATCCACACATTTGCTATTGGCTGTGTAAAGTCCCATTTCCTCTTTGCAAATGTCAAGTGTTGTCCCAAGTTATAGTTCATCCTGTCCTTGCCTTTGTAATTACATAGTCTTTGTTGATTGAGAGAACAATCCACAGTGGCTGCCTAAATCATAAATCACATTGTATTTAACATGAATCAATCAAATTCCATCACACCTCTCAACAATTCAATTAAATCAGAATTTATTGACTGCTCAGCACTGTGACACTCATTAATTACCAAGAATACAGCACAAGAGAGATCACACATTAGAGATCATCATTATTTCTCTAATTTGCATACTGGTTTACTGAATCTAAATCCTATTTGACATATGTTATTTCATTTAATCTATTCAACCAACCTCTGAGGTGAGTATTAAAGAGAAAGCTAAATACTTGATAAAACTTTATAAAAGACGTGTGTGTGTGTGTGTGTGTGTGTGAGAACCAATCAAGAAGCAAATTTCCAGAATACCTTTGGGGAAGAACATAAGAAATTGACATTAGGTTGTTAGGTTGCGATATACAAGATTGATAGTCTTCGCTTGACTCATTCATTTATTTCAGTAGTATTTATTGAACACTTATTATAGATGCTTGGAATATGCCAGTGAGGTCTTTGCTTGAAAAAAAAAAAAAAAAGATGCTTGGAATATATCAGTGAACAGAGAAAATGAAGGTCCTTGCCCTCATGCAGTTTATGTTTTAGTAGGGGAGACAAAAAATGAACCATAGGCATAATGAATAAGTCAAGTGTGTAATATGTTAGAGAATAATAACTGCTAGTTAAAAAAACAACAACATAGAGTAGTGTAAAGAGATATGGTTGCAATTTTTAATAGGGTGGTCATGGAAGTCCTTGTTGAGTACATGGCATTTGAGCAAAAACCTGAGAGAAGTGACATTGTAAACTCTGTGAATATCTGGGATGGGCATATCAGACAGAGGAAAGAGCCAGTGCAAAGGCCCTGAGGTGGGGCTAGTGTGTTTGAGATACAGAAAGGACAGTGGGCCGGGAACAGAGAGAGGAAGGGGAGAAAATAGCAGAAGAGGAAGAGGAGAGGTGACAGTGAGCCAGGTCATATAGGGCCAGAGCATGTATTATCTAGATAGAACCAAAAAGATTTCTTTTCAGGTCAGATGTAGTATGTGAGAGAAAGAGGGGATCAAGGAAGACTCTAAGGCTTTTGACTTAAGCAACTGGAAGGATGAAGTTGCTATCAACTGAGATAAGGAGGGCTGCAGGTAGAGCTGGTCAGGGGAGAATAGGAAGCTCCGTTGGGGAGATGATAGGTCTGCGTCATCTGTGGACATTTAAATGGAGATGCTGCATAGGCAGTTGGATATTTGAGTCTGGAATTCAGGAATGAGGTCTGGGCTTAAGACATAAATTTGAGAGTTGGGTACATACAGATGATATTTAAAGCTGTTGGATTGGATAAGATCACCAAGTGAATGAGTGTGGACAGAGAAAGGGGTTCAGAACCCTGGGATACTGTAGTATTAAGAAGTTGGAGAGAAAAAGAGGAAGCAGCAAAGACGCCTGAAAAGGAGCAATCAGGAGATTGCACCGGAAGTGCATGGCATCCTGGGAACCAAGTGGAGAAGGCGTATCAAAGGTGAGGGGGCGATCGACAGGGTAGCATGCCATGAACACTGACCGCCAGACCAACAAGTTAGAGGTCATTGATGGCCTTAACAGGAGCAGCATTTATGGACTACTAGAGACAATGCCTTATTGGTTTAGAAGAGTGAGAAGACAGGAATTGGAGGTAGTAAGTATAGACGATTTTTTTCATGGAGTTTTGCTAAAAAGGGAAGCAAATGAATGGAGTGGTGGCCAGCCAGGGAAGTGAGGTGAAGAAAAAGAATTTTTATTTTTAAAATTTTGTTTTATTTGAAGATGGAAGAAGTAACAGCATGTTCATAAGAATGCTCACGATCTTTGTGTTTGGCTTTAAGGACATTGTTTATATCTAGATTAGCTCTCGCTCAACATACCGGCTTCATGTTTGGTACTCTGATTTCTTGTTTGGGAATTGTTAACATGTACATCTAAGGTACAGGCTATGGCAGATTGTAACAACTATTATACTTGCTGAACTGCAAGTAATGGACAGATCGCATTACTTTCAGAATTCTTTCTCATAAGGCAATATGCTCAGATTAAGTAATTTACCTGATGTCACACAGCTGATAAAGGGGGAAAACTGAAACTTGAAATCAGCTTTTGGCCTTGATAATGTAATTTGGAGTCCTGATTGCAGTGTTAATAAATAGTGGGGAAAAGCTGAGAGGAGGAAATGAATAAAGGAGGGGTACAGCAGAGAGGAAGGAAGAGGAGAGGAGGGTAGTGGGAGATCTGGTAGGCAATGCAGGAATTAAAAGGATTATATATAATCTCTAACAAAGAATGCTTGGAAGGCAACCCTACCTTTAATTTAATAATCAATATAAAGTATGTAACACAATGTCTGGCACACAGTCACGTCTCAATAAGTGTCAGCTGCTATCATCATCATCGCCATCACTATCATCATTTCCACTGTCTCCATCTACAAATACACATCGTGAGCCTTGCCAGCCCCAAATATTATGGTCAGTCAGATTGTAAAAAATTGTGTGATTCTATACTCTTTTCCTGTACCATCCTAAGCATGTTTCTATTTTAACCCTAGCTTTACCATTCATCATTATTTTAACAAGGATTTATCAAGCACCTACTGCATGCAGGGCATACATTTTTGCTTTTCTCCCCAGCAAGTTCAATTAGCTTTGCATCATGGGCACAGAGTGAGTCCTCAGAAATTCCTAGATCAGTACATAAATGGAGAACGAGGTGCCCTTGACTTTCTGCTCTTAAGAGTTTGTCTCCCTCTGTTCCCTTTTTCTGACTTTATTGACCAGATCCTTTTGGTTGCTTGTACTGGCCTAGTAAAAAGCAATCATGGACCTGTGGCCTGTCCACAGGGGCAGCTTAACATACCTAATCAGAAGCTTTTTCTCTAACTAAACTTCTTTCCAGCTCCTTTTGTGTCCCTACCCCAATATATTATCTTTCTTCATTCTTAAAAGGAACAGTCACCAGCATTTCAGCCTCTCTTCAGAGCACTAGAATACCTATTCTTTCTCTGTCTCAAAATCACAAGTCTCAGAACCTTCTGCAGCCATTAGTGGTATCAGACTTAAGAGCCATAGAGCTAGAGCTGAGGAAACTAGGTGTGGAAACTGAGGCTCCAGGAGGCGATAGCTGAGTGAGTAAATGGCTGATCCCAGGGCTTCTGACACAGGACATTCCGCCAGATCAGAGCACACAAGTAAAAGTCATTCACTGGACATGGCAAGGCCATGGAGGGTTTAGTCCCACACATCTCCTATAAAAGTACAGGTGTTTGCCAGCGACTATATGCTTCTCTGTGCTCAGCATGGAGCATGGACAAATTTTCTAATTTAAACCTTCATTCTCTCCTCCTCACCCCCTCAGGTCACTCTGACTGCCGAGACCTCATGTAGCTACATTTCCTGGCCCCGGAAAAGTCTCCATCTTCTTCTGACCAAAGAGCGATACATCTCCTGCCTCTTCTCGGCTCTCCTGGGCTATGACATCTCAGAGAAGCTCTACACTCTCAATGAGAAGCTCTTTGCTAAGTTTGGGCTGCGCTTTGACATCCGCCTCCCCAGCCTCTACCACATCCTGGGTCCCACTGCCCCAGATGCAGTGACGGAGTCTGAGAAGGATGATGAGGAAGTCCATGAGCCAACCATGTCCCCTCCCCAGGCCATGCCCACATCTGTCCAGCAAACCACCCCCGCCTCTCCTCCTCCAGCTGCCACCAGCCCACCTGTACCTCCTTTCCGAGCCAGGATGTCCAGGCCTGACAGCGGCATCCTGGGTGAGGACTCCACCAGTCTGGTGCTGGAGGATTTTGAGGAGGTGTCAGGATCAGAGTCGTTTATGGATTATAGGAGTGATGGGGAGTACATGAGGTGAGGGGAGAACTAACATGGGCACGGTCACCAGCCCAGGACTCTATGTAAGTACTCAGAAGGAAGCTGCCACTCATTCCTGCCAATAGCCAGCCTTACCCCAGCTTGACAGGGCAAATAGCTGTTAAATGGAGCATTTCTTCTCAGAGGACTCATAGAAAGTGGCATTAATCCAACCTTGCAGATAGCAGCTCACTCCAGGTGCATGCAAGGCATGAAGAATTTTTAGAACTCATTGATTATTAACTATAATTGCATTTTGGAAAGTGGACTGATTGGCATTTTGAGCAGGCATGTAGGTTGCTGCTAAATGTTTTTGCAAATTTGAGCTAATAGCTAAGGCCACAGCTGGAGCTAAAGGGGATTTTATTTGTGGCATGCATTCTAAAGGAAAAAGAATGCTGGCAGGGTTCTGTTTCCCACTGATTGTCGTCTCAGCATAGAGTCAGTTCTGGAAAGCAGTTGTTATTTGCCTGAACTGGACAGGTAGCTCTGCTAAAAATCACATTTTTTAAAGAGGCTTGTGATTACAGGTTAATAGCTCTGGGAGGAAAATGTCCCCATATTGCTTTCCTTTTGCCAGGTGGAGAATGTGTTTGTTGATCCCTCAGGAGGCAGAGGACTGGATACTGCTCTGATTAAGTGTTACTGTGATCAGATATGTATATGGCAGCCTGGCTTTCCCCAGCAGCCCACACCTGTGGGAGGCAGGATGAGCATGAATCTGGGAGGGCCTAATAGTGCACGCAGGGATTCTCTCATGGGAGAGTGGACAAAAAGGCTGTACTCAGTAGTTCTGGGCAATTGCTTTCATGTCCCCTGACTGTTCTCACAATGCTGTGACATTTTCCTCTGGAACTCCTCCCAACCATGATGGAGGCCTGGCGTTTCCTAGGGAAAATCCCATTGTTCCCAATTTGGGAGGCATTTCCAGGTTCTAGTTTTCTCTTCTTTCTTCTCTCTTTCTAACTTCTGTTCCCTCCTTTGTTGCCTCAGTTTGCTGCTCTTGAGTGTCCCTTTTCATCTTCTTCTTAGTTCATTTCTCCCTTTCCATTTGTCCTCTGTGTCTTCTCCCATTTTATTGTTTAATATTATCTCTCCTGTCATCTTCTCTTTTTTCTCCCACTCTCCTACCTTGCTTTATCTCTTCATCCTAAACCACCCTGTACCCCCATCTTATTAGTTTTTAATCCCAACTCTTCCAAGGTCAGTCCCTTTCCCATGCAACTGAAAGTGTGAAAACTTTAGGAATGTTTTCCAAATGTTAGGAGGCAGGCAGCATGGTGAATAAGAAGGAGTCCAGGAGTGGTAGCCCAAAGTCCTGGCTTCTATGTCTGGCTCTGTTACTAATCAAATATGTAACTTTTTGCAAATCATACAACCTCACTGAACCTTGCTTTCTTCATTTGAGTTTGTTGAACCACCTATCCCCAAACGCCCTCTTGGACTGATGTGAGAAGGCAAAGGATGAGTTTTTCAGAGAAGGGAAAGAGAATCAGTTAGCAGTGCAATGGACAAAGTCCTGGGATAACTGAGTGTCTTTCAGCAAGAACTTTCTGCTATATTTCACTATGATTTCTCTGATGACTTGGGACTGTCTTTCCTCATGGTGGTGGGTCCTGCTTGACTAGACATTCCCTCCATTTGTGTCTGTGAATACTCTGTCACCTACCACGTGATTACAGTGCAGACATTTTATGCGAAAGGGGGTCACAACTCAGTCTCCGAGTCCTCAACCTTTAATACTATCATATGAAATGCCTCTTTCCAAATTCAATCTTTTCTCTAACTCAAGAAGAGAAAATTGCTAATGGAACTCACTTTGTAAAATATTGGCATTTTAGGTTTTCGATGTTTGTTAAAGTAAGAGAGAAAGAAAAAAATATTGTTTACTTTCAAAACATAGAATTTTCAGAACAACTTGAAAATATGACCAAATTGGCTAAATTTCAGATAGTTTTCCATGTAGTCTGTGATAATGGAATACCTTAACCTGAGATCTTTTCCTGGAATTGTGTTTTCAGATGTTTGGTCCAACTTATTTACCATCAGACTCCTCACATAATAAGGTTATTACTGTAATGAATAAGCGTATTCCCTTATGATTGGTAGCAATTTACTATCATTCCTTCATAAAGTAGGGCACAATTCACCATCTATTTCCTGGCTCTTTAGTTACTGAAATTTTAAGCTCATTGCTATTTGTCCCGGCATGACGCTTACATAAGAGGCATGAAGTTGGCTGAATTCTGCATCATTAGGAATGACACAGCTTCATCACATTGACACCAGTGCTTGTCTCTCACAGCAGTCCAATTTAAGACCAACTAAAAATAGAGCTTCCTCTGGAGCTCTTTTTGGAAGACAGTACATTTTTTAGTGTGATAGTGCCCAAAATTGAACTGAAAATGGGTTCTGCCTCTTTTAACAGGCAAAGCAGTGCCTCAGGATCATGGACTCACGCTGGGTCTTCCCACCAGACCCCACATTATCCTGCCTTCACTAGAACTTTCCAGTTGAATTCTATGGGCACGCTCCATGGGGTTCCACACTGTGTCTTACTTGCAAGAGATTCTCAGTGAATGAGGAACTTGTCTTTTAGAAATGCATCTCTGAGGTGGTCTGTTGAGTTAGATAATGAATCCATTATCACAGTCTAAATTAAAATCTGTCTGAAATTTGGCCAATTTTTATTTTGTTTTCACATTGTTCTGAAAACTCTGGTTTGGAAACTAAAAATTATGTATTGTTTCTTTCCTCTCTACTATTTAAATTAAAAAATGATAGATTACAATACAGAGGCCACTTGTGATCAGGGAAGGATGCCAGGACCAGGACACAGTACCAAGGGCCAGAGAATCAATCCAGCAAACATTTACTAAATATCTAGTATATATTTCAGGCACTGAGCTAGGTAATCACATGATAAATAGCTGAAAGAATTAAAGATGTTTATTCTGCAAGAAAAGGGCAAATGGTAATATCTTCAAATTTTAAAAACAATGGGAATTAGAATTTGACTTAATTTGGTATGGTTCTTGTGGGCAGAAATTGAATTAAAGGCTAAAAGTTATAAAGAGAAGGATTTTAGCTTAGTATTAATACTCACGGGGTAGTGAGTTACTCGTCATTGCAAGAGTTTAAGCTGGGACCAGAAGAAATCTCAGAGACTTTACAAGGTGATTCAGGCTCTGGGAAAAGGATGCCTTAGATTATTTCTGTTAAGGTACCTCCGACTCTCTGATTCTGTCGTTCTAAGATCTGGACTCTAGTCCTGCCACGTAACTACCATCAAGAGCAGGTTCCTCATCTGCAGAACAGGACTGATATGCCTCTGTCTACCTTACCAGGTTGCTGTGAGGAGTAATTGAGATAAAGTATGTAAAGCCAGTTTGTAAGTTGTGCAGCACTAGCTAAACGTGTAACGTGTTTAAAGGCTGTTGTGTGTACAATTGTTTAGCTGTCTCTCTCTCTCTCCTCCCCATCCCTCCCTACCCTCTCCCTCCCCCTCACAGAGAGAAAGATGATTTTCCCTCTTATTTCCCCCAGTTTGGCTTTTAAGGGAAGGTGGCAGCTGGCAGAATCCCCCTGACAACAAAAGGAATGGCAAAAAGGTGGAGGCCTGAAGAAAACATGTGCTAGCGCCTTTGCTCCTGAATAGCTAACAGCTGCTTCCCAGCCTTTTTTCCTTTATTTGTTCAGGCGGAGACAAAGTTCAGTCACACTGTGATCAGGCCCCTTCCCTCAGAAGTGGCTGTAGCTGCTTTGGTAGCTCTAAATGCTGGTAAATAGTGCTTTTCTCACAGAACCGCTGGAAAGATTCGTGGGGCAGCAAACGTGCTCTTGAAAGTGGCATGGCCCTATCGGGGGTCCAGAGGGTGGTGCGACCTCTGCCTGCCACAGGTTTCATGTGTCAGGTAGGTTAGAGGCAGGAGACCCCTCCCTGCCCTCTGGATGACAGAGTTTTGGGGTGCCCCCCGCTGTTCTCAGGTCATTCTTCTACTTCTGTTTTACAGGCCTCATTTTCTTACCCCTCTTTTTGTAAAAATAAAAGTCAAGAGTCTCAAAAAACATCATTTCCAATACAAGGTTTTGTTTTTTTAAAAAAAATAACTCATCTAATAGGGTTAAATAAGTAGAGTTCTTTAGATTGTTCACAGGAAGAGACAAAAGTTGGTCTCTTCATCCCCTCACCTATAAAATGAGAGGATTGGACTAGATACCTTCAAAGCTGACTCACCCTAATATTCTAGAATGAAATGATGCAAAGGTACAACTGCCCTGACCATGTCAGGCATTGTAGAGGAATGGAAAAAACTGGAAAGAATCCTGTGAAGTTAGGCAAGCTACCTGGAGCCACAGTGCTGAAATCCTCCCTCTTTTTTTTTTTTTTTCCTACAGCTTCTAGAACTCCTCTCCAGAGCTACTCTCAAGTTACGTCCATGGGACAGGCCCCTTTGGCTCCAATCCACACTCCCGAACTTTAAGGATCATTGGACTGTCCTTTTCTCTCTGGCCGGCGCAACACTCTTCCACGTTCACAGGACAGCCACTTGTAGACACACCCCTCTTCTTAGCCACTGGACGGCTCACAGCCAGGTGGGAGTGGACACAGGTGTCAGCTCCATAGCTACACCGAGGCCCCTGAGTGGCCTTGGGAAAGTCACTCCCACAAGCCTGCCCTCCAGAAGAAGGCATCCCAAAGTGCAAAAGTACAGATTCCATCGTTTACTAGCTGCAGAATCTTGGGCACGTTCCATAACTTCTCTGAGCCTCTTGGGTAAAGTGGGGATTATGAAACCCACCTCACAGGGTTGTTGTGAGGATCAAATGAGTTGGCTTAGGCAAAGCATCTAGGACATGGCGTGGCACCTAGTAAGCACTCAATAAATCACTCAGCTCCTTTCCCTATGTTGTTTCTTTGAATTACCTGAAAGGGTCAATGGGGTCAGATATCCAAGAAATTTCCATTGGTAGTTATTTTTTACTTTTCAATTGAGATTCAACTTATGGAAGTCTAACTTTAAAAACCTAGTTTTCCTTTAGGCTTTTAAGTTCAACTTACAAATCTCTTATTCTATTGACAAACCTAGTATTAAACAGGTTTTTAAAGAGATTCTTGCAAACTTAATTAGGTCTCATTAAACAATTAAAAGTGATTTATAAATTTAATATATTTTCTTTTTTCCTAAATATTTCAACATATATTTCAGTTATTTATTGCTGTGTAATACCCATGCTAAAACTATGACTTAAACTAGTCACAATAATTTATTTTGATCATGAGCATGAGTCTTGACTGGACTCAGGTGGTTCTCACTCAGGGTTTTTCATTCTGTTGCAGTCAGCCGCTGGGGCTAGAATCATCTCAGAGCTTGCTTTATTCACCTGTTTAGGACCTAGTCTGAGAAGACTCAAACAGCTGAGGGCAGGAGCAGCTGGAGATCTCTCTCAATAGTTTCTTCATTTTTGTTGCTGTGTGCTCTGTTGTACGAATACATCACTATTTATCCATTCTACTATATTGATGGGCATTTGGATTGGATAGTTTCTAGCTTGGGACAATTACAAATAGTATTGCTATGAACATTCTTGTACATATCTTTTGGTATACCTACATATACATTTCTTGAGTACATACCTAGGAGTGGAATTACTCAGATAAACTTCTATCAAATGATCTTCATAAATTCATTGGTTATATATATATGTATATATATATATTCAGCTATAGTAATACCACCAAACAGTTTTCCGACATGATCATACCAGGCATCCTCAAACTGTGGCCTGCAGGCCACACACGGGCTGCCTAGCACATTTATCCGGCCCTCTTGGTGTTTTTGCCGCCACTACCTGTTCTGCTTAGTAGCCGACTTGTCCCGGGCCCACAGTGCGCACTCTCCAACAGTCTGAGGGACAGTGAACTGGCTCCCTGTTTAAAAAGTTTGAGGACCCCTGGACTATACCAATTTACATTCCTACTAACAATGTATAAGTGTTCCAGTTGCTTCTTATCCTCCCCAATGGTTGACATTTTTTCCCATTTTAGCCATTTGGGCATATGCAGCAGCATATCATTGTTGTTTTAATTTTCATTTCCCTGATCCTGATGAATAATAAGGTTGAGTACCTTTTTTTTTTTTGCCATATGGATATGTTCTATTGTGAAGTGTCTCTTCTAGATTTTTGTCCATTTCTCTATTTGTTTGTGTGTTTTTCTTATTGACTTAGAGGAATTCTTTACATATTCAGATTAAAAGTGCTTTATTGGTTATATATACATGCATATGTATATATATTCAAATATATCCTACTACTTACCTTTTTTTTCTCTAAATGGTGTCTTTTAATGAATGTAAGTTCTTAATTTCAATGTAATAATTTATCAATCTTTTTCACTATGATTAGTGCTTTCTGTGTCATATTTAGGAAATCTTTTCCTCCCCTGAAGATATTCTCCTGTGTTACCTTCTTAGATGTTTTATTATTTTACATTTCACAGTTAGACCTACAATCAACCTGGATTTGGTTTTTGTTTGTGATACAAAAGGTCAAGATTCATTATTTTCCACATGGATGTCCTTATTGAGACACTGTTGACTGAACACTACTTATTGAGACGATTGTCTTATCTCCACTGTGTTCATTGTCTCCCTTGTCATAAATCAAAATGTTCCTAGATCTGTAGGTCTGTTTTTGGATTTTTCTATTCTTTTCTATTGGTCTATTTTCCTATCCTTTGATGATGCCACCTAGTTGTAATTATTTTAGCTTTATAATAAGTTTTGCTATCTGGTACTCTTCAAACTTTGTTCTTGAAATCTTGGTTATTCTAGGCCTTTCCCTTTGTATTTCCATTAAAAACATAGAATCAGCTTGTCAATTTTGACAAAGGAAAAAACCCTGCTGGGATTTTTATTAGAATTGCATTCACACTGTGGATCAAGTTTAGTAAAGAATTGCTATCTTTATAATATTGATTTTTCAATCCATGAACATGGTTTTAGCACTTCAATTGTTTTGGTCTTCTTTATTTTCTCTCAATAGTGTTTTGTAGTTTTGCATGTAGATGTCCTTGCAGGTTTTTTTAGATTTATGTCTAGGCATTTGATGGATTTCATGTGATTATAAATGCTATCATTTAATTTTTTTTTACTTTCTAATTGTTTATTGCTGCTACATATAAATACAATTGATTTTTGTATCTTAAACTTCTATCAAATGATCTTGATAAATTCATGTATCAATTCTAATCATTAATCCATGTAGTCTTCAGGATTTTCCATAGATACAGTTATGTCATCTGTAAATAATGACAGTTCATTTCTTTATTCCTGACCTTCCTCCTCCACCTCCTTCTCCTCCTCTCTCTCTTCCTTCTTCTTCTTTTGCTGCCTCATTGCACTGGGTAGGACCTTCAGTACGGAATAGAAGGGGAGACAGAAGATATCCTTCTTTCATACTTGACCTGAAAGAAAATGTTTTCAATATTTTACCATTAATATGATGTGTGCTGTTAGGTTTTTATAATACTCCTGTCAGATTAAAGAAATTCTCTTCTATTTCTAATTTCAATGAATGATTTTTCTACATTTACTGAAATGATTTTTCTCCTTTATTCTATTAATGTTGTGGATTATAGTAATAGATAGTGAACGTTAAAACAAACTTGCATTCCTGGAACAAACCCAACTTATTCCTAGAAGAAATACAACTGTATTATTATGAATTCCCCTTTTTATGTATTTCTGGACTTGGTTTGAAAATATTTTGTTTAGCATTTTTGCATCTATGTATCTTGTAATATCATTGTCAAGTTTTGTTATCAAGGTTATGCTGGCTTTTAAAATGAGTTGGGAATAGTCTTTGTCTGTTTCTCTCTCTCTTTTTGTCTCTCTCCTTTTTCTGAAAGGGATCTTGAAATCAAAACATAATTTTTGAATCCCACCCAATTTTCCTTACCTTCTGCTCTGCTTGTCCTCTTCTATACTCAGTTGCTCAGGCCCAAAACCTTGGAATAGTCTTTCTATTAATATCAGTCCTGTTAGATCTATCTTCAGAGTACAGTAATGTGATCGCTTGTTGGCCTTTTTGCAAAGATCAAGTACAAAATACAGTCATGGACTGCTTAATGATAGGGATATGTTCTGAGAAATATGTCATTAGGCAATTTTATCATTGTGCAAACATCCTTGAGTGCACTTAAGCAATCCTAGATGGCATGGCCTAACACATACCTCGGCTCTATGGGATAGCCTATTGCTCCTCGGCTACCATTCTGTGCAGCATGTAATTATACTGAATACTGTAGGCAATCGTAACACAATGGTAAGTATTTGTGTCTCTAAACAGATGTAAACACAGAAAAGGAATGATAAAAAATATGGTATAAAAGATACAAAATGGTACGCCTATACAATGTACCTACCATGAATGGAGTTTGCAGAACTGGAAGTTGCTCTGGGTGAATCAGCAAGTGATAAATGAATGTGAAGGCCTAGGACACTACTATACACTACTGTAGACTTTATAAACACCATACACTTAGGCTACACTGAATTTGTAAAAAAATTTTTTTCTTTCTTCAGTGATAAATCAACCTTAGCTTACTGTACTTCTTTTACTTTATAAACTTTTTCAACTTTTTGATTTTTATAATAATATTTAGCTTAAAACTCAAATATATTGCACAGCTGTACAAAGATATTTCTTTCTTTATATCCTTATTCTATAAGCTTTTTCCTATTTTTAAAATTTTTTACTTTTTAAACTTTTTTTTTGTTAAAAACGAAGACATAAGCACACACAGTAGCCTAGATTTACAAAGGGTCAGGATCATCAATAACACTGTCTTCCACCTCCACATCTTGTCCAGCTGGAAGGTCTTCAGGGGCAGCAACATACATGGAGCTGTCATCTTCTTGACAACAATGCCTTCTTCTAGAATACCTCCTGAAGGTCCTCCCTGAGGCTGTTTTACAGTTAACTTTTGTTAATAAGTAGGAGTACATTGTGACTTAATGATAAAGGCTGGGCACAGTGCCTCACGCCTATAATCTTAGCACTCTCAGAGGCCAAGACGGGAAGATCGCTTGAGGTCAGGAGTTCAAGACCAGCCTGAGCACCAGTGAGACCCCATCTCTACAAAAAATAGAAAGCTTAGCTAGGCATGGTGGCAGGCGCCTATAGTTCCAGCTACTCAGGAGGCTGAGGCAGAGGATCAGTTGAGCCCAGGAGTCTGAGGTTGCAGTGAGCTATGATGACACCACTGCACTGTAGCCAGGGCAACAGAGTGAGACTCTGTCTCAAAAAAATGCATAAATAAATAAAAATTAAATAATGATTAAAAGTATAGTATCATAAATACAAAAGCCAGAACATTTATTATTATTATCAAGTATTATGTCCTGTGCATAGTTATATGTGCTACACTTTTCATACAACTGGCAGTGCAGTAGATTTGTTACCTCAGCATCACTACAAACACGTGAGTCATGCATTATGCTCTGACGTTATGAGGGCTGTGGTGCTACTAAGCTCTAGGGATTTTTCAGCTCCATTATAATTTTATGGGAACGCCATCTTATATGTGGTCCATTGTTGACCGAGACATCATTATGTAGTATGTGACTGTATATCCTGAATTCAACTCACCATCTTCACTGCCACCACTGATTTCAAGCCACTGTTACTTCATATCTAGTTTAACTTCAATAGGCTTATAGCTGGTTCCTCATTTCTCCAGTCCTTCCTCCTCATAATCTATTCTACACACAGTAAAGTGGCCATTTTAACATGTAAGAAATCTCATCACTCTCTAGTTCAAAATTTCAAATGACTTCCTATTAGACTGAAAATAAAACTGAAACTTCATGCCATGTGATATTAGTCAGGATTGACTATT